CTTATGATCTGATTATTTTTCAGATACAGTTTTCCCACACTTATTATATCAATGGATTGACAGGAGATTTTGAGTAAATAAAACATCAAATGTGGTGTAATTGAAACAAGGGTTAATGAAAAATGTTTTATGGTGGAGACTGTTTCCTAGCAAAAAGATTCATTAAAACTGTCTTGATGATTTATTTAGATCGAAGGTTGTCTTATAAATTAAACAAGAGCCATGATGAATTTGGTTGCTCTATTAATTACAGAGTTTTGATCTTGTCTTATATAAAGGGTACACTATGATATTAAATGACCCAGCCTGCCGCTCTACTTCACAACTTAAACTTTATTTCATAAATAACAGCTGTAACCCAAATGAAAGGCAAAAAATTGTCTTGAAAATTAATGATGAAATGAGTGATTTGTATTTGATTTGTTGATGATCTGGACAGAGGGAACTGGATGTAAGTGTGCATCTCCATTTGACAGATAGCTTTGACAGGACTCCCATGTATGTTAGGAAGAAAGCTGTGAGAAAGGCTGACACCCTTGGCAGACAACTCTGTATGGCACAAACCTCTATTATTTTTTTAAGAAGTCAACACTGTAGGGAAGCCATCCCTATTAGGCAGACATCCCTGTAATGCAGACACCTCTCTAAGGCAGAGACACTCCTGATGGGCATACACTTATGTTAGGCATACACCCCTGTAATGTACACACCCATCTAAGGCAAACACCTTGTAAGGCAACCTTGGCAGACACTTTGTTAAGGTAGACACCCGGTTAGGCAGACACCTCTCTCAGGTAGACATTCCTGGTAGGCAAATACCCTGTTAAGCAAACACCCTTGTAAAGTACACCCTTTCCACAGCAGACACCTCTTTTAGGCAGTAGAAACTCCTGATGGGAAAACACACCTGTTAGGTATACACCCTTGTAAGGTAATACACCTCTCTACAGCAAACACCCCTATGAGCTGGCAAACATCTCTCTAAGGTAGAAACTCCTGATGGGCCAACACTCCTTTTAGGCAAATGTCCCTGTAAGGTACACACATTTCACATTCGTCTAAGGCAGACACCCGTGTTAGACAGACACTCCTGTAAAGTAAACACCCCTGTAGGGCAGACAGTCCTAGAAGGTAGACACCTCTCTATGGCAGACACCCATGTTTGGCAGACATGCTGGTAGTGTACCCACCCATTCACAGTAGATACCTCTCTAATACAGAGTCCCCTCCAGGGCAGGTACCTCTGAACAGAAAACATCTTTTAAGGCACCTCTCTAAGGTAGAAATCCCTGTTGCGCAAACACCCTTTTAAGCATACACCTATGTAAGGTGGGCACCCTGTTAGGCAGACACCCCTGTTAAATGTACACCTCTGTAAGGTGGGCACCCTGTTAGGCAGACACCCCTGTAAGGTAGACAACTGTTTAAAGCACACAACATAGTTAGCCACATTGTAGGTAGACACACCTCTCTAAAGCAGACAGCTCTCTAGACATCTCTGCTGGGCAGACACACCTGTTGGACAGATGCCTCACTAAAGCAGACTCCTTGTTAGTGAGACACCTCTGTATGGTAGAAATCCCTGTAGGGCAGACAGCCCTGCAGAGTAGACAGCTCTATGGCAGACACCTCTTTAAGACAGACACTCCTGTATGGTAGACACACCTGTACAGCAGACAACCCTGGAAGGTAGACAACTCTCATGGCAGACAAATTTGTAGGGGAGAAACACTTGTTAGGTAGACATGGACTCTGTAAACAACAGATAATGCTGTTCATCAGAGTTAGAAAAGGTGCCCTGGATGTCCGTCTCACAGAGAGTGTCTGTTAGCGTAATTCTTATGAATATCCATGTATTTTCTGACAATTAATCTGTTCCAATTGCAACAGGAACACCTGGGTGATCTCCTAGTATCTATGATGTACCAACCTACTAATAACAGAATTGTGGTGGTTGTTATGAAAGCTGCAAAATTAAAGAAAATGGACCTCATTGGATCTTGTGGTAAGATTTTCAGTCTCTGATGCATGTCTTTAAAAATCTTACGAGTGTGACACTTGTAACCCTTTCACTTCTACAGTCCATAACAGAACCTGTTACCATAGTTCTAACTTTTGGGGCTGTAAACAAGCAGTTATGTTGCACCCATTTAAACGAAACCTCTTTTATAAGCCACTATGGTGCTATTTGGTTTTTAGAGAAAAACTTTATTTAGATCTGAGACATTCTTGGGAGTGAAAGGTATGCAGATGCCACACCATTCAAAATATTCAACAGGTTCTAATTTCTTGGGCTACAATGTGTTTTTACTAGTTATGTTTTACACCCTACACACATCCTGTCCTTCTATCCCAAGTTCTCAGATATATAATTTTTTATCTGACTTTACCTAAAAATAATTATGAAGCTGTTTAATCTCCACAAACATGACTTTATAAAATTGTTTGTTCAAATGTTAGATCCTTATGTGAAGATTTACTCCATGCATGGAGGAAAACGCTTAGACAAGAAGAAAACTACCATAAAGAGAAGAAATAAGGATCCAGTGTGGAATGAATCCTTTATTTTTCACGTCCCAGTCGACAAACTAAGAGACATTACATTCGTATTTACGGTAATGGACTATGACCGTGTCACGCAAAATGAAATGATTGGTCAAGTTATTCTAGGGTACCGTACCACAGGAACCTCATTGCGGCACTGGACAGATATGATGGGCAACCCTAGGAAGCCTGTGGCACAGTGGCACAGACTACAACTTTACTGATGTTAATTAAAATGTGAAAATTGTAATTTTTCCAAGACTACTGCTATCTCATATGCTCAGTTATTAAAGCAAGGTCTAAGAATATACTTCTTACATCAAGATAGCCATAGAATATGAATTTGTTTCACATAGTGATGAGTTATGTATGAGATACGGTGGTCTACTCCATTCTTATGCTGTAAATATGTCATCAAGCTAATTTAATTATCAGAAAATGTAAATCTGCCCTCTCTTATAAAAGGTCAGCTGAGATTTCAGCTACTTGACCAAGGAGTCATGAATGTAAGTAATCATCAGCTTTATCTATTTAATTACCGTAAATCCTCTATTAAGCCCCCCCTCTCTAATAAGCCCCCCCTTTTCAGAGGAGGAAAGTTAATAAGCCTCCCCTCTCTATTAAGCCCCCCTCCTCCAATCCTAATATTCTTCACAAAAAAAATTAACGATTAACGTGGACTGATCAGTTATGGTTTATTCATAAAAATTACCAAAGAACACGAGGTCGAAAGCACATTTTTGAAGAATAAGAATTTTGTTTTTGTTACTTTTAGGCTCCCACAAGTGAATTAAATACTTTTGACGGTGACTTTAATTGTACAATGCGTAAGTCTACTCTGTCTCATACCACGGTATTTTTGCAACAGGTGATGCGTTTCGCTAAATTAAATAAGCCCCCCCCCTCTCTATTAAGCCCCCCCTCAAAAGTGCTTGAAAAAAATAAGCCCCCCCCTGGGGGCTTAATAGAGGATTTACGGTACATTGAAATGGGGAGCCAAACTGTGCACCCCACCTCCACTGCAAACAATATAATAAAAAATGGGTGGAATTTTCATCAAGACTGCTTATTTTGATTATCATACTTTTCACTTGACTATTGACTTGATACAACGTTTCTCTTGATTGACACGTGACACAACAGTTTGTTTGGTGACAGCTAATCATTAAGATACCAGCTCCTGAAGCTGATAAGTTCAGTGAGTGGATTACCAAGGAAGGGGTGGGGGGGGGGGATTTATACATCATTTTGGACATAAAAGGTACCCCTTTCATAGGCCTTCTTAATGGTACCCCTTTCACATACCTAGTTCAGAACTTTGCATCCCTTTTCACTGCTGTAAATACACTATCTTGCAAATATGAACAAATCACAAACCCAGAGTGTTTTCACAACTTTTTCACAGCCAAAAAATGCATCTGTTAGCCCTGTGTGGCCTTTTTACAGACTGAAATGACAGATTTCCCTTCCCTTTCATATACTCCACCTAGTGAAATCCCTCGCTACTGGCAGAATAACCATGCACAGGGCATGGATTCCCATTAAAATTATGACAGAATTCTAAATCTAGCAGTTACAATCCACAACTCACAAAAACCTTTTCTTTCAAGTCTGTGAAACAAAGTTGTTTGTTTTTACCCCTGTATGACTGCCAAGGTAAATGGCGAGAGCTATTGCCTAGTCTTAAACTGAACAGGGTCTCAACACGAAACCCACAAAGTCAGAAATAGCACATTGAGGTTAGGAAAAATCTCAAGTTAAGTGTCAATCTGGCCAAGACTGAACAAGATACAACTATTAAAAAAACTTGAAAATTTATAAGAGATGAATTTAAGGACACACTGTCCAGACATTTATAAATTTATGAATGGCTGTATCTTGTTCAACATAGGCCCAATAAACAGCAAACTTAAAAAATGTTCCTGACATCAATGTGCTCTTTCTGACTATGTCACACTCGTGTTGTTTATCCCATAATGAACAGACTCGACCCAGCCCCTCTCGGTTTGAAATTAGGCAACAGACATTACTTTGAAAGGTACAAAATAATCTTTCAATAGACCTCTTTACCTTGTATGTTTTGTTTTTCCAGTAGAGGTTCCAAGCGAATTTTACCCTTTGTTTTTTATAAATTATGTATAGATATGCCAGTGAATAAGACAGAATTTGAACGAAACAGTACTTGAGAGTATTATCACATGACCTGTATAATTTTGGGAAAACAAAACATACAAGCTAAAGAGGTCTATTGAAAGAAACGTCAAAAGATGTTGAGCTTCTTAAAATAAAACACCAAATATGCCACAATTAACTATAAAAGGATTTACAGTGTAGATTGGAGGAGGTAAATATGGACTATAAACAACAAACTCAAACAGTTTTTCAAAATAAGAAAATAGTACTAAGCACATCTTTCACTGAACAGTGCATTGATTTAAAGTAAAGACTTGGCAATGCAATTCTCCACTGTACTGTCACACACACAAAAAGAACAAAACTAAAATATTATGTTTCAGTAAGCACAGCGTAATTTTGCTCACAGATTATTATTATTTTTTTCTGCATTTTCATTTTCTGATAAACTGATCGTCGATAAGCTGGCAGGGGAGTAATCAAATCATTCTTAATTAGTTTAAGATTATCAATCACAAAACCTTACTCAATCCCTGAAATTATAAAACTACACAAAGTACATCAACAAAAAGTTCTGTATGTTTCCTAATATATTTTTCACAGTTCTCGTGCTCTACAATATATTTATAAGATATAAACCACTGCAGCTGGTTACACAGACTTTGGTTTAATTTAACAAATAAATAATAAAACCACAATTTACAAATTCATTGACAGTCCCAACAAAAACACAGGGTTACAGTGCTGTCTGTACTATACGTTAACTGAAGTAGTGTTATATTGGCAATGTTATTCTTTTTCTTAAGTCTATTTTACTGAAGGTCTAAAAACCAAGCTTCTTTTCAAAAACTTGTTACTCCATTAGGTTCTTTACTTTTTGGTGCTACTTAGGACTAAATATTTGGTGCTCTATCAAATTTGGCATATTATGTTCAATACACTGAATTATGAGTTTTTAAGTTGCTGACTGCAAAAATATGTATCTCATTCTTATGCCATTCTTGACCATTTTATTGCCTGGGATTGTTATTATTAGATTTATTTTTGCAAAAGGCACAGTACAGTACGGCCCATAGAAAGGGAACACACATATTATTTTATGCACATATGTAACTGCATTGTGTATTTACAAAGTAAAAATTCCATTTTAAGGGCCACCATTAATAAAATTTACAGCTGTTTATAATAAACAAAAACATTGACTTTAAATCTAGAGGTTAACATTAATTTCCCTTGACGGTGGTGCTAATATTATAGCACTCAATACTCCCAGATCATTCTCCTTAAATTTAGGAAAAATATGACCTAATCACTTTGTGGACTCATTATTAATTTTGAAAATAGAGTTTTCATTCCATGTAATGATTTCACAATTTGAAATAAAATTAAGATAAAATTAATCTCAAGTAATGAGCAGAATATGAATATGCTGACTGCTATGATAAGAGCATTTCAATAACTGAATTGCTGACGCATGTGTATGTACACTGCAGTATATTGCTGTAGTCTTGGCAAGACAGCTTGTATGCTGTAGGAGCCAACAGCAACAGTTCTCAACATCTTCAGCACTTTACAACCTAAGATTTTTAGACAATAAATGACACTACACAAAGGGCTATCAAATTCTACCCTTCTACAGCAAGCTAACTCTGTTGCTGTATTGCATTTTACTCTGTGGATCAAGACTCCATTTTTGAATACTGTACACTGTTACGAAATAGGCGGATACCTATCATAGGAGCCTCTGGAACCTTGGATTGTTGATCCATAAGATGAACCCATGCTTGACAGGGATTTGGAGCGGGACGCAAAAGGTGGAATGAGGGGTCGGTCAGCAGCATCAACACCATCATGCAAATGCTTGTAGTGGAAACTGTTTCCTCTGGGGCGAAATTCTGATGTGAAGTGCTAAAACAAGTCAATAGTAAGAATTAGAATTTTTTAACTGACTGGTTGAAACTTGCAAACCTCTCATACTCTAACAGAAACATGTCAAAGGAAGATGCCATATCATTGTTACTTTACTGATAATTATTTTTTTACTTCACAACAGTTTTCCAGTTTCCCAATATTAAATAATGAGGGTAACAGGATGTCTGTGGGGGAGGGCAAGAGACTAAACTCCCATTCTAAGACAGACAACCTAACAAAAACAGGAAAGAAATATTCCTGAGTAATACATGTACAGAATGTCCTTGGAAATTCCTCAAGCAAGAGTAAGAGTGGAAAAAGTCTTTACAATTCGTTTTCTTAAAGGATACTTCTGTGTGGTAAACCCTCCCACCGCTCCCAACCCCCCCCCCCCCCCCCTCCAAAAAACAGAAAAACCACCTAGTTGGGGGTATAAATATCTTGTAAAATCGTGTTCTGCATAATTATAAGGCAAAGATTTGTACGATTTTTCAGGCCTTAGGTTTTGTTGCTTTGAATAGAGGTATCCTGAAGATAAGACACAACCCAGAGGATAGGTGCTAAAAAAAGCCATTTATATTGCACTATCTGTTGTTCAAAGTTGGCATTGTGTTGCAACTCTAAATGAACTGTAAGTAAAGATGGTACGCTACCAAGTCCTACAGAATACATTGAATTAATTCTTATCATTTCATAAACAACCTCATAAGGAAAAAGCACTTTCATGTGAGATTTCTTAGAGCAACATAAAACAAAAAATAAAAAGGTGTACAACAAATTAGTAATTTATTGGTTTCTGTACATGCCAAACTCATCCCCAGAGCTTTTCCCTTAAAAAATGGGTGCAGTGGGAAAAGGCTCTGCCATAGGCTGGTCATGTGTACACGTACACGTGTACACTGGTCGCGTGTCGTGATATGGCTGAGTGGTAAGGTGAATATATATAGAACTAGGCTGTGTACGGAGACCCACTTCGCAAGAAATGAAATAAAATATCATCAAAGTTGGGAAAGCAGACTTTTCCAGCACATACTTTATGCATATATGATAGCTTGTTTGTCATTTATACCTCGATATACCGCTCTATAAACAGAAGTTTTACAAATGTTACTCGCTGTCCCCTTCATAGAAATCGGAGGAAAGCAAAAAATTACCATGGCCAGTATCTGTGACAAAAAGGAAATCTTATAAAAACTTTTCGTTAATTATCAAGACATATCAAAGGCTGCCCAAGATCGCGTGCTGTGAGGTTAAGCATACCGGTAATTTTAGCTTTTCACATAGCTCTAATTTATTACACCCAGGATTTTTGGGTGTACAAGGGGACACGTGACCAGCCGATGCCAGGGCCTTTTCCTGCCGCACCCATTTTTTAAGGGAAAAGCCGCAGGGACAAGGTTTGTATATGTACCACAAGGCAGGAGAATTACAACACCCCACAATGGCACATGTACGTCTTATGCTCTAAATTTGACAAAAATAGAAAGTGTTTAGGTGTCATTAGTAGACAATAATATGAACAAAAATAATGGCTGGAGTACCCACCCCTGAGTTATCTGTCACGGCAAATATAGGCGCCACATAATCATCCTGACTGCACTCATTGTTTTCTGTGTCAAATATTGCTGCCATGGCCCACAGTGGTAACAGCCATCTAACAATCTGAGGCAAAAAAAATAATTTTATAATTATTTAATTTACACACGTATTTACATGTAACAATATTAATATTGATAACGATGATGACAAGGTCACCAAATAACTACACTGGAACATCTGCAAAGAATTCTTAAAACACTGATGGAAAAGACAAATGGCACAAGTAGTAAGAGAAAAAATCTTATCACAATCTTGTGGGACAAGCCAAAGAGATCATGAGATAAAGGCTATTATAGACCAACAACATCATCATCAAGAGCAAAACAGAAAAAAGCTGCCTACTCATTCACATAACTATCCCAACTGAAGGGAGCACCCCAATAAAAGTCACTGAAAAACTATCGAAATATAAGGACCTTGAGATTAAGATTGAGATTGAATGAATGTGAGAAATGAAAGCCAAAAGAATAACAGAAATACTACGGGCCCACCCAACAACAAAACATCAAAATACATGGACTACAGAAAATCATGCAATGTCAATATCTCATATCTTAAGAAAGCAGGTACGTTACTATGGAAAAAACTAAGTAGGCTTTCTAACTCAACTGCACATTCAAAATTACCCAGCGAAATTAGCTGGCTGCCAGCTCTTAGTGGCATCCCTAAGAAAGGCACTATCCCTGAGGAATGGATCTAGCTATTATGTTGGACTATGACATGAACTTAAAGGAAATAACAATGACAATAATCATAATATGTGAGAAGTTACACTACATCTCAGACAAATAAAGAACATTAAATTAATGTAACTCACATTGACAGTGATGTAAACTGCTGTATAGCCCGCTGCATTTGTTGACTGGAAGTAGAATGAGAACACATTAGCCAGAGTGAAGACAGCCAACATTTTGCGACGCCATCCAGTAACATTGTTTCCTTGTGAAGTCAGAGGAACGAGTGCAGAAATTCCATACATATGTTGTAATACTGATCTGGGTATAGTGCTTCTGATAGGCTACAAATTTGCTTCAACCAATAGGAAGCACTTCCATATCAGTGTCATGTCGTCAGTATGCGCTCGTTTCTCAGACATCATTTGGAGGGGATAACCAGGACTGGCATCATGAAGTACGATCAACTCCCACTAAGACGGACACCTTTGGGACCAGCAGTAGGTGTCTGTCTTAGAGAGATGTCCCTCTTATAGAGAGTCAAATAAAGGGAGTAAAGAAAGGAAGGGACCAACTCTAGGTGTCTGTTTTAGGGAGGTGTCCGTCTTATAGAGGTGTCCGTTAAGAGAGAGTCGACTGTATTGACTGTTTTCTCGGGCTAAAAGCATATTAAACAGTAACTTGGATTTGCAAGACTTGCTACTGCCGAAAAATGATAATTCTCAACCTCTGTACCCATGTCCATATAATTATCCCATCACACCAATTAATAACAAGCTAGGATAACAAAGAGTTGACCAACAGAATGTGGGAAGCTATTAAAACAATCCAACTAGTCCATTCAACAATCTCTTATGATGTTTGCCAGGAGTATCAAATTAAACACCAATGTCTTCTCTTAACTAGTCTTTCCAATAAGTTATTATAATTATATATGGTGATTAGCAAGATGAATATTGCCTTAGGAAAAAAACCTTCAGTTTAAAATAATAGGAGACACTTTGAAATGTTGTTCAATAGAGTAGAACCTCCAAAAGACATAATGTAACCAAAAGGGCAGGATAATATTTTTTCACTGTAAGCAAACAACAAGAATAAATTATTTCTTTTAACTCACAAAAATTCCTTGGCATTGATTCTCTGGTCCTGCTGCAAAAAAAGTCAAACTGTTCATCAAAAGTGACAATGACACGAAATTGCTTCTACAATGAATAACGGACAAATTTAGTTTATTACGACATTGCATGTCTACATCCAAGTTAAATAACTGTTACACTGGTGGCCACAAAGGTTTCACAATTAAATGGCCAATCTAAAATCTCAGCTTTTCGTGGATCTGGATTTCTGTGGTGTTCCTGACAGTCTTTAACCTTTAAGTCCCACCAGTGAACAACATCAATTTTCTCCCAACAATGTCCATACATGATCCAGAGGTAATGAGAAATTAATGGGAAATAATAGGTAATAAGACTTAATAAAATGATTGTAAAGGAAATAATGCATTGATCTTTTATCAAATTCACTCCACTAATATTATTCTGTAAGGAACTCTACAGAGAACACAGTTGCTGGGCCGAGTTGTTCAAAGCTACAATCATCGTCAAAAGTGTTGGGAAGGTTGATTTTTCGACCTCTTTTTTTCCTTCCTCCCCCCACCCTGACAATGCAGTTCCTTGTTGACACAGTTTTGAATGATTCTTAGCCACTTACTTTGACTATAAAAGTAAAATTACTATTACTGCTCAATAATAATAATTATGCTGCAATACTTACTGACTCTCATCACAATGTCATGGACAATGCTGACAAAGGCTGACAGTTCACAAATAAAAATTATCCTGCAAACAGAAAATAGAATTAAACAACGCTTAATTACGAAGGAAGTGATCCCGATTACAATGCAACTCTGTGACTGACAAACTAAAGGGAATCCTTGAATGGCTTTTGGGAAAGATAGACTACCAGTGTTCTCACCAGGCCGCGGCCTTGCGGGATTCCCGCAAGAAAAACTGAAATGGCGCATTAAAACCAAGAAGATGCGCCCGTTAGGGCGCAGGGGCAAGCTACGAGTCAAACGGACTTAAGTAGTTTTAATGGTCAACCTAACACTAAAGCATTCTGTTTGTTTGAATAAATAAAAAACATGATATCAAATGAGTCAAAGTCTTTAATTTTGTTGCCTTTACTTTCATTGGTCCCATAAGTCCCACTACATCGTCCCATGAGCCCCTCTGAATCGTAAAACACCTCTTCCGCCATATTGGATCAGGTAGGTACTTCATGTAACAGACAATTTGGAGTGCGGGCTCAGGTTCTTCGTACCGCGTGTTTTTTGTAACTTCGTCCCCCTAATGTTCTTACAGGGCCCCTATTTCTCAGAAGAGGGGGCCCTGGGACTCCCCAAGGCAAAATCCTGGTGAGAACACTGGACTACATGTACAATACATCTTGCTTGGGATTTCCCACTTTGTTCCCTCAAAGAAAAAAATTCTTCTGGCCATAAAATCCATCCTTTATAGACCAAGCTTTTTCACAAAAAAAGGAAATTGCATTTCTGACTTTCTTTCTCCTGTGAAGCACTGTAAGTTTACTGCCCATTTTTCAAATTTCCTGAAAGCTTCACCCCCTTCCCCCCCCCCCCCACACACACACACACACTTAACAGGTTTGAAAAATCAGGACGCCACTATAGTTGTTTAAAGACAATTAACAATAATTGCTGCGATGAATTGTTAGTAACAATGCCTTTATATAATACCCCCATAGGTCTCTCTTCTGTGCTGTCCTGTTGTCCGCTAACATCCTCACATTGTTGAGTTCCCTATAACGAAGTAATTAATTCAGTGTTGTAAAACTGCAGTGAAATATTATGCCTATAAAGGGTTTAAGAACTGGCTGTCAATTTTAAACAACTTTATTTGTTATATTAAAACTTGCTTGAAAACTTTATGACAGCCCGGGTCACTTTATTGATAACGTTCTTGATCGCGTCATTTTGACTGCCTACTGCGGGTCTTCATCAGGCAATGGTCTCATTTTACTGAGCAAGACTATTACAGTTGAATCCTCTACAATGGCCACCTATGGCCAACTTGGGGACAGAAGAAAGTGGCCATTAATTGTAAAGTCAAAGAGGAGGCTGTTGTAGAGAGGTTTCAACAAGAGTCAATATATGGATTTTTTGTCCGCTGGGACGAAAAAAAGTGGCCATTGTAGAGAGGTTTTTAGAAAGGTGGATTTTTTTTGTCTGGCAGGATGAATAAAAGTGGCCATTGTAGAGAGGTGGCTGTTAGCAGAGGTTTGAGTATATTAACAATGTGATTGCGAAAGAACCTCACTCACGGATGGTGGGTTTTGATCTGAGGATCGATATTACATATATCAGTAAATAATAGATTACTGCATTGTAAGATGTCTTTGATACAGCTGCAGAGGCATGTTTGCTTACCTTGTGATAACGACCCCCGAGACCATGAAGGCTTGAACAACAATAATTTCAATGCTTGACAAGAGCAGCCACTCAGGTTCTTCTAAGTGGTAATTAAAAAAAACATGCAATCAATCTATGCATGTGTCATGCTTGAGTAATAATTAAATTAATTATCAGCAGCATTAATGGGAAGCAATCAATCTTTAGTGTTGAAAAACATTTACAATGCGAGGTGAAATATTTTTTTCAACATGAGAAGAGAAATTTCATATCTCCAAGCAACCATGTAATGTTCTATTTATTATATAAACACCAATGAAATACCAAACCATTTTACTTAAATAGTTTTTTGGTGTGAAAGGTGCAATTTATCATGTAGCCATAGCAACAGTGATATCTTCACACGTGAAGATATCAAGTTTTCGCACGAAAGCTCACTTGGTATTTCATTAGTGTTTATATAATAAATTTGTATTAAACTCCTGGGCCCAGTTGTTTGAACGCAGGTTAGCGCTAACCCAGGGTTAAATTTTAACCCGGGTTTCTTTTTCCTTATTATCAAAAGCACTCTCTCGGATGATTTTCTCTATTCTTTCAGCATATGTAATCACCAAATTGTAGGCAAAGAGAATTCAACTGAATTGGCTTTTTAAGCTCTCATATCTGAGTTCAAAATTTGCAATAACCCTGGGTTATCTTAACCCAGCTTCGAACAACCCGGCCCAGGCCTTATGAGGTAATGGGTAACAAAGTTGTTAGTTTTTTTGGAAGTGTAATTATTTTTATCATTTCAAATTTTACACACATTTTAAAGCAAACCTGAATGATTGACGGTTAGTTTATACTGTATGCACTGCACTCACAATATTGTACCTGCACATTCCTTGTATTCATGCTTCATTGTTGCCAGTCCAACAACTGCTACAATCAACAGGATGAGAAAGACAGCTCCCAACACTTTGTTAGAGTATCTAAAAGATAAAAGTGTTTTTAAAAAGTCTCACTTCAATTAATACTGTACACTGAACATTGCATAGGAAGATGGATAATCTAGAGATTTAGAATTTTCCTTTGCACTACAGCACCACAGGTATGAAATCATAAGTGGGGGTTGTGGGGGGGGGGGGAGTCACAAAAAGTGCAGTTTTACAAGGCTAACAAGTAAGAAAAATAATATTTAAAAAGTACCAAAGGAATCATCTTCTGAAGAGTACAATAATATTTCCATAATAATTATAATAATTACAAAAATAATTATTTAAAAATAATAATAATGGACAAAGTATGATATACAAATCTATCAATACAAACCTAAAGAGTAAGAAAAATAATATTGAAAAAGCACCAAAGGAATCATCTTCTGAAGAGTAGAATAATATTTCAATAATGATTATAATAATTACAATAATAATAATAATAATAATAATAATAACAATAATAATAATGGATAAAGTATGATACACAAATCTATCAATACAAACCTTTTTAACCTTTCCTCGGTTTCAAATCCTATCATTCTGGCAGCTAAGCGGCAATGAAAATTGGTAACTATAAGAAACTGTTGAAACAAAGAAAAATAAATTACACACCAAGCAAACTCCTGGAACCTGTGATTATCTTAAGTTTTACCTCTTGTCTAGCTTTGGAAATTACCCGCAGAAAAAAAGCTCATCAACTTAAGCTTATCAACTTACTTGAGTAATTTTTATGAACTCTGATACCAAGTGCACAGCAGTGACAGCCAAATACAACCAGTTGATTGCACTGAAACAACAATTATTTTGAGAGTAAAACACAGTCGAAAGTTACAAAAACTACGAGAAAACTAGAGATTAAATACAGTCAAGTCCCTTAGTTTATAGTGGACACCGTAGCAACCTCAAGTTAGTGTCCTCAATAGTCCTTAATAGCGGGATTTTATTTCAGTCAAACATCTGTAATTTATTTTTGCCTGGGATTTAGCTGCTGTCCACATCATCAGAGCATCCGTTATAGCGGGGTGTCCACAAGGAGAGAGTCGACTGTACAAAGTTTTGAAAATTGTGCAAAAAAGTAATGACAAAAACACCCAAATCATTAATAATATTATTGGTGAAAGTGACAGTCTAATTTTACACAAAATAATTATGAACAAAATCATCAGAATGCATCCAGGAAAAAGACTACTTTGAAGGACCAATAAAGTTAATTATCTGTGCTACATATAATTAACATCATGACTGAGCCAATTTTCTAAAAAATTTTGTTTGATATAACATAATATAATTTATTATTATAGCTCTTATGCATGTTTGAAAACAAAATTCTTGCTTTTGCACTCTTTATGCATCAGTAATTCTTTTCAACCCTGCTGCACGGGGAATTAATAAAATGTGTAAAACTTTGCAAATTTACAATTTCAAAACAAGGCTTGTTTATTTGTGTGCACAGCTGTATTAGTACTAATTGACCCTTCAAGCCCCAATATCCACACACAAATTCTCCAGACTGATATTCATACATCTCCTTAGTCTGAGACAAGTTGAGAGAGTTTAATAAAAGATCAAAGCGTTTTCTCTTTGGTGATCATTTGATTAAATCTCGTAACCATTTCTCTTGACAATGTATGGATACGTTAGGAGAAAATAGATGTTTGTCATATATCAGTCTCACCATAGGATACATTCCAAAATTCCACTGTAGAAAATGATATACTGATTGATCAGGGAATGATGATGAGAATGCAGCTTGTAGAGCTAAGTCAACAAAAAATAATTATTTTATCAAAAAAACAATATTTTAAGAGTGAGGTACCGTACATATGCACACGCTATAAACATGCAGGCATGTGTGGAACCAAAATTAAACTAAAGGTGTGGTAACAAAGGACAGTTTAAGCGACTGGTAAATGATTCTTCTACCACAGGAAATTAAATATTTCGGCCTGATGTGTGTGAACAGACTTTCCTGAGATACATTTGCCATTGGAAATATCCATCTATGGATATGTCGACAGAACCAAGAAACTGCCCATGATATCTAACATGATAAATAGCTGGGGTGTTTCGATACCCAAGGCAAGAAAGCCAATCAATGAAACGACAAAGAAAATTGTACCTTTTCACATGTTTCATTCATGCTATTTTGGGAATGATCGATGTTCTCAAGACAGGTTTTCAATAACTTTGAAAGTAACAGGGAAATTCTGAGGCAAAATTTCATCTAGTTTGTTGGGCTAGATGTAGGAATGACATTTGCCATTTACAATTCCTGGCAGAAATTCAAAAACTGTACAATGGAATTTAAGGCAAATATTTAAAAAAAAAAACAATTCTGTATACCTTCACTAAATTGTCAGGACTAACAAACCAGGATAAATTTGACATAAATTACACAAAATCCTCTCATATCAAAAGTTATTGTTGCCACAATAGCAAAAATGAGGCCGTAAGAGTGGCTTTTTTACCTTGGTAAGTCATCCATGTACAGTGTAACCACATATCACCACAGTAGTCTAAACCCAGGTAAAATTTACCATGGCTTTATTATTTTACCAAGGGAAATGTCTTTTACCAGGATGTGTGTAACCACACCTTATTTTCCAGATTTTCTTGTTTGTTTTGTTTTTTGAAGCATTTATTTATTATTAATTTATTCTCGCTATCTGAGTTCAAAAACAAAAATATATTAGTTATTGGCTTCTTTAAAAGTCAGTTTTCAAAACTATCAAGGTACTTTAAGGTACTTCAAATAGTCTCAAGCTTTTTTTTTTAATTAATTACCTTAATTGCACAGATAATGATTGTTACAATTGCCAGTACTGTTAAACAGCTGTCCCTAATAGGTCAAAGAAAGAAATACAGAAAAATTTTAAAAACCACATTAATAAAAAAACAGCAATAAACAGCTTATGTGTACATGTAAGTGAGCCACTCTTAAAAATAATATTACGGAAATATTGTAGATTGGTATTCTAACTGGAAGTATGGACCACTAAATCAAAAAGTTTCTTTAGGAAACAAATAATCTGGACAGAAAAACTTTGTAAATCTTTTTGTGTATGTCGTTTTTGACTATGTGTGGGACTACAGAAAATATTTTGGACAACTCAAAGCTTTGATTTTGGAAGCCAATAAAATGCCCTAAATGTGTTAATTGAGATTTGGCACCAATCAATCATCAATGGCTGTTGTGGTCAAATTTAAATCTACCTCTATCCACTTAAACCTGGAGATAGGATAAATATCTTATGACCTCAATTTCTCAGTATGAGCTATAAGTTACAGAACCTCACTTTTTTCTTCTCAGTCTGTAACTTACAGTATATTGACCACTAACTCAGTTAGTAATTATAGGGAAATAGCACTCCAACTTCAACAAAGAAGAGGCATTATGATGTTTTTGAAATCTTAATTATTACTTAAAGAATGACAACTAGTTTAAAGTACCAGCATGTGACGTTTTATGCTGCCTGTACAAATTAAGAAGGAAAAAGTAGCCATGCATCCTTACCTAATGGTTGAGTACTGGCTGTGAAAGCCATATCATACGCTTGTGAATTTTCTTATCAAATTAATCCAATTACCCAGTATACCACAAAACTACTGCTGAGTAAATTTACCCAAAAGATCAAGCCTTTGAGTTTTACTTACCTCACACATGAGGCAGTATTGAAAGTCTTGAAGCAGCCTGTGTAGGCTAAGGAACTTTTTATTAGGGAATCATTTCCTTTTGACATGGTCACTCAGTGTCAACAATTTAACATCATTGGTGAAGTTTACCCTGTGGGTTACATAGCAATATGACAGTTATGAGGTAATATTAACCCTTTAAACCCCAGAAGTGACCAACATCCGTTTTCTTCTAACAGTAAATATACACAATCACAAGTAAAGGTTATGACGGTTAACAAAATGATCCCACAGAGGGAAATGCTTTGATCTTTTATCAAACTGTTCCCTCATCTAATTCTTGAAGGAAACGTATGGAGATCAATCTGGAGTATTTGTATGTGGATACTGGGTCTTAGTTTTAATGGCTGTTCAGGGAGATAACTGATTTTGTTTTTCAAGAATCTTATAAAGCGTGCAATTAAAAAGAAAGTCATGTCTGATAGCCTGGGCTAGTGGATTTTGCAATCGGGCAAGTAAATTCTGTTTTAACTTGCCTGAAGGGCAAGCGAAGTTTTTAGGGAAATTCAAATTTACAGAAGAAGTGTATAATCACCGCTGCTCATCAAAAATTTTTTTGGGGCTACTTAAAAGACTCTTGGGCTAGTACATACTAGCAACAACTTGCCCAAATGGCAAGCCGTAAAACCGACTCTCTTTGTATCCTGAATCTCATACAAAATTAACTCCTTTCCTGAGGGACCAGTCATAAGGTGAATAAAGGCCCGTTTATATGAGGTGAACATGAGCCTGGTTAGATATGCTGGTCCATTTTACTGGGCTGGCTCGGCTCATGGCTTGTACCCGTGTTTTCTCTACAATTTTCCTTGTGTTTATATGAGGAGGTGGGTTGGCCTGTTCGTCGAGATCTCAGCATAAACAACAGGGATCTCAGCCAGCCCACCTTTTCATAAAAACACAACAAAAATTTTATAAGGAAACATAGCATAAGCCGAGCCAGCCCAGTAAACCAAGCAGGCCAGCCTAGCTAACAGCTGGGCTGGTTCACCTGATATAAAAAGGTCCTACCCTGTAAGTGGTCAGCTTTGGTAAGAATGCTGAGCAAACTACAATCAAAGACAAAAGTAGTTGGGAAGGCTGTACAACTTAACAGTAGTCTATTTTAATCCTGAAAAAAGAGAGTTTTCTCTTTTGCTAAATATCCCCCGTCCCCCCTGTTCAATGTTGGGATATAACAGAACAATTACGCGGACAAACATTAACGTTTTGATCAACATTGGGCCAGGGGCGGGGGGAGGAAGGAAAAGAAGAGGTAAAAAAGGCAACCTTCCCAACACTTTTGACGATGATTGTAGCCTTTGTGTCCTTTGATAGTCTTTTATTGTTTAGATAATCTTATTTACATTATTTTGAAAGAGCAGTGTTACTTCTATCAAAACAAGGTTCACTTTCACTTGAGATTTGGATACTCAGTACACAACTGTAAAATGGCCTTTTCTATGAACATAATTGTTTGGGGGGTATGAGGGAAGAAGTTCTAGTAAAAAGGCCTAATTAGTGTGAGCATGGCATGTGTCTGCTCACATTGAATTCTTTTACATGTAACACAAAAATACTAATGTGGTTTTAGGTGAGCTAAGCCAGCCCAGCAAACTTGGCTAATAGAAAAACCCCGAAGTTGAGAACAGATCTTCGTTTGCTCATTTTCTACAACTTTTACTACGCTTATTTAATTCATATTATTACGGTGACCAATTAGTATGATCTGTGGATTATTTTACACTTGATTGTGACACGGAAACGTGACTCTTATAAATTTGATACCGCCAATTTACAAAGAGTCTAAGGACGAGTAGGGGTAAGAACCCACTACTTCCTTCCGAGTTCTATCACATTTTCACTTTCGTGAAAGAGCATAAAAAATTATCAAGCTTCTAAAGAGAAGAAAACTGATAGCGTTCCTAGTTCCTTTTCATTGATTTGCCTAGCTAATCTAGATCGATACCGCTCTTAATCATACCTAGTGGTTATCCAATTTCAGCAAAACTGGGAATTTAGAAAAGTACTGGAAATTTGTTGTTGTCCAGGACAAAGCAGGCGTTAAAAAGTTATTTACTTCGTCACATGCACGCCTTCGCACGTCCACACGTTCTATAGCTAGTCCCTCACACGCGCCAAGAAACAGTGAAAGGATTTCACACTATTTCATAACAATTTACCGTTAAATTTTTCCTTACATAACAAACACTTACCTACTGACTCTTTCCTCGTCACCAGCAGCGGGGCCACACAGAATTACATTTTCAAGAACTGCTCATCATGTGTTTGCCTTGTGTTTGCCGCGCCAGCAAACACACTTGAGCATGACAAACAGACCCGGCTGGAGTATGGAGGGGCGAAAATATGTTTGTCTCACAACTGAAACCATTCAAAAGTTAATTCCACCTATTCAATGTAAATTTTCTCAAGCTATAGGGGATTCATGTAAAATGCGTTCTTTTTAATGGTTTCATTCATCTCTGAATTGTTCTTTTTTAAGGATTTCCGTATTCCCTAGGGGACGGGAGTTCATTCAATCTTATTTTAGCATGTGAACAGCCAGGTTACCAAGCTTCTTCAACAGAAAAACAACTTATTTTTTCTTAGGATTCGTGGCGGAGGACGAGGTCTTTTGAAAAGAAAATGACGCGCCGAATCGAGGTGTTTCATCTAGATTTCAATCAAGACCAAGGTAAAGCCTTAAAGCATCCATTCGCAGATTCCAAATAATACGATAAACCTATAATCAAGAACAGCGATTGAACTTTCGTGGGCCGGAATGCTTGCAGTAGTCATTTCACTTTTAAGAAAACCGAAATTTTCTGGCCTTTACTCAATTTTTCCAAAACGCTGACGAAAAAACATTTATCTAAAAATATCCCTCGTTTACTTTATTTCTCTGTCATTTGCGGTGAGAATACATGGATTTGTCAAATTATTTAAACGTTCTTTTACATGCACTTGTTTGGCGTGAGGTGTCTGTTATTGACAAAAAAAAATTAATTCTCTACTAACGTTTACAGGTTGCTTTTCTTGTACAATGGAGGATGGTTTTAGAATTTACAACGTGGAACCTCTTTCAGAAAAAGCCCGTGTTGGTGAGTCTATTATTATTACAATGGTTATAATACCTACTATTTAAAGCATAAACATTCAAACAAAATGATAATCCTCAAAGGGTCAATCCCATTGCAAAGGATGGAAGGGAAATAAATTGAAGTTGCAAAACATCAAAATCCTTCTAAGCCATACACCTTAAAACCAGCACGGACTCATTGAAACAAAGTTGTCTACTCAAAGACCTTAATTCATTCATTTTATATTCTGGGCCAGCAGCAAGACTACAACTGGAAGGGCCAAACAAATTGGCCGACTCAAAGCTACATGTATCCTCTCACCGTACCCCCTTTTTCAAAAAGTACATAACAAGTAGGGCTGCGTTTTTGCGGGAGAATCCAAAAACGGATTTGTGATCTCAGATCATATGGATTCTTCACTACTAAGAAACGGAAGATCTGAAAAAGGATCATTTACCATGACAGCGGCATGTCATCATGCTAAGTAATAACCTTTATTTTAAGAGGGTGACACCAATTACTATAAAAAGTATTCTCCCTAGTGGTCCTCTAAGAACAAAATTGATAATAATAAACTACAACAATCATGATAAAAAGCCTATTTACAAATAGTAATTGCTCCTTGTGATGAGACAAAGTTATAGAGGAAAAAAACAACAAACTGATCTTCACCGCAAAGACAAGAAGGAAAAGTGACATAAACTATGTATGAATATACAAAATGTACATATTTCAGTTTGAAACACAAACATTTCTCGAATTGAATACACCTTACGAAAGTTAAATAATTTATAAGAATTTAAAACTGAAGCCGATGAACTTTTTCTTTAATCACTTGGAAAATAAACCAGCTTAAGCAGACACTACATATACCATATACAAAAAACATGACAAGTAAGGGTTTAAAAACAGTCATGCTTTTTTGTTCGGAAAACTGCTTGTCAAAAATACTCTTTTTCAAATCGTTTTCCAAAAAAAATGCTCAGATTGTAAATCTCAAAACTCTGGATTTGGGTTTTCCCAAAAAAAAATGCACCCTAGGTCAGGGGGCATTAAGATTCATATCAGATAGATTCTGATAAAGTCATGATGCCACAGTGTCTTGTGTCAACTTTGGTTAAAAAGACTCCGTATTGAAACTTAAGCAAATATTTAAAAATATAATGAAATTCCCCCAAGATATCTATGCAAACAGACAACTAATAAAACTGGATATGCCACTTGTTTAACATGAAGAGAGTTTCATTTCACAATGGTGTGTAAAAATCTATCAAAATCCAGAAGAAATAAAGCTCTCTGCGAGATGTTCATTGGGCATCAGAGATTGGAGAATTCTCTGTTTACTATGCAGAATTCTCCGGCTAACGTTCGATAGCCTAGGACAATTTTTATTCAGATGTGGGGACTCTTTCAAAATATTCTCCTGTAATGTTACACCTGTCTCCCGCTACTAAAATTCGTAATGAAAACACTGTCTCTGCCCACCCAAACCTGCCAACAAAATGGTAACGGTTCAGGAAGAAAACAAAAATGCAGCAAATTAAAATGGTGGTTAATGCAAAACTCATGCAGTGAGCAGCATGTAACTTAGTTGGCAGGGGATACCTTTTATATGTGTCAGATGACCAGTTCCAAAATTCTCCAGGAATTCCATTCTGAGAGGCCCAATTCACCCTTCTGTTCCCCCAAAAAAAGAGTGCCTCTGATATATCTGCACCTGAGGAACACACACAAACAATAAACTCTGATGAAGTACCTGAAAAAACTGTTGTTTAGTGACCAGGGAAAGAAAACTGGCTATGGATATAGTAACATACGTGGGGGACATGGGCGGGGCCAGAGTGAAAGCCCACATGGTGAAGCATCTTTATGAGACACAAGGGCAATTTGAGAGGGACACAGTCTATATTCTGCATTCATTCGTGCACTCATTCATGTTTAAAATTCTTGTCACAGCCTACTCCATCAAACAACCATGTTTTGTCAGCCCTGTTATTCACTTTAAGACGGAAACCATCAGGAAATTGAGTAATTTCAATTTTCAGTGTCTCTGGACAAAAACCTTGTACCAGAATAATTTAAACAATATCACATTGCTCTTTACATTTTTCAAGGGCTGTAGATATAATATTATTAATTACCTGTAATAGCACCATAGATTATTTCTCATGGGAGCGCGAGAAAATAAATGTCAAATTTCACAAGAATTGTGAAAACATAGGTAAATGCTGAACATTTCATGTGTAAGATTTCATTTTGTGAATTTGACATTTATTTTCTCGGGCTGTCATAAGAAATTTCCTTTGGTGTTATTACAGATAACTAATAACATTATAGCCCTTGAAAAATGTAAAAAAGAATGCAATATTTTTTAAATAATTTTATTCTGGTACAAGGTTTTTGTTCACTGAAAATTAAAATTACTCAATTTCCTGATGGATTTTGTCTTAAACCTCTTAATTAACCTAAGAGAGTGCATACTTGTAAGCCTAAATTTTTACCACCTAATATGTAACAAATTTTTCCTAGCTATAGAGTAGCTGTAATTTGATGGAGAAAGGTTCGACTTTGTAATAAAAAAGCTTAACTATTACAAATGATTGTCAAATAATGAATGTAATTTGCAGATTTGAATGAGCCATTCCAGGCATCCCAGACTCATATGTTACATAGATGTAACTTGATAGCTATTGTAGGGACGGGGCCAGGTGCTAAATTTTTCAACGACAAAGGTAATCTTAATTTCTTTATCTGATTTATTTGATGACCAATATTGATTGTTAATTAAATACTGCCCAAGGTACTCAGTAAGAAAGAAATTACCGGTATGATTTATTGATGCAGTTAAATTTTGTACGCTTTCTAGTTTATATCTGGGATGATGTGCAAAAAAAGCTGGTGATTGAACTTACATTTGGCTGCCCTGTTATGAGTGTCAGGATGAGAAGAGAAAAGTATGTTGTTACATGTAAATGTACATTGTAAAACATCTTGTTATTATTTCATAATACGGTCAAACGTACCTCACTTTACAGACACCTCCTTAATCCCGACATCTCATTATTATGGACAGTTTTCTTTATAATAATATTATTATTCCTGGGGGAAGACCATTTTTCTCTAAATTCAACCAGCTTAATATGGACATCTGTTAATGTGCACAACAGACAGTTGTTTCTTGCCCAATCAACAGATTAAAATTCAGAGAAAGTCAACCTCCCTAATGCAGACTATTCATTGGATGTGTACTGTGATAAGTTTACCTTTCCTTTTTGAACCTTCAGTTCACAGCATGTCAATGTTCCCTGATCAGCACTACTGTACACCAGATAGGACAAATTTCAGACATCAATTTCAGACTATTTTGGCATTGAACAAGTTATGCAGAGATCATTTTTTGATGAAGTAATGTATAAATCAGCAACTTCTGAGTGTTTTTGTGGACATGGTTCGCAAAATGATGGCTTTGTAAAGGTTACAGATGTTTAATTTGATGGTGCTAATGTCCTGTTATATTTCTTTAAGATTTGTTCAAATAAAAGGTGTGTTTTTAGCTTAAATTAAAATAACATGACCCACTTAACATGGACACCCTGTTAATACAGGACTGTAATGATAAATAAACATTTAAAATTACAAATATTGATACTTTTAAAGTATCAATTGAATAATATTATTATACCAACGTTAGAAGTGCTGGAAACACATGCAGGTCTTTTTTCTGTTGCTGCTTGAATGTTAAACATGCTTACACACTGTATAGTATTTTAAATGTTTGTTATCTTTGTGTTATGAAATAGGTTATTTGTGGTGCTCAAGACAAGAATCCAAGTGTTTTCATTTCCAAAGGATCCCAAACTTTTGTTTTACTTTGATACAAAAGACAACCCGAAAGGTAAGACAGTTTTGTTAATTTCAAGGCAACAAAGTACGTGTACTCTTGGGATAGATATCTTGGTGGAAGGAATCTAACAATATTGAAATTTCATTTTCAGGCTGTGATTATTAACTTGCCATTTGTAATATGTTTATTCATACAATTCATCGCAAGGCACACAACCGCAACCTCGGTGATATCCTTGTGCGTACTTCTCACCGCAGCCAACTCAGTTTTCACGCTGGTACATCTCCATGCTGACACGCTCACTGTCACACTTGCCAGCAAGTTTCCATCGACACCAGCGTTAGTGGCCCTCAATGCTCTTTTGTCATCAAGAAGGCATTTTCTTGCCAAACGTCTGGTTTAGTCTATTGCACCTCCTGTCACCATTGCACTGTTACCATTCCAACATCAGTTGAAACAAGGTGTACACGAAGGCAACATTTTGGCGAACACCTTTGAAGCATAGAGAAGAACTTGCCTGGTTTCCCTGTTGCAGATCATTTTAACACAGCTGGTCTCTCAATCCATGAGGCTCTAATCCACGGAATTACATGTATCCTCTGCAGGGAAAACGCACAACAAAAGCACCTGGAGATGCGCCTTATTTTTCAGCTTGGCACCAATCATCCACGCGGCTTAAACTCTGACTTCCGTTTCCTCTAAGCTGCACGCTCACTGCAAAGTTGATATTTTCTCTTTCATGGTGTATGCAAACCTTGCAATATTTCCATCATACTTGTAACTCCACTGATGAAGGGCCAGGCCCAAAACATTTGGAAAGGAACTCAAACCATTAAATAGATGCCCTGGGCATTTATTAGGTCATCTACGTTAGTTGACTGACTCACTGAAAACAACTGAATCCCATCTTCCATGTAGAAAAGTTGTTTGTGATTGAGCTCAAGTATCAAAACTTTGACAAATTTACCTATTTTGCCTTGCAGGCCTTTGCGAAGTGTGCCCAAGTACAGAAAGACCCTTAATGGTTTTTCCATCGCAGAAATGTGGCAGTATACAGCTTGTGGTATGTACTTGATATCTTGCCTAGTAGTAATCTTGCACAAGTTGCCATAGCAGCTATGAAGGGTCATGTGACAAAGTCATGATATGTTGTTACCTTTGAGAGTTAATCAGAATTTGCTTGTATTTTATTGTTTTTTTAAACTGGTAGTACCTGAGGGCTAGTAGGAATCTCCCAGATTTTGGCTATGGCAAACTTAAATGTGTGCTTGCTATAATTTGATCTTACACATGGCAGATAAAAATTAGCATTTGAAACATATCTGGCATACTACAATGTGTGTGTATTAAGTTTATAGTTTGTTTGTAGCTTTGTTGACATTTTCAAAACCCAGATTTTCACATGCGTTCTCAATCTAGGACCTTACAAACAGACAGCCTGACACCTCCACAGCACCCTTCACTATCAATGCTCACCAAGGCGAGCTGGCATGTCTGTCCATTAATCAACAGGGAACCCAGGTTGCTACGGCCTCTGAAAAGGTGAGATCGTATTAATCTCAATTTTTACCGTGATTACTCCATAAATGCAGGCCAACGAGGGGAACTCTCTACTGAAATTACTCGCCTGCAGCTCATGGTTCCTCTTTAGTTTTGAACTTTTGGGTATCATTTCTCTGGTCTACAAGAGTGTAGGCTGTGGAAAATTGTTTGCCATTTTTAAATCGCCCCGTTTTGCCAACTTTTAAAAAACTCCCTTCCCATTCAAATCAGCAGTGAAAGTCTCACCTTTTGTATAGTTCCTCTTTAGTGTTGAACATTTTGTTAACGTTTCTCTGGTTTACAAGATTGTAGACTGTGGAAAATTGTTTTCCATTTGTTAATGGCCCCATTTTGCCAACTTTTAGAAAGGAACCCCTGTTTAGGTGGAGCGCTACCCCACTCTCTAAAGTACCCCATCCATTAGCTAATAAGCCTCCTTTTGCATTCTCACTGTCTTGTTTCTTTCCTTTCATCTTCACCCCACCCCCCTCCCCCACCCCATGCGATCTTACTTCCTTAGAATAGAAAAACCTACAAGTTGTAATGATACATGATACAACTTTGAAACTCCAATTTTTTTGTTCTTTATGAAGGGAACACTGATCCGTGTATTTGACACACAAACTAAGAACCTTCTTGTAGAGTTACGACGAGGAGCTGACCCCGCTACTTTATATTGGTGAGAATTTTAACTTCACTCTTTTACTTTGATTCTCGGCATGGCTGTACAGTTGAAATTATCTTATCTTTCCATGGTATCAGTATCCAGAGAAGCTCAAAGATCAGGCTGTGGAAGGCACGTGGGGGGGCCATAGGGGCGCTTGGGTCCCTCGCGCGCCCTTTTTTAATGCCCCCTTTTCGGTTTTCCACGAAAATCCAACATTCTGGCTATTTTTTTCTTTTCATCATCATCATTACAAACTCTATAGTTTTATTTCCTCAATCGTTTGTTTCAGGCAAAAAACGATCCCGGTTTTAATGCCCTTCTAGACCCTGTTAAGATATCTTGCGTTTTTGCAATTTAGAATCTCTGAAAGATTTGCAATTTAGAATCACAAGCTTTCCTGGAACCTCACAGAACTAACAGCAAATTTGTATGGGTTTCTGTTGCAGCATTAACTTCAGTCATGATTCAGCATTTCTTTGTGTATCCAGTGATAAAGGAACGGTTCATATATTCGCTTTGAAGAATACTTCTTTGAACAAGAGATCAAGGTATTTTTTAACGGACGTATAACGGTAATGAAATGTTTTGGACATGTCTGTTTTCTACAAATTTTTGAGAGCTTTGATGGATGGTACATGTATATCATGAGGAACCAATCACAGAGATGTTTTGAAGGCGGAGTCTTTCTATTAAGAAATTTCTCTTATAATCCGTTGATATCCTTTGCATCGCTTCGCCTCCAAGACAGTTTGGATTTTGAAGGGTTCAGTATTATATACAGCTCAACAAAATTTTAATAAAATTGTAGAACACGTGCCAAAAGCTGTCAAAAACTGTGTTAAGTGAAACTGGCAGCGTGTCATCGCTCAAAGGTTGAAGAGTATTAAAACCATCTCTTGATACTTTCAAATCCAAGTCGCGTTGTGTCACTTTTCTTAAACGTTGTATAACTTTGCTCACTTTAACTCCCATAACTCCGTGGTTAGGGAATGCAACCAGTACTATCATTACAGGGGCCTAGCCAGCTTTTCGACTTGTTTAGGCCGGAATTATTTTTCCACACATCCTAAAAAATGCTTGTTTTAATTGTATTGATTGCACTATGACATACTGAGAGCTCTTAAGCTTTTTAGCTCACCCCAACAACGCATTATTTATTACAAGTGGTAGAGTGATCAGCAGAAATTTGTAGGCCCGGTCTATGGCCTGGCTAAGCCCATGCATCATCATTATCATCATCATCATCATCCTCATCCTCCTCCTCATCATCATCATCATCGCCATTATCATTATCATTATCTTTTCACTAGTCATTATCATTATTAGAGAGTAGTTCTGTTCTTAATAGTTCGTTCACTTACTGTTCATAGCCTTGCAAAGATGGGATTCTTAGGACAGTATGTTGAATCTCAATGGGGTTTAGCTAACTTCACTGTCCCAGCAGAACAGCCCTGTATTTGTGCTTTTGGATCCGGCAGCTCTGTTGTTGGTGAGTACATTTGGTTAGCTACGGAAAGAAACGGTGCATTAAGCAGTTAATGTTAAGCCTCATAGAAAACAGAGAGTTTTGAGAGAGTAGTAAAAACCCAGCCTTCCCTTAGGGACATGGTTAGTGACATTGTTTTTGCTTCGGGTCAAAGCGGTTGAGTTCTTTGTTCACATGGCACGTGACACCTGGTTTCTGTTTTTCGTCCAATTCGGAAAGAGGTTATCCAATAGGTTTTCGGGGTCCGGGATCAAGGGTTTTGCCCTATTTCATGCACGGGGGCCGGCTGATTTAGCAATTCGGCATTGACGAAAGCAAAAAATAAGAACTGAAATTTGAGCGGGGATTTAGTCCTTTCCGCGCGCTTGACGTCACGGTTCCCGTTCTGTTGCGAAATCAGCCTACTGAAAACGGGAATGCGGCCTTGAGTGACAATTTGGGTCGGATGACGGGATTGAAGAACCTCATTAGGGACCGACGGAAAACACGCCTGAGTTGGGAGGTAAAACACGACTAGGGAATAAGAGCGCAAACACAAGTTGGAGCAAAGAACTACCTAGCGTCAAGAAAACTTCTTTTGTTACCTTAGTTGTGAGAAATAATTGAGGACGATAATAATAATAATTGATGATTATTAATCACGTTAAGTCGTTCTGCCTTTTTTGAACCGATCATTCTTTTTTTGATTCAGTGGCAGGCTGTAACCATTCAATCGATACTTGCAGAAGTTTTCAACTTGGATTATGTAAAACTAAACCAATCTGTTTGGTCAGGCCTCTTTTGTTTTGTTTTAGTTTTTGTTTTGTTTTTTTGTTTTTTTTGCAGCCGTGTGCGTTGATGGTACTTATCACAAGTATGTCTTCACGCCCGACGGTAACTGTAACCGTGAAAGATACGATGTGTTCCTGGAGCTGGGAGATGACAATGAATTCTGATGCAAAAAAAACCCTTTTCTCAAACAGCAAACAGCATACTCCTTAAATCTAACTTATTCAATATGGCCGCCGTATCGGTAAAAAGGTCTGTTCTGTCTCAAAGTACGAAACCTCAGATAGCTCTAGCAATCAATTTTCTATGTACATCGTTCCTGACTGGAAGGTTTGAAACATTTTCAACTTAAGGGTGTGCGATCCAAGATTCAGGTCATAATCCATTAGACCTTTTAGGGAGTTTCAGCCTTTCGTACCAGCTTAAGCTTCTTAATATCTCTTCCCCGGGTTGGGGACTCCCATCTGAAAGGGACCGGGATGCTCGTCGGAAATTTTGAATTAAACCCCTGAAGGAGACCAATCTAGGCGTGGCCCAACCTTTTTTTTGACCCCTAAAAGCGATCATTTTAAAATCGAGTAAATAAAACGAATTGAAAATACATAATTTTTTAAAATTTCTTCGAGTGCAACCCTAAAAGAGACCTTTACGGCTAAATATAATGGCGTTTTGCCCAGAACACCCTAAGCGAGACCAAAATCTAAAATTTACACCACTAAGCGAGACGACGAGCATCCCCGCCCCTTTCATATGGGAGTTTCCTCCCCCGAATCTCTGCCCTTTTTCTGTACTATTCTCAGGAAAATCTGCTAAAAATTAGAACATGTATCTTTGGTGAACATTTTTGCTCTCACTTTTTTTGCGCCAATAAATAAGAGGAACATTTTTATCAGTTTTAGCTACAGGCACAGCTCACTGAGGGTACAAATGCTTATCGAACCTGTGTGATTGGAAAAGACGAATGTAATAGTTGTTATGGATAAGCTGAGGAGATAATTCAAACGTGCAGAGTAAATTTTACAAGACAATTTTTAGATATTTGTATATTTGTAAATATTTTGAATATCCTTATTTATTAAACAGACTCTTAACAAGAATTTAACTAAATCGTGTGTGGTCGTTGATCGCAGCTGTATATTAATGGGTCCTTGTTGGGTTGAGCTCTTTTAACGAATGAAAATGAAACCGTTTTCTCGAATTTCAAAAATTCCCAACCCTGGGTAACGGGCGAGATGCTCCGGTATCGGCTTCAAATAGGTCTCTTTTTCATCAGCTGCATATGAAGATTTTCGCCCTCTCTCCCTTCTTTAGGCTGGTAATTTATTAAATCCCTGGGCTTAAATACTAGACCTTGATCGACAACGGTATCAGACCTGCTGATAGTTCCAGATTTGAATTAACAAAGCCCCTCATTCTCCCTCTATAAATTGAACTTGTAGTGATTATCCAGTTCATTAAGGTCTGAAATTTCAAATTTCTGTTTAGGCGATTAAGCTTAAGCCTTTTCTCTTCAGGCCATTAGGAAGCTCAAGTAACAACGGCAACGGCGGAAGTCAAAACGTCGCTCAAAATATTAATTTGCGTCCTTTCAAACTTTATCGCGTCTATTTGGTCTCGCTCAATTTGTCAAATGTACGCGATTTCTCCTGGAGTTGAATTCTTAATTACTTAATCCAAGTAAAAAAAAAAGCTTGATGGACGCGCATAGCTGTTAGTTTTGCTCATAAAACTAATTGTTTTTTGACTTTGTCGTTGTCTTTGTCGTCTTGGTTGCATAAGCTCCCAATTAACTTAATCCCTGAAGTAAATCTCCCCCCGATGAGGTCTTTAGAAGGTCTCCCCGAAGACTTAAAACCGAGCTTATGCGTTAGCCACTGATATTTATTATCCACCGTTAATTTGGTCGTTAGACAACACCTGTCCCATTGACTCGTCAAAACACCTGCTCCAATCTTGACACATATTGAATTTTAACACGTTCTGTAAACACAACAGCCCAATTTTTATCTACGACAGGGAAAATATTTGGATTTTCAAGCTGTTTATAGTATTTTAGATAAGATAGAGTATGTAACGAAGTGTCAATTTTGTGAGGCTGACGTAGCTGTTGTACCATTGAGAAGGATGATATCTGTTTCAGATTCAGTAGAAGTTATAAAAGGTAACTGATATTCGCTACAGACTATCGGTCATCATTCATATTAAAACGGCGGAAGGACCATCGTACAATATAATAGTAGAATTAGTAAGGAATTACAAGTATTTCTAACTTGAATCTTCAGTGTTATAATAGCTCGGAGCCACAGTATAGATGTAGTGTTTCAAGCAGGATAGAGCCAGCTAAATGACATTGCTAACAATAATTTTGTCATTTTAAACAGCAAATACAATATACTCAGATGGATGTGTTTAATACACAGATCACTACAAGACTGCTGGGTGAACGTCAAGAAAGTGGAATTGTAAATGGGAAAGGAGTATAAAAAATACAACAGCTTGCAACAGCAGTCAGCGGTGGCAATTCTACGGATCCAATCCGCAAATTATTAAGAACGCCAGCGACGTATAGAGAAGTTTTTACGATTCTTCGAGTTCAAGTACCTCTTCTGTAATCATGAGTTCCCTTGGTGAAGGAAAACAAGAATCCAACAAGGAACCGGGAGTAAATCTCAAAGGAAATTCTCGAGGACATTTTAATTCCAGGTTTAATAATCGAACACCGCTATCTCTGCACCCACCGGTTTCTATGGAAACAGAAAAATCAGGTTTATTATCGAAGGCCGAGGAGATCCACTACCGCAAATCCAAGCGAATTCTAAGAATTTTCCAGAAAGCAAGGGTCGAGATGAGAAGAAGAACAGACGCAGAAGTATACTTATTACAACGACAAGGAAACGAAACCATAGGTGAGAGAGCCATAAAGACAGCACGCGACGAAAATACCCTCCCTGATGTTAAGTCTAAACGTCGTCATGAAACGAAGATGATGCGTCATTTTCTGCCAAAATTCACTGACAGCGACTGGTCTTCTCCATCGTCTTCAACATCAGATGTATCTTTAGATAAAACCTTTACGTCAGCTGTCGAAGACGACGAGGAACTCCGCGCAGTTGGCGGGCGAAAGAGAAGCGTCCTCGCGTGGAGCACGTGTGTATTTCCAGCCATACTAGTGGATCACCGAAAAACCAGGAGCATTACCTCACTTAATGTGAGAGACGAAAGAAATGAAAGGCATAAGGACATAAAAAGGAACTCATTTAAGCCTGCTGAGTATGCAGCAGAGATGAGCTGTTCAGTACAACATGAGCTGTCTGAGGAGAGACCAACTTCCCCAAAGTTGTACCCTTCGCATCATGGCTGGTGACATAGTTTTTATGACAACTTAACAAAAATTGTATAATATGCTTAGAAGCATGCACCCGGGCTGAGATTGACGGCATTAATGACGCCTTCATTACCGTGTTAAAAGAACTTAGCCTACTTTTTTGTTCCACTGATCTGAACATGCCAAGAGACTAGTATTTTGATTGTTACGAAAACTTTAAAGGGAAACAGATGTTAAAACTTGCGTGTGTACATTCGTTCCCAGTCCCTATGTCATTGTAAAATAATGACCTAGTGGAAGTCTGGAGTCCATTTGAAAAAACGTTTACAAGAGTAACTATTGTTTTAGAGTCTGGAGAAACAATAGCTATGCTTGTAAATTACACTTGTAAAAGTGGAATCTCCCTGATGCAATGCGTTCCCCCATCAAATTTGTCTCGAGAGTGACTGGAAAAGTGTGCATGCGTGTGTGTGTGTGTGTGTGTTTCCACCGTTCCCCCCTCCTCCGTTTTTTATTATGCGCTACGAAATTAATAAATAATAGACTGTATGTAATTAAGCACGATGTGGACTTGTCCGGTATGATTTGTTCACGTGCAGGAAGTTTCGATTTTATTTTATTTTATTTTATTTCATTTTCGGCTGACTTTGCGTTCTAATTTTCTTCATGGAGAACTGATACCATCGTCTTTCCTAAAACAATTAAGCTCACCAGCCCCTTGAAATAAATAAGCCTCGCCCGTTACTGTAAGCGCCCTATCTAGACTATCTCACGGGAAAATAAGGGCTATAAATAATCTAGACTAGATATGAGGTCTTTACCGAGGATCGATCGTGAAACAGTAATTATACTTTCGGCAAAGCCGATGATATTAAGACCTATTAAAGGCTTGCTTGGCACCTCCATTTGCGAGTCAATGTTAATTTTCACTCCCTACAAGGCATATGAAATTTAAATTGCTCCTGTTTATAAGCAAGCAAAGAACATAAATTTACGTAGCCAAATAAACAAAAGTATAGTTTACTCTGAAACAATTCATGACAGTTCGCATTTGACTGATTGTAACACTGTTTGCACAAAGTCGTTTGATCATTGTTTACAAGTTGTATAGAACCCTAACGTTTTGTTGATTTGGAAAAGCTTTTCGAAGTGTTTGCTTGCAATATAGGCTAACAAATTTCCTGTCTTTGTTCTATTGCGTTAAATTTAGTAAATATTTTGAGAAAATATGCTATATGGGAGGTTGCTAATTAAGTACAAATGATTTGCAAAGGGTCGCCCTGTTCCTTAAGCTATTATTTTCTCTTCGTGTCCTTTTGCATTTGTTTGCTTCAGATTAAAGATTGCTTGATAACTGAATAGCAACCCTAGCTTTTCACAATAACTTGCAATCTCATCCCAATCTGAATGCTTTCATTCTAATTTGAATGTTTTCCTTGTGTAGCCAATCACATTCGTCCTTTCATAATCACTTGCAAATGAGATATCGAATCCCTCCCTGATTTGCAAAGATGGCTTGAGATGAACAGCAATCGCAGAGGAAGTATCAAATTCAGTCGCAGTTTTTCGAGCAGTTTTGAACGGAACCAATAATAGTTTGGTAGACAAGAGCGTAGTATCCTGTGATTTCTATCAGAACTCGAGATCATCTTGTGCTGTCGGTCCGCCGAGCAAGCTACCGTACCAAAGCAGCTTTTGTGCAATGGACAAGGGCAGTAAACGTGATTTCCAAGTAAGTGTATGATCTTATGATCATTTAACTTTCATTTTGCTACTCTTTAAACACAGTGGTTCCCAAAATGTTCCGAAAACTCGTGTGTACCTTGCAAAAGTAAGGCTAATGTATCTATTTACGTGCACGATTAGCTATTTCGCATGTAAAATTGCGGGTGTTGTGCCTCACCAGAAGATTAGACTGTGCGGCTTTTTTCAATGTCGAAGAGCTCTGTTTGCGCTTTAAGGAAGAAGTCTTGTTTCTTGCTTTATTTATTGAAACTGTGCCTACTTAAGGCCTTTTGGTTTTGAAGTTCGACTAACTAGAATTTGTCTGCCATATGCTGGTGATTCTAGCACTAAGGGGTCCTTGAATTTTCTAACCACCTAGAGCGGTCAGCACATTTTACCCAAATATGAATTCATGATCACTTATACAGAGCCAGGCCAAGAGTTGTAGTAGTTGTCTCAAAAACATGAGGGCAAAAGAGAGGGCCTAAAAAGGTTTATCTCTGTTCGTTTGTGCGGCATTAAAAGCACAAATCAATGACTTAAATTACACTGACTCTTCCAATGCGAAAGTCTACTATGTCATTTAATATACATGCTTTTTCCCGAAAGATCAGATTGAAATTAGTTTGTGTTTATTTTCCAGAATGCAAAGGGTGGAACTGCAATTTAAACGCTTAAAATTTGGAATGTATTCCGGGGTAACCTCAATTTGTTGACAAACGTGAGTTGTACTGCGAACGAAACAATTATTGTTTGCTCTTTTTTCAAACATGATAAAACACTTTGCCAAGGAAAGCAAGATATAACCTTGCAGCTTTCTTTTATTTCTCACATTCGCTGAAAAATGGAAAAATAACCGCTGTAAAAGATAGGAAGTTTGATTGCCAGAAAAACGCAGTTACATCAGAAAGTGAGTCATTGATTTTAAGGAATATATATTTCATTTGCCTATGTTTATTTCTTCAGATAGAAGACAGTTTGCACTGAATCTGAATTGCAAATATCCAGCGATATTTGGCTAGAGTTTCTAACACGTTTTAATCAGTCATTCGGTCGTCCATGGATACTGAAAAAATCACCCACAGAGAGTCTTTTAAGGGAAAACATATCATCAACAAAACTAAAGAGGGCGTTTCACTTTATTACTTTACAAAACGATGGGTAAAATAGTGAAACTTTAGTCAATCGTGTTCCTCATTAAGTAAGCCGAAGTTGCAACGTAATAAGATAACAAATCTTCATTTGAAGTGACGTATGTTCTCCTTTAATGACATATTAAAGTACGATTGACGGGCATATTTTCTCTTTTCTAGAAAAAACTCTCTACCTATCTTTAGTAACAATGTCTGAGACTCAACTGTCATTTACAAGTGAATTATTATAAAGAGAGTTGTTATCCTTTACACGAAAGCTTAACTTTCTTCCATTCTAAGGAAAAATAAGCGGAAACAGGTGAACTAGTACCAGAAAGTGATACTAAATAAATAGCTCAGTTTTAACCGGATCGTAACTGCCTTGGTAAAGTTAAGGAAATCAAATGAAACTTTGATTATATTTTTTGTCATATCCGTTTGGCCGGCAGTATTTTTTGCTAAAACAAAAACATGTATCGTATAGAATAAACGCTTTTTCTAGATTTTAATGGTAGTAAAATTTAGAAAATGGTATAATGTCGACGTTCGCCATGCGAGACGTTTCTTAAGCGCGAAAGCAAAAGGCAAATAGTGCGTAAACAAGCGGAACGTTCGAACTTTTCCGTCGCTCCTTGAACTGACATTCTTAAACTAAAATTAACAGGCGTTCAAGACAGTGAATAATCATTGCTTTTAGTTAAGTTTTTTACAATAAACAAAAAATTATATTTTGGTTTGCGACGGCTGAACAATAACTTACTACATGTACCTTCTCAGTCAGAGCAAAGGAACTGACTCATTGATTTTTAGAGTTATATGCATGATATGCAAGGTCTGAAGTGGGTTCCACTGAAAATCAGTCTTTCTACGCTTTAGTTCGCACTTTAGTTCACTTATGCGGAATGAAACTCGGTCAGTGAAAATGTTCTCTTCTATTCGAAAGACAAAATAGCCGCTTTTAGTCAAAACACATGCTAGAGGAAGATAAGTTAAATGTATCCTTGAATCAATTTTACCGGCAATAACAGGAAGTAAATAATTATCACATTACCCCCAAGTACGCTAAAATGTACCCTTAATACGACTTTAAAAAGTGAACTGAAGGGCTTCATTTATCCCGAACTACTTGCACTGTCAAATTAAGAGGCAGCTAACTAAAAAGTAGACATACTGCTAGCACTAGAAAACAGCCGACATTTCGCGACGGCACCATTGGTTTCCCCGCGAAATGACGTCTGAGAAATGAGCGCAGAAATTCCATACTGATGACGCGTTACTACCCAGATCTGGGTAGTGATTCTGATTGGTTGAAGCAAATTTCACGAGCGGCACGACCAATCAGAAGCACTACCCAGCTCTGGGTGGTGACGCGTCATCAGTATGGAATTTCTGCGCCCGTTTCTCAGACGTCATTTCGTGGGGAAATGTCGGCTGTTTTCTCAGGCTAACATACTGCGTAAATATTGAATTCATGGCTCATTCATGCCAAATTAAAAGTCTACGATAACTAGAGTTAGCAACTGATAGAAGACGACATAAGTTAATTTATACGTATGAAACAGGTTACTTAAAGTGTCAAGGCAGTCCAGTCCATTCTGTTTGTTTTTTTTTTCTTTACTCAGATGTCATCTTTTCCTTTTTTTCAGTGGCCGTAAAATTATCTTTGGTCTTAGCAGTAGTGGTCGGTGTAGCATCGGCTCTAGCTGCCGCGTTGTTAGCCGTGCTGTGCAAGTGCTGTTGGGTATGGTGGCGATACCGCAGGTTGCATCGAAGGCGCAGCCCGTCTCAAGAGACTCACATTATTAATCAGAAGGGCAAATGGCCAGGGGGAATTACTTATCAAACGTACGAAAACGGATCTGTTGCGGACTATGACAGCATTTCCAGTGGAGAGGAACCGTATATTGTTGAAACGCCCGGGGACTTCGGTAAACTTCAGTTCTTGCTTGAATACAATAAGGATGAAGACGTTCTAATTATTGGTCTTGTTCAGGCGAAGGGCATCATTTGTAAAACGAACATACAGACAGCGTACGTCCATCCTGTTATTCAGCTCTGTAAAGGAGAGAAGACTTTGGGAGAAAGAGAAATTGAAAAACAAAAAATGACGTTTGAACCACAATGGAACGAAGAGGTGTTGTTTTCGCTGGACGGGAACCCAATCGATACAATTTCTTTTTCCATTCGACTGATCGAACTGGATTCATATTCAAACTCGCATGTGATTGGCCAAGTGGAGCTTTCACTGAGCGAGGCTGATTTTGGTGAACCGCAACCCAGATGGTACGACATCGCCGGCGAACAAAAGGTAAAAAAAAAAAGACCTAAATAGTTAATATCAGATCTGCAACGACCGATGGACGGCAGAGTGAGATCTGAGTACTAGATAAGTAAAAATCAATAAGTGTCCTGCAAATCGTATAAATTGACGTCGATAGCTTCACTCGCGTGACCTGCAAAGCAGGCTTATGTTTGGCGGGCGAGAGCCATCTTCGGTGGCGATTTCAACATGGAAGTAACGGGTGCAGAGCATACGCGGAATCTGAGAAAGTGCCTGCAATGAAGTGTAACACTCTCGTTGACTCACAAAGGGCGCTCCTGTGCAAGTACAATCTTCACTAAGGGGAGGGTAGGAGGTTATTGTACTGTTTACTGTGCTTAACTACTGGCTAAGTGAGTAAAAACAATAGACCCGCTATCGTATGGAGAACTTCACGATGACGATCTAAACTAGATTCAATTATTTTCCTAATCGTTTGTTATGTTATTGTTTGTTTTTATTTTTCTCCCAGTTACCAAGTCATGAGTACGTTGGTGAGTTGCTCCTTTCATTAAACTACTTCCCCACCACCCAGCGACTGACGATCGTAGTTCTGAAGGCAAGAAACCTAAAGATTGACACCAAATCTGGATTATGGGGTGAGTTTGCAGTAATCAGGGATCTATTTGACAATAAATATGTGGTACTGTATTGCATGAGACTTGAAGGTAACAACCGGCTGATTTTAGCTTGTGGATACTTTTTATCTCGGTCTTTCTGGATATGCCAACCAATCCCATAATTTCACCAATTTAGTTTTTGTGACGTCAACTTTTCTCTTCTCTATAGCACGACTATTTTTTCTCTTTTCCAGGCCCAACAGTTAAGGTATTTCTCATGTTAAACAAAACAAGACTGGGAAGAAAGCGAACAGCCATGCAAAAAAAGACTGTTAACCCAGTTTACAATGAAGCATTCACATTCAAGGTTACCTCGGAAACGTTGTCCAAAGTTACATTCAAGGTTCTTGTAGTGAACAAACATTCCCAGGGTTCTGATCAAATGGTCGGTCACGTGTTTCTTGGACAGCAAGTAACCGGAAGTGGGTTTGCACACTGGAATCACATGTTAGCCTCGTTGCGAAGACCGATCGCCATGTGGCATCCCCTACTTCCTGGCATGTAAAACCGTGCTGTGCACGTGATTTGAACCAAAACATATTTATTCCAGTTAAGGGGAGTTAATTTATTTCCGGCCTAGCTAATCGAACGCAATCGAACTGTAATCGTTCGATTGACTTCGATTGGGTTCGGTAATCGAACTTAATGGAACTGACCCCAAAATTTTGCCAATTGAACATAAAACAAGTTTCATCTGGTTTCAAACAAGGCGTTGCGTGTAAATAAGTTACGTATTGGCTTCAATTTCAAAGACAAGTATGCAAAGCTGTCACAGAGGGCGGGAAACCTGAAATTAACAATTCTCGAAGAGAGTGCTCTTTTGCCGTTTTTGTCGGTGAAAAGTTAAGGGGGAGATAGGGGTCCAGCTCTGAAGGTAACTGAGGAAACTCGGACATTTGCAATGTGACCTGGTGCCCGTGCTTTAGCCACTAACCGACAAAGTTAAAGAGTAAGTCTTATGCCCGTTATCGTTAATTGTGAATTCATCGATTTTGAATCACTTTAATTTAACAATTAGATTTTAGTTAATTCCCGGTTGATTGAAATATTATTGTTTTCAAACTGATTCGCATACATACTAGAGGGAGATCTTTCCGATTCAATTGAAACTGGATGCGTTTTGTCTTTCTGCCGAACAAAATGGAACTAATCGCGTCGATTGAGTTCGATTGGTTCGATTGAGTTTGGTAATCCAACTCCCCGAAAAGTTACAGTTCAATTATGTTCGATTACAGAACCAATCGAACGACAATCCGACCGACTGGGTTCGATTGATTTTTGGTTCGGTTTCGCTCGACTAGCTAGGCCGGGTTTATTAAATTGGTGTTATGTTTATCCATTGATAACAGCGAAGTCGTAAATAAAACAAAGAAACTACAGGCATTAACTTGCAATTTAAAGTTAGCAAAAGGGAAGATTTAAGGTCTTTTAGATATTGTTATGTTGCAAGTAGAGTAAATAGTTTAATTAGTTCCCAATCTCGTAACACCAAACGCCTTAACACCCGCCATTTTTTTTCAGTGTAGCATAACTAGCTGTTTCAACATTTGTTTTCAAAACCTCTTCACCTCTTACAATATTATGAGATTTGGAGACACACTCAAAATACTTCCCAGAGTCAAATCTCGGTTGATAAAACCCACGTTTTCTTGAAACCTTTTATGTAACACAGGACGAAAGTTTCCGTGCTAGAGTAATTGGGTTTCTTTTTTTAGCGAAACTGTCTTCATAAATTCATATGAAAATATTCATTGTACGACTTAAAAAACTTTCCTTGCGATCTCTCCATTGTTCCCAAACATGGTTTTCCATCATTTTGGCCTAAAAAATTGAGCCTAAAAACTCAGTCCTGTTCCTTTAATTTAAAGACACGTATCACCATGACTACATTCACTGAATTCGTTAGCTGGAGAAAACAGCCGACATTCCGCCATGCCACCACTGGTTTTCCCGCGAAATGACGTCTAAGAGACGAGCGCAGAATTCCATACTGATGAACCGACACTACGTAGATCTGGGTAGTGCTTCTGATTGCCTGAAATTTGCTTCAACCAATCAGAAATACTACCCAGATCTGGTTAATGCGCGTCATCAGTATGCAATTTCTGCGCTCGTTTCTCAGACGTTATTTCGCGGGAAAACCAGTGGTGACATGGCAAAATGTCGGCTGTTTTTTCAGGCTATGATTTCGTACGTGTTGTCTTCATGAATTATTTTTTTATGGAAAAATGACGTAATAGCAACTTCCATTACCATTGTTTTTAATTTAATCATTAGAATAGGAGCTAGTAAGTATATATTATCTGGGTGATAATAAGGAGAGCCCTGGCGGCTAAATGAGGGAGGGGAGAAAAAAAAAAAGAGTTTCGTAAAAGCTTTAAAACACTTTGCGGTCAGTCGATCCTGAACGCAGTTTGGACTCACGATTGTGCTTGGTGAGTTTGCTTAACCCTTTCACTCAAGAGTTAATGATAAAGTCTTAGTATATGGTGGTTCAATCTAAGAGACTGTTTACGTACCCTGCGAACAGCAGACGCATTTCCGGTCGTCGCTTCTCTCGGAGGGGGAGAAGCGACGACCGGAAATAAGTCTGCTGTTCGCAGGCTACTGTTTACGTGCAGGGAGGAAGATCCTAGCACCAGGAACATCCTCGTAGGTGGATCATCCTAGCGTCATATGTTTCTGTATTCACTTTATATGCAAAAAGTTGTACTTGTCCCTAACGCTAGGATCTTCGTAGCTGAGAGGTAGGAAGATCCTAGCAGGAGGAACCTCGTGACAACATGTACACTGCTTTCGCTAGGAAGATCCCAGTACTAGGGACAACCCACACAAAAATGGCGGCGCGTTCAGCGGGTAATCTTTCATCTCATCGTTAACCCAACGAAAAGTTGTTCTTTTGAGGGTCTTAATCCCTACATGTAAACAGCCTCTACCTTTCATGTCTGTTGACAAAATCCTACGGTATTTAGACGAAACCACTCTGACAGTACTTGTACATAGTATTATTTGTTTTTCAGGGTTTTATGAAACGAAATTTGGAATCAGTTTTGTCCACCTCTCACTTTGGCTTCTCCTGTGAGTGATTGGGTTAAGCACGGTGCGAATTAGAAGTAAAATGTAAATAAGACGAGAAGACATTGAGGAGCCTTGTATCAAGGCTAAATGAATAAGGGATTTATACACTTATCAAGAAATGTTTAAACCTCTCTTATCCACCCCTGAAGTAAAGAACAAAAAACTACGGTGAATAGAGTAAGTAATTGATGAGATTATAAATTCTGTAAGACGGAGTAAATTATTTTGATGTCTTGTAAAGACATAATACAGAGTCTTAAGCAAAGCAATAAAAGCTTTTACACCAACATAATGGCATCTGTTGTGACCCAAATCATAAACATGTTTCTAATGTTCGCTATCAGTGATCACCACAATGGCGTTTCGTCGCCGTAATAGGAAATCAGAGGAAACAAGCGAAACGGCAATTGTATTTATAAAGCACTTCTATTGTTGTTGTTACTTTTTGTTATTTTTTATGAAGATAAAATACACGAGATCTGAAAGTGACCAATTTATTTGATTTGCACCGCCACAGCCTCCTCGGTTCAAGTACACATTTGCAATAGAGGTATAACATAACCACAAAAGCGCTGTCTTTAAAAGGGCTAGATAAAGCAATTTTGGGCAAATTAAATTCTAACAAATTTGCCGTAGAATTAACTGTATTTTAAACTAAAAGAAACCTCTCAAAACAACAACAGAGCACAACAGAAATACAAGACATGGACGGGCAAAACTGGAAAAGAGTACAGCGGACCGCTGTCCTCTGGTAAACTTGCCCAGTCCTTAAAAGTTTACCTCAACTTGAACAAGAGTTTCATTGGGAATCATCTGTGTATGTCATGTGGCCTTGCCATAGTTTTGTCATTGAAGGACTTCTGTTTTACCAATTTGAACGTTAGAGCTTGTGATTAAGGAGAACACCAAAATCAACTAAAACTCCGTGGTGTAGCCGCCTTAAAAGAGCCATTGATTCACACCAGAAACTCATAAGGGGTTTTCAACCCCTTATGAGTTTCTGTTCACACGTAATTTTAACCAGTGACAAGTTGGACTTGCAATATGCAAGATAACCTGAAATCCCAGTAATTCCCTCACTTCACCAGACATTTAGGAAAAATAAACCCATAGCGTGCTTATGTTTACTTTGTGCGCAAATAAGACGATTTTCACTCGATAAAAAAGCTAAGCAGCCCAACCCTGGTTAATCGACCTAACCTGGTCCACGTTTTACAAGTCAATCAAATCAAAGTATCAACGGAGTTACGAATAATCTGGCCAATCACAGGAAACGCAGACAATGCAATGAACCAATCAGATCACGAAGAAAAGACAGCCTGCGTAAAGGGCGGGAAAAACTGTGCGAGAGAGTCGAGGTTGGTTCCGATTTTCAAGGGATAAAATAACATAAACAATCGGTTTCTACATACATTTTACGCTGTTACAGATAATGGCTTCTTTATGGAGTTATAACTTGCGTCCTCGGAACAGGCATTTGATTGAAGCTGAAACTGTTCGTAAAACTTTATAAGCACCGAAAAAAGTTTGTAAGCGTGAAAACGTTTCATTAAAACTAAATAGCTTGAACCGCAGAATTTGTCTCAGAAATCCTGCAAAATGGACCATGAAGGTAGCCACTAATAATAAGGAAAAACAATACCCGCGACTTTTAACTGACTTTTTTTATCCTGGGATTTTTCACTCTCAAAATCGATTGAAAGCGGAATCGATTCGCAGATCAAATTTTCTTCATGTGATTTCTCCACCACCCTATGGTAACCTAAAAGTAAAATTCCCTGACACTGCATTGTACTACAGTGGAACCTCGTTAAGGAAAAAATCTAACAGTATTATCACCAGGGGTATTAGCGAGGTTCTCCGAAAAGCAATTGAGGGCTGGTAACCTAGCAGAATTAATATTAGTGAAATTGCTTTGCAGTTCGCTGTCACTTCTAACTTGGCTTAAGGTCGTTAAACGCCGCGATAAAACGCCTTTTTGATTTCTTTTCTGGTTCGTCTTGAACAGTCGATGGAATCACTATTTATGTCCGTGGGAATGTCATTTTGGTTAGCAGTTCCCAGATTTTACCAGCCCAAATCCAATATTGGTAGACTACCGCTGGGTCGAGCACCGCAGTTCATTATTAGAGAACTTTAGATTCAAGGACGAGGACGAGATTTGACTTAAATTTTTCCTCGGCGTGTTCTCAAAAAATAGACACCCCGGAAAACTTCATTCTACCTTGTTTCACCAAAAAAGTTTACACGGTTATTTTTATTGACGACATTTTAAGCCCTTCCCCTATTGTAAAATGATAAAATGTCCAACGTTTGATAACTTGTTTCCCTCCCTAAAACTTGTAGCAGAATGACGACGGCTATCACGTTTTCCCGCCAAAATGACGCCGGTTCACGGGTGCACCACTTAGTATTGAAACAATCTCGTAGTCGCCTTTGTGTCAGAATCTAAATGTTTCTATTGTTCCCGGTTTTTTTACGACTCTCAGATCATCAGTATTAAAATTATACTGAGATTAATGACCTAAGGGAATGGTATCAATTAACCAGGGTTGAGCTGTCAGTAAAAAAAGGATCAAAGATAACTTTTCGAGGCTTCCTGTGCTGAGTAGTCTTTGAGCGCCTTCATGACATCTTTTCTACTTAGTGGCATGATGGCACCATACGATATGTCAGTGGGCCATGCAAACAACGAACGCAAGACTCTAAAATCACCTGATTCCGGGTTTACAAAGTAAAAGTCTGCTTTCCGCTGGCCGTCTGCGCAAGTGCTGAAGTCGAGAATAACAATGGTTCCGTTGATACAAGTCACGTATGGTCGCGTGATCCTTGCTTCTTCAAGAATAGCGGGATCGTGCAACGCAATGTTCGATTGGACTGGCAGTGCCACAGCTAAATCAGCGGTTTCTAAGCAACCGCATTTCCCATTCACTCTGCACTCGTTTGACGTTACATGAAGACACGACCCTTCCTCTGACTGCCCTCTCAGCATGTACAACTTATTTACCTGAATTCTGATTACCTGCCAATCATCTGTCGCTGGATTGTAAACCTCGCAGTCGGTTGGGGTGATGTCTTCACCTCGCTCTCCACCAATCACAAAGATCATGTCACTGTGAACAAACGCAAACGCGCTGGACCGAGGCTGGTGCATGGACTTGACATAGGACCAGCGATCCTTCAGCGGATCATACTTTTCGACTGTCTTCAGGCACTCTCTGTGGGCCGAACCGTCCATGCCTCCAAACACGAAGATGTACTTGTCCTTGTAGTTTACCGCTGTTAGCTCGTAACGCGGCTCACACATATCTGCCACCGTTGCCCACGTCTGCCTCTCAACATCATACCGCTGGACAGTTTTGACTTCTGACACCTCCTGCATGGACATACCACCAATCAGGTAAATATATCTGCCCATCGTGACTGCAGCACAATCGAAGGTCATTGGCGCGCATGGCTCTATGTCCGTTGTCGGGGCAACGCACGGGGTGGGTAAAAGATGACGAGCGGTGAGGGGATTTCTGTGAAAAGCAAGCTTGGGATTGTTCCACGGAACTTGTACATAGAGTCCAGAGTTGGTGTAAATAAGAGGTGTGCCATTGGCCAGCATTGATTTGTTATGAGGAATGCGAGCGATGAGTGACCACGGACCAGCAAAGGGAAGCCAAAAACACAGGTTATAGGAGTGCGTGTAATGCAACCTGTGGGTGAGGCCAAATAACACTACATTGTGAAAATGCGCGGTCTTAAGGACTTCATCCACTGAAACATCATCCTTCAGCTTGTAACCAGGAAAACTGGACAACTCGTCGATGTTTTCGTCGACAGCAAGTTTCTTTAGATAAAGATCTGGGATGCTGGTCATGTGGATGAGATTCAAAAGCCTCTTAAATGACTCTTCTCTTTCCTCTCTTGCGTGCTTGTACCAGCAAATTAAAGATTCCAACATTTGCGCTTCACTGGACAAAATATCGTCATTTGACAAGAACCAACGCATATCTTGGTCTGTGATTTCAAGGAATTCACCAGAGCGGGCAATACTCCAGAAATGATTACAAACGAAATTTAGCATCTCCTGATAAACTTCATCGAGGCAAACGAAACTTCTAACAAGGGAATATATCCACCAAAAATTTGCTAGCGTTGAAGAATCCTTTACAAAGTCAATTATTCTTCTCTTCAAATGTTCTATTAACAAATAATCGCTGGCTTGTAGCAAGCTCCTTGCATTATCAAACGTAATGAAAATCTCTCCACTGTAAATGAAGTTCAGTAACTCTTCGACGATGCCCTCATCTATAACACCCAAATCAACATTACTTTCCTGAACCTCTTTCATTTCAGATCTGAAGAGTCCTTTAAAATAACAGCTTACTGCCGCAAGGACATTTTTATGAACAGGAATCACTCTACCACTACAAGTTGTCAAAGTGAGGTCACAGTATAATCCTTCAACCTGAAAGGCTAACAGTTTCGTCAAAACAGCTTCTTGAATAAGTGAATTAAACGTTGCTTTACACTTTGGTGTAGATCCTTCTTTTTCAACCACCTGTTCTATATAGTGGTTCAGTAAATCAAGTAAGCCCAAAACTTCGGCTACTTTACGCATTGGTGCTGCGCTGAGCTGATCGAGTTTACACTTCCCAGTGTATAGAAAGTTAAGAATATTTTCCATAGTTCTCGGATCAACTTTTTCAAATTCCGAACAAGTATTTTGAGAGACATCATCTTTAGAAAACAGCTCCCTAAAGAAAGCCGATCCGGCGGCTAAAACATTTTTGTGAGCTGGAAAATCTGTGCCATTTGCTTTAATAATGAAGTCTGTAAAAAGCCCGTCAATCCGAAAACTATTGAGAGTTTCAAGTAACGACAGTTGATAGGAAACCTGAGGAGAGTCAGGCTCGTCGTCGTCTGTCCTTGATTCTGAATCTTGTATGTTATTTTCTTCACTGGCTGCCAATGACAAATCCACATCACTTGGATGTAGCAAATCTAATGGATGATCTTGGTCTGCACTGGATGCGCATGTACATTTTGAGGAAATGCCACCCATCTTAGTCACACAACAAAACTGACTTAGTTTCTACTTGCATGTCACACAGCATCTCTTTGTCACACACTACAGATTCATTTTCTTTTTTCCATGCAGCACGCACTGCACTTGGAGGGGAAGCAAATGCGTACCCTTGATGCCTCCTCTAACTTGTGTTTTTGTTGTAATGTTTTAGCTGAAAAACAGAGAAAGATTTCTGAGATGTTAAAAGTTGGTGATGCACACCTTTCATAAGAGTAATAGTAATAATATTAATAATAATGATAACAACAACAACAATACCAGGGGATAAGAGAATTGGTGAAAAGGAGAATGAGAAGGTTGAAAAGTATCAGAAGCTTAAAAGAGAAATTGCAAGGATGTGGAACATGAGAACTGTGCAGATGATACCAATTTATTATTATATTATATAATAATAAATAAATAAATAATAGTTTATTAAAACTCACTCACAGAATAATCTGAATTAACGAATTGAATAAAAAAAGCTAAGAGTAATTCAGAGGATCTACATTGTACTACAATAAAAATTAATCATACTGGTTAAAATATCGATGTAAAAAAGTTCTCTGCCCTCTTTGTCCTACGGGTAAAAAACTCATTAAACAATAGAATTTGCCAGGCATCCTTCCTTAGATTGTACTCAGGCTGATCAATGAGTGTCCTTGGCATTGAGAAGTATAAAGGATGGTCCACAGACTCTATCTTATCCATGTACTTAACACAAACGTCATCACTTCTTTTCTTTAGTCTTGCTATATTTGCTATTTGCAAGGCCTCCAAATAGGAACTCAGTTACACGATAAATTAACCTCAAAGCCCTTTTTTGCACTCCTTCGATTACATCAGATAAATAGTCCACAATAGCCTGCCATACAGGGACAGCATATTCTAATACAGGCCTTACTGTACTTAGAAAAACCTTAAGAATGTTGTCTTGGGCCACTCCAACCCTACATAATATCCTAAGAGAGTATAACTTCTTACTGGCTTTCTTAAGAATGAAATCTGCATGGTTATTCCATTGAAGTTCATTGTTTATTATTACTCCTATAAAGATCTTGTAATTTTCAACCTGCTCTATAACATTATTACCTATTACAATATGGTTAATAGAATTGGGAAGGAAATTAATAAACATCTCTTTACACTTAGCTGGATTAAGTTTCATGTTATGAGATAAAATTTGCGGCAGCCATCTTGGCATGCTTACAGTAAACAGGTAGGATCATTGGACAATGAACTTGGATGAGTGGCTGGAAAGGTTGGACATAAGAATAGTATTTCATTACTCCAAAAAACTACACTACTGGGAACAGCAAGGATGTTAAGGAAAGTATTAGAGTTTTACTAGAGTAAGAAGGTGAACTCTAAGGGGCCTTTGGTCATGGGTTATGACTCGCTCCTTTAGCAAGTAAATTGGTATGATATGAGCCAGTGCACAAAGCAGGAAATAATAATAATAATAATATTTTTTCTCTACTCACTTGATACAATACATATCAAAAATACACTCAAACCTCCTGTAAGCAACCACCCCAAACTAAAAGATTTAGTAGTTGCATATGAGAACAGGGGGGCATCTTCCAAGAAAAAGTCCCAACACATGTAATTTTTGGAAGTTTGTTTGTTGCATACAATTTCTAGGTTATATATAAGTATAGTTCCATGTTGTCACTGAAAGCTCTTGTTATACTCAAGGGTGGTGCAGTTTGTACAGCAAATGGAGACCGCATCATGCATCAAGCAGTTGTTTACGAGAGGTTTAAAACAATGGAAAATAATAACCATCCAGGGCCAAAAAGTGGTTGTGGGCTGGCTTATGAGAGGTTCTGACTTTAGGGATTTGAAATGAAATGTTTTTAATTCGAATAATTTTTTTTTAATTAAATGAATTTTTTTCTAATCAAAACTAAAATTATTGTAAATAGTGTTTTGACAGAGTTTTTTTAGGTGAATTGATTATAAATAGGATTTTGGAAGTTAGCATTTGATGAAGAAAATTTTGGAGTTTAAGTTTTGGATTAGGTGGCCAATTATGGGAAGTGGTCACTTAATCTTATGAGAGGAGGTAGTACATGGAGGTTTGACTGTATTCATAAAATATAACTACATACGACTAACTACACACGGCTGTCAATAATAGCCAGTAACAGGCCAAAACTGTGAGTTAGTTAGCCATCCTTAGCAGACTACTTTTATCTCCTTCTACTGTAACTGCTAACGAAAAATAAGCACCACTGAATAAAATTGTAACGCAACCATATCCCAGTTTTGAATGAGATTGAACACATATTAATTTTACACAGGTGTAGATCTGTGAAACTTTCTAACCGTGCGATGTTGTGGAACGACTGGGACATTTTGACGGCATTGTTCCCAGTCAGGGAACAATTTACAGGGCTTTGTTACAGTTTATTTGACAGCAATCGTTATTTCAGAACTTGATTAAAGGCCGCTTACAGATAGAAAGTGTTATTGCTATGAATATGATGATTCAATAAAAATATTTTGTCATTTCTGATTGAGCGAATCCCACAAAACAAGAATAGACAAAAATGCCACTTGATGCTGTATAAATAATATCTGCTTGAAAAAAAAAACATCTCTTCACATCCAGAAACTGTTGAGCAAAAGGCAAATGTCTTGGAGGCAGGAACTTTATATAAAAAAAAGCCTGTCTTGGAAATATTTTGAATGAATCATAAAGCAATAATAATTATTAGTTTTTATAGTAAATTATTGGATTTGGCATGCATATGACAGGACGAATAATAAAGTTAATTGAGGAGGATGTTATTAGCCGACACCAGTGGAACCAAGGGGGATAACACCTAGCATACTTAGGCCTCATCCAATAATAACTAATAATGATGATACTAATAACTGAAAAATAATTATTCATGTGTTAAGGTGTTAAGCTTTACAGTAAATGAGCGATTCAAGTGAGATAATTTAAATTGTTGAAGTTAAAACCTATGGCTAAAATTGATTCACTAGCCTGCTAAGGGTTTTCTTGTCCTCTTCAAGGCTCATTACTGCTCATTAAAAACAAACAAACAAAGACGCTTAAGAGCTATTTTTTAAATGTGTTGATGTGGTTTTTACATGATGCCATCGTAAGCTCGTTCAACCGTCTCACCAAGAATCATCAATAAATTTACCCAACATCATCATGATTTCAGCTTAAGTAAATTATCATTGTACGTTCAACGAATCTATCTGATTTAGCCATCACAGCAGTACATTAGTGAAACATCCATTAAGTTGCTACACCCGGCGAATAAAGCTTTTGAATCGATTACTCCTTCTGCAGCTCTGGGCAAAATCTTTACATTGTTAGAGTAAAGAATTAAAGGCCTTTCATACCTCTCATCCATACGCTATCGTCTTGGCAGAAAATCGTTTTACTGGTAATCATAAACATATAATATTCATGAAAATGATCAAGATCCATCAAAATCAATTAAACTTTAAGGGATTTTTCCCATAAATCACACTGACATCAACGCGCCATTTTGACATGCTACTCGATCGGAAGACTGGAAGCTACTACTAACCAATCGGAATCACGACAACCACGACGGGTAAGCGACGGGGAATCTTTCGGGCAAGCGTCGCTGGTTCTTCGGGTCTTCGTCAATAGGCCGCAGATGTTCAATTGCTTTTAGGAAAGATCGTGCAAAATACACTGTAATTCCACGCTACATTGAAGAAGAAAGGTAGGAATCAACTTTTGAAAGTTTCTTGTTTATTTTGAAAATGGCTGACAAAAATAATTATTGTTAACTAATGTTAGAGTTTGTTTCACTGAAAATCTTGATCAACCAGGACTGTGGATTATGTTCAGCTTGTTTAAATTAACAGCTTATATTTTGTTAAAGCTATGATAAAACGAGCTACTAAAAAGTGCATCTTGAATTGTTTTGCATCATTGCTACTAAAGGAGTTGAAAGCCGATGTTGTGCGTTTTATCACCCTCGTTCAAACCTGTCTTCCATCAAATCAGGTCGCCTATTCGCCTGGAGTCTGATTGTTGCAAGTGATGCTGAATTAACAAATCGACAAATTCTTTCCTTGGTCAATTTAACAAAAAAATTTGATGTTGCTGTGCGTCTGTTCAGTAATAGATCACCGATCTAAAGGTGGCGCAGGAGCTAGCCTACATGTAACTGTACTATCCCTCCCCCATTCAGGGAGCACAGCCCAGTGGCCCCTAGCCTGGCACCCAACTTTTGCTCCAACTTTTGCTCCAACTTTTGCTGGGTACCCTAGATTTTACAGGTTCAGAGCCCTGGGCATCCTTCGATTTTCCTTAGAGCACAGCCTTGCCCCCATGCCTATGAAATTTGCTTTCCTCCAATCTTGCCCCTCACAAATAAAAGTCAATAAGATTTCAAGTTTCAAGTTTCAAGTTGCTGCTTTTTGTATTATATTATTTTAATATGATACAAGAAGCAGGCGGTGAATCAAACAACTGGGGATTTCTTTTGGTTTTGTTTTTCTTCTATTTTCCTACAAAAGAAGCCAGGGCCTGGTTCCTCGAAAGATGGTTAAGTTTAACCCAGGATTAAGCCCAATTTGAGGCAAAGTTTTCTTGTCTAACATCATGTAACTCAAGCTTTCAAAATGCTGTTAAGCCTCTACTCCGACATACAGTAATGATAGCAGAAAATGTGACTCCAAGCAATACATAGAAAGATAAAATACAAAAATGGAACAAAATGTTTATCCTGGATTAGCACTTGCCCTTCAGGAACTGGGCCCTGGGGTGTAATCCTCATCCACACATAGCTGCGGGAAATCCCCTGCACCTGGCCCGTTATGACAGCCCTCTGGGATGGTAAGAAAAACAGTAAAATCCCCATTTACCTGGGATTTTCCTAACATAATATAAAGTTATCGGCGGCCATCCTAGAATGTAAGCAGACTCTTATTTTCATAGCCTCTAAGTTAGTGGGGTGGGAAGCATAAGTGACGTGAGTGTTGAATCCTCAAACAACAGAAAAAGCTAAGCAGCCTTTGTGTTATTTCTTTGCACAATATAAATCACTGTTTTCTTTTTCTTCTAATTCAGAAGGTATCCAATAAATTTCACATTAAAATGTATTTATAATAATGCACTTTTGTTACTGGAGTGTTGTAGTGCGAGTGGCTAAGTTCAGTCTTCAACCAATTGGTCCATCTGGAGTTAAGCTAAATGAGCTGATTGTTCTCAGTAATAAAAATTATAATAATAATGATAGTTATTATTACTAGGTATACCTATCGATAGAGTGCCAACGAGCAAGTCATGCGTATTTTGCATAGGAATGGATTCCTTTTATCCAACATTTGACAGTTTCTTGGTCCCTTCCTTTTGAAAGGATTATTTTCGTGAAACTAAGGTGCTATGCAAGTAGAAAGGTTCGGAGAAGAGTCAGTTCTCAGACTCCTGTGGCTTTACGAACCTGCTATATAAAAGTTTAAAGTGTCCTTAGGCACATTTTTTTGAAATTATAAAACAGCTTGCAGAGGAAGCGATCGGTAATGTTTAGGGGGAAATATAAAAAATGATCGTTTCTCTTACCACTACAAAATTAGTGTTGGTTCGGTTTCACTTTGTAGATAAATATTTGTGCAGTTTAATTATTTAAACCTCCTCTGAAGTTTCCAGAGGCTTTTTGTTTCCCGATTGAATTTTAGAATGATTCGCTGTGCTGCTTGAAATATTTTCAAGGACATGCGATGTACGGCACGTCGGTATTTTGTTTTGACCACAGGGGGCCCACACAATCTGTTTGTGTAGCCGATTGTTATTTTATAGTAAATGTACTGGATTTACCGTTTGCTTCACCTATAGCGATATATATCGCTAACTATGTATATAAATCAATGATAAATAAACGTTGAATTACCTTACCTGTGGTGTATAGTTGTCCTTTTGCCTACAGCCCAGTCTTGCACGTCTCTATTCTGCTGCCGCCTCGCCATCCGCGCGTCTTCGCTCGGATGGCTCGTTGGCAATTATTTAGTGATATGGCAGTATGACACATCTGGATGCCCATGCAGCATTAGTAAAATAACCCAGGAGTTGAGCATGTGAATTATTAAACAATTATAAACACTTATAGGCAGGAGAAGTCATTACGTCACATTGCCATGGTAGTAGAATTTCAGGATGACAACAAACCAAAAGTTAATTTGCAGTGTTTCAAACTTCATTGATCTTATACAATTTCATTTAATTTTCAAATGTTGGTGAAATTTTCTGGGGTTGAATCCGAAAGGACCATATCTAAGTTTTAGAAAAAAGAAGACAAAATTTTTTTGGGTCGTGTTCACCTACTTCATAAAGCAGGTACATGAAATTAGGAAGTTTCATGTTGTAGCGTGATGCATGTGCAAAGCTGTTGTTTTGCTAACATAAACCAACTGTTTTTTGTCACGTTCTCATTGCCATTGCTGTCATCGTCGCTTATAAGTTCCCCATTGTTGTGATCCAGAAATCTTGCTACCATGGTAACGTGACGTCAGACTTATCCTCTCTGTTGGATGAGGTTTTTGTGATATCTGGAGTAGTCAAAGTCGAGTAAAGTGTTATCAGCCGAGCCAAAGGCTGAGGCTGATAGTGATAACACTGACGGAGACCTTGATTAGTAGGACATGATGCAAACTTAATCTAATGTTTTATCATACATTCTTTTGAAAAAAAAAAACAACAACAAACACAGCGTCGCACAGAACACACTTTGTGCCGTAGTTGGTAATCATGCAAAAAATCCAAGCTCAACCTACAGATTTGTCAGTTATCTGCTACCAGATAACTGACTAATCTGCGGGTTGTGCTGATTTCCAAAATTAGCTGTAGGCTCTTAGCCAATGAGGGACAAATAGCGAGTGCAATGTATAATAATTTTTATTTAATCATTATAATTACCATTTTTTTTATTCTTCAAAATTTTTTTCTTCAATATAATGTACATGCATCCATACAGAGTAGGTTTATTGTCTGGCACTAATTGACTCATGCCATTCTCTTGAAAGATGCCAGATCACAAAGTTTTACTTGCGAGCTGTTCATGAGAGATCATTCTTTTTTATAAACTTAAAAACTTCATTGAACTCTGGTACAATGACAATGGGTGCTTCCTGTCCAAATGTAAGTGCAGATCAGAAATACTGGTTATAACTTGAGGAAAAATGACACACAGGACCTTGTTCCAAATTTTAGTAGAACTGATGGTTTTAAATATAGTTTTTTTAACCGTGTTGTAGATGAATGGAATGGCAGGGCTCGAAATTAACGCTCGCAAACTCGCAAAATGCGAGTGATTTTGATAATCTGCGAGTAAGAAAAATATCCACTAGCAAACGATTGCGAGTTAGAATTATCCATGTCTCCCAAACAAAGTGAAATAATTTGCTTGTGGTCTCACCAGTTTGCTAGCGGAAAAAAATCTTACTAGCAAAACTTTGCAAGTGCACTAAAAAGATAACTTCGAGCCCTGAATGGTTTACCCAATCATATTAGAGAATCAAACAGTATTGCAACTTTTAAAAGAAATGTGTTAAGCTTTAGTAAGGTTAACTAGAACATTTATATTTCTATTTGTATATATTTTTCTTATATGTTAATTAGTGGGGGCATCCTTAGTATGGCGCATTGGTGCTTTTGGTTGTCTCCTTCTCCACAACTTTTGTTTGTTTGTTTGTTTGTTTGTTTGTTTGTTAAAGTAGTGTTAGCTTATTTCATTTTATTATTTGCTTGTTATGCAGTGGAGTGAATCTGTAATAAATAAATAAATTATCGAATAGCGGAACCTCTGATTTTCATTCAAAATCGCTCAAAAAACCGCTTTTGAGGCAAAAGGACGACTATACACCACAGGCAAGGTAATTCAACGTTTATTTATCATTGATTTATATACATAGTTAGCGATATATCGCTATAGGTGAAGCAAACGGTAAATCCAGTACATTTACTATGAAATAACAATCGGCTACACCAACAGATTTTGTGCGCCCCCTGTGCAGAGACAGACCCTCTTGGGCTAAAAAATGGTCTGCCATGCGATAAGAAGTGTTATGATTATGAGGATGCCCGCAATGCATCTTTTACGTATTATAACGGAGTTATTATTGTATTCAATTTTGACGAATTTAGGAAAAAGAAATTAAGGACTTTAAAGTTGCCAGTTTATTTTGTGAACCCAGAAACGGGTAATTTTACGATCCTGCATTCACTGTCGTCCTGGCCCAATGACGTATCACGTGGGATCTTGGTACCTCTGCGCCGGAGGGAAATGATCACGGCGTTGAAGGACTATCCTGGGAACAAATCGTAATCTTTGACGGCTTTATTGAGTATGTGTGTAGTGTTAGGATGCTGACAAGGAGGATTGATTTCTTCTTGGTGGGGACGCTGAAGCAAACCAGATAGCGATACTGAGGAAAGTTTACTGAAAGAAAATCATGACGCTTTGAGCCACGCAAGTAGTCAGTGAGTTCGTTGTTAGGCAGAACAAAATCTTTCTAATCCACGAGATAATATCTGCATTATATTTCAGTTGGTCAAAGAAAAATGAAACCTCCTTGTGCGCTACATACTCCGTTCTTCACAACTTCTACAGCAAATAACGTTTGAAATGGGGCTGCAATTCGAAATAAAATAGATTAAATGTTGTTCCCTTACTGACCTAGCCTGCGTGTTTAGCGTTCGAAAGAGATAGGGAAAGGGGAGGAATCGGTCGTGGGAGAAGGCGAAGGACGAGCCCGTTTCTAACGCCTGTCACGCACGCTCAAAATGAAACTTCCTAGTTTGCAGCCGAGAGCAGAACATTCCAACTTTCTTTATTGATTTTGTATCAGTGCACGCAACCATCTGATTCCATCTTTGCGAGCAATGCACAAATGTACAATTTCCTAATAAATTGTTAGTTACACAACAGCTGCTATAACGGTTTAACTTGTGCTGCTGGACTCAATCCGGCATGGTATATTCTGAAGTTTACTTAGTTTAACACTAATTTCGTACTTAGATCTCCGTTCGAGCTTATTTTAATGCTTTCACTACAGTTGGTATGATTTTCAGTCGAGATTTAGATTGCCTTAGTACCAAGTTATGACGGCAACAAATATGAGAACAACAAAATCTGATTTGCTTCTAGTTTTCCTCGACAACATACTTTTTTAGTGGATTAGACTGATCGTAACGTTATGTAATTAAAGCCATTCAAACGGTAATACTTTACATCTTCCTGGTTTGGGCACCATCCTTGTCCTTACTGATCTGAGTGTTCAGGCTTTGCGGCTTTTATTTGATTGTAAGGTCAGTTTTTAAGCAGAATTCGATGATAACAACAAGATAACTCTACCTACAATCAGCTGTAGTTCAGAGATAATTTTGGGCTCGCCTGAGAAACATTTCGCGATGCCACTCCGCTGGTTTCCCTTCAAAATGACGTCTGAGGAACGAGCTCCGAAATTCCATATTGATGACGTGTCACTTACAGCTACCCAGATCTGGGTAGTGCTTCTGATTGGTTGAAGAAAATTTGAAACAAAGCAGTACCCAGATCTGCGTCATGATGCGTCATCAGTGTGGAATTCATCACTAGTTCCATCATTTCGTAGGGAAACCAGTGGTGGCGTCGCAAGGCTAATTGACCACTCCAGAAAATACCATAACGTATCTTCAGTTTCTCTTTGGAGATAAAATGGCCCCAAGAGAAACTGAAAACAATGCTTATGCAAAATTTTGGGGTGACAAACAAAGAGCATTATGGTATGTTATGGTATTTTCTGGAGTGGTCAATTTAGGGCTGGCTGGAGGGTGATGTTCATCTATCGTAAATTTTAAAGGCCGTTTGCTCAAAGAACAGCCCTTAGTGTAAAGGTTTTTGTCAAGAATTGCTTTACGTACTGATTTCTGAAATTTAACTTTTAACTCTCTTTATTTCCTTTTACTTTAACTGCGAAATTATTAATACTTTTACACTGTTATTTCTTCAGGTGTAACAGACGCGGGGCAGCATCCAAAGGATCCGAAAAATGTGGCACATGTCACTTCAGTAGAATTCATTAACACCGCTAAAATCATTCGTCAATACAGCCTCAAAACAACGGTACCAGAATGGGTGGTTTCGTGTCAACGTTTCAGTGTTTGGGCAGAAATGATCTGACAGATGCAGACCGAACAAGAGATCCCATTGAAAACATTGAAGGAATAAAACCATCACTCTCCCAAGAGATACAGTCACCTCGCAAATCCGAAGATGATGGTCCAGAAAATGATTTGTACAGTGTCTCACTTACTGATACTCTTAACAGCTTTAGACTGGAGAAACGTTTTACTGATTTTATCATCATTGTCGACGGGAACCACTTTTCAGCCCACAAGAATGTCTTGGCGGCCAGTTGTGAGTTCTTCAGAGAGATGCTCAATACATCTGAAGAAAATTGTTACGAGATCAAAAATGTGGAACCCAAAGCTGTCGATGAAGTTCTAACTTTCCTTTACACTGGAAAGTGTTGGATGTGTGAACAAAATGCTGCTTCAGTTCTTTCTGTTGCAGGTCTTCTGGGTTTGTGTGATTTACAAGATGCTTTGGAAATTTATCTTTCACCAGCGGAAAGTGAATATAGGCGTGAGCATGCTTGTGCAGAAGGAAAATTGTTCGTGCAAAGTAGAAACTCGCTTTTGATAGCAATCCGGGGATTTCAGATTGAAGGACTATTCTGTGATGTCTCATTGACAACTAATTGTGGAAGCATTATCCCAGTTCACAGAAACATTCTGGCAGCGGTCAGTGGTTACTTTCAAGGGCTTTTACGATCTGAAATGAAGGAGGTGAAGGAACGATATGTTGACTTAACGATGGTTGATGGCGCAACTGCCAGTGAGCTGCTAAAATTTCTTTACTTGGGAAAAATTTCCATCACTTTTGACAACGTAAAGAGCTTACTGCAGGCCAGTGATTATTTGTTGATAGATACCTTGAAGACGACAATTGCCAAGTTTCTGACGGATTCACTGTCTATGTCCAATTTTTGGCAGCTGTTCTCTCTAGTTAAATCCTTCGGTTTTCTGAAAGAGATTCCTATTTCGAGAATAGTCTGCAGCAATTATTGGGATATCAGCAACTCGGACGAATTTTTAGAGGCGACAGAAGAGGATATGAAATTTTTCTTATCAAACGACGATATTCTGTCAAGTGAAGCTCAAATCTTAGAATCTCTGATCCGTTGGTACAAGTTTTCGATGAAGCAAAGAAAAGGATCCTTTCAAAACCTTCTTCATCTCATTCACATGGCCAGCATTCCAGATTTGTATCTCAAATTCCTTGCCGATAAGGAAGCGATTGTTGAGTTGTATTCATATGCTGGTCACAAAAGAAAAGAAAAAATACCCTTGGGGGAGCTTACCAGAACCGCACACCTCTACAATCTGGCGGTAGTGGGAATTACAACGGATCCCGACTGTCCTGATATCCAAATGTTCTGCTGGCTTCCGTTTGCAGGTCCTTGGTCGTACCTTTTTTCTATACACACTCATCCCATAAATTGGTGTGGAGGTCGGCCGTTTATCTACCACAACGATGTGCTGTATCTACAACTGTATCGTCGAATCCAACTCGGTTTCTTCAAGGGCCCGTTAACTGCAAGGAAATCTACAAACTCGTCGTTGGATCCAGCTACCCTCACAGAAAGTTTGTCCACCGAAACTGAAGATTGTGCCGCCGTTGCATTGGACAGGTGTATCTATGTAATAGGAGGAATCTTTGAGAGCGAAGTTCTTAGCACTGTTCAACGATATAACTCTACTTCTCAATCGTGGGAATGTGTCGCGAGCATGCAAGAACAGCGTTACTACCACTGTGCTGTTAATTATCAAGATAGGTATATTTACGTACTTGGCGGAGCGGAGGGTTTGGGTTGCCAGCAACGCATTTACAAATCAACTGTCGAAAGATATGACCCAGAGAAAAACTGCTGGTCATATGTGGCATCGATGCATCAACCTCGAATTAACGGCCTAGCTTGTGTGTTAACCCACAAAATCTTTGTACTTGGGGGAGAAACGATAGATGGTAATCCTCCAAATTGCGAAGTTTATGACCCGTTGACTGACGAATGGCAGATGGGTTGTTTTCAGCTTAAAGAAGCTACTTTACCCAAGCTTAATCCCCATACTGGCAGTTTTCGCAGACATTTGTTTGAAAGTGATAGCCTGCGTTCTTTCCCTTCCTCCCTATCCCCTACCCCCTACCCCTTTCGACGCCTGCTACGCAGGCCAGAAAGTGACGGCAATGACGATGGGTCTAGAGATTCCAGAGCTCGTTCACCACATAAAGCCTTTGACTGGCGTTTTGTCTACAGTCCTTCTGTCACATGTTGTAATGGACTCATTATCCTGTTTGATTTTGGTCTATATTGGCATAATGGAGTACGGCTTCCTGTGTACTTGGTCAACCCAGAATCTGGTAACTTCAAGATTCTGTATTCCTTGTCATCACCATTCGATGAATACGTATCACGTGGGGTTATCACCCCTCTGAGCCGAAAGGACATGATGAGTGCGCTCGTTAGAGGTCTATCCTGAGAACAAACTTGTTTTTAATTTTGTCATGTGTTATAGAAAGGGATACTCTTGAGTCCCGCCTTTTTTACCACATACAGTCAAGTCCCCTCATAGCGGACACTGTGGGGAGTTTGAGTTAGTGTCCTCATTAGCGAGAGTCCGTAATAGCAGGAGTTTATGTTAGTCAAACATCTGTAATTTATTTTTGCCTGGGATTTAGCTGCTGTCCGTGTTATTTGGATGTCCGTTATAACGGGGTGTCCATAAGGCGAGAGTTGACAGTAATTATAACAACACTAAGAACACTTCATTTTCATACAGCCAAACGTGAGCCATGACATGAGCCTCTTTTTTGTGTGCTACACGCACCAGGTGATGCTGTTGAAGAAATCCCAGTTTGAGACCATGCAAATCAGGCCGGCTCTGGTAGTAGGGATCTTAAGCACTGAACCACGACGACAATCGCAAAACAAACGTAAAAAAGCAAAAATTTAACAAGAAAAACAACTCTACACGAGTGTGACACTTTGGTGGTTTTCTACGTGCCTTTACTGGACGACTGCAAAGTGAAACCTACTAACGTGATGTTTTACGGCGGACGTAAACACACGAGGACGCGGTCGTACGAATTCGACTCCCTTTAAGTCCTGGAAAAATCCTCTGTATTTGAAAAACTGGGTGACTTTTGATCATCGCGATGAAGTTCGAAACACTGCGTATTCAAATTTTCTGAGACCTTTTTGATGCCGTCGCCATTTTGGTTGCTCATGTTCGCTATTTATTCTCTGTAGGTTTTTTTTGTGGCAAAATCAATGTATGCTTTTCTTTTAATTTGATCTGGACTTTTGAAGGGGTGAATGAGCAAGTGACTGGTACCTGGCAAAATCTGAGAACAATATTGCGAAAGCGCACAAAAGAAACATAAGAGCACCTTGACAAAAGAGCAGGTTTCTCTTGTTTGTATTTTACAAATTATTTGCCGCTGCACATAGACAAGAACTCCTCGAATCTGAAGCTGTGAATGAGTGTTAGCTCCACATTTCTGTGAACAAAACTTCTTGCATTTGTTCTGGCTCATTAATGATAGGATTGGTTATAGCCGTTCCGGACGATGTCTAAATTTGTCTCTGGCGTTACCATTTACCCACGTGAAATACATATATTATGATCTAAAATTGAAACGTTGACGACTGGGGAGTGGTCGGCCATCTTCGATTCCTTTGTTTGTCGACTACGGGCTTTCTGACTATGGGGATTCATCTGATATGGAAAGAATATATGGGAACAAAGACGTTTAACAAGGAATCTTGTCAAGGTAACGTAGTAGTCGCTTAATTTAAAATTGTTTGGTTTACTCTATTACTCCTGGTTAAGTGCATTCTTAACGTTATATATTAAACGATTAAAAACATTACTACCAGTACAAAAATAATAACTAGACAACAGAGTTAAGCAGTCCCCGTTAATGGACGTTTCAAGAGCTGGGTCTTCCTCAGACTACACTAAGGAGTAATGACAATTGCATCCGGCACTCCTCAACTTCCACCATCAAAACTATGTCACCATTGTTTCTTCGCCAACTCAACTTGTTGTCCGTTGATTAAAAAATGTTGTTGCCCGTGTAGACGTCCGTTTTTCTCAGGGCATGTTTTGTCTGTTAGGAATTTCTTCAGCAGTTGTGCCATTTTTAAAACAGTAGAGGAAACGAAGACGCTTAACTTTCCGCTCCACTAATCGATGTCTGTTTTGGAGCAGTGACTACCTCTATGTAGTACGGATAATTATCAGAAGAGTTTGATCAGCAATGGTAGAAGGTCAATGATTGTGACTGCCGGATCATTGTCCTTTGTAGCGTTAAAGTTGTAGTGAGCAAGTTTTCAATGTAAGATCTTTGCTTTGCTGTAGCCTGTGGAAAACACTGTTTACGGTTACGTCGACATCATTGTTGTTGTGCCCATTTTATAAGGATAAATTTCAGCTGAAAAGAATGCTTCATTGGACCACCCAAGTTACTGTTTTGTAGAAACCAAAAACGACTTGGAATTGGATTTTGAATCTGAGTTTCAACAAATTTCCAAAATCAGATGATGTCGCCATGGAGATAGTCACTTGCTGCGAGTTTTCAGCTATAGTGATCGACATTCTCTATCAATTACGGTGTGCGGTTAAGGTTTCATCCAAACAGACAATCTAGCTGACTTACCCACCAACCCATCTTTATGAGTCATGCCTAAATTCAAACAGTCTGCATCCAAAAGGCCTGATCGACATGAGCAGAGCCATCAGGCCCCCTAACATGCCCTGTTCAATATGCTGAGGCAGTCAACTTACTCTCAATGAACACCTCTGTAAGCGATCCCTTCAAGTTGATCCTTGCTGTTCTTCAGTCACTTGGCGATATCGTACTGAAGGACACTTAAGACCGTTCCCAGCGGTGTCTGTCTCAGAGGGAGTTTGGAGTGTCATCAATGCCCAAACGCTTTGTCATGTGGATGATACCCTAGGCGACTAAAAGACTGCCCATGGCTGCCACTTAGCCACTGCCCGGATAGTGACTGTGCGCATGCGTTGAGCTTAGGTATATAAAGGACGTGACTCTTTCCATTCCGTATGGTTCATCAAAAGTCAGGGGCGTAGCCAGCCCATAGACTTGTAGAGCCGGGCCTACAGATTTTTGGTTTGATCTCTCTACCGCTTGTAATAAATTATTCGTTGTTGGGGTTATTTAAAAATCTTAAGAGCTCCAAGTGTTGGTGAGGTTAGTGCGTACTAGTCATGCGTGCAATTTTCAGGATATTTGGAAATGAAATTCAGCCAGGCCTATAACTAGTCGAAAAGCTGGCTACGCCCCTGAAAGTACACCAATCCTAGCTAGCGCCGAGAATTTAAGAGCATGCAGCACCGCCTCTGAGACTTTTCCGCCCTCTAATGTTAATTAGTTTGATTCCTAGCTTACTAGGCCAGAACAAGATCTCAAAACCGATGCTGTATTTATCGGAAGAAGCTAAGCTTGGTATCGTGAGTGGGGCTATCGCTATCCTCATTCTTATGGTGATCTGTATGATATGTAAACTGAGCAAGCTACACAAGCAGCCAGCTTACAAAGACTCTTCGTATCTGAAACAGACCAACAAAACACCCCCAGGAAAAGTTCCGCTAGCTCAGTATCCCAGCTTTGCCGTGGATTGTAGCGAGTGTGAGCAAGAAAAACTAAGCAAGATGAAAGAGAATGTAGAGCAACAAACTGAGCAAAGGTCTAGTCCACCTAGAAGTAAAGGAACGATTAAATTCTCAATGATTTATCAAAGTAATTTACATAGTCTGTTACTGAGCATTATTGAAGCAGACCAGTTGGTTGGAAAAGACTTCTGGGATACCGTAGATTCTTACGTCAAATTGAGGCTACAACCGGACAACGAGGGAATTTTAAGGAGGCAAACCAAGGTTGTCAGGAAATCTAAAAACCCTAAACACGGCGAAAGTTATGAATTTGACATGTCATTACAAGACGTTCAAGACTCGACGCTTCATTTGTCTGTCTGGGAAATTGATAAATATTCCCGGCATCACATAATTGGAGAGCTGCAACTAGAACTAGGTCACGTGATCAAGGCTGATGAGTCGGCTGCTTTTGACAAGGAGTTAAGGTCGTTTCAGAGGGTGAGTTAAACTTCCGGTTAACTATTTAAAGAAAATCTTAGGGGCTGTCCACAGTTAGTGCCTGGGAACCAGAGCCTGGGCACCGGCACAAAATGCTTTGAGTTCACATCTTGAGTACACGATATGTAACTGTGTTCATAGTTACTCCATTTCGCCCTGTCAGACGCCATTTTAAAACATGAGCTTAGCAGCGAATACAAAAAGAACTAACAAAAACGGTGTGCACACAGGAAGCTGGTGCCCCGGGCACCGGCACCGTGCCCAAATTCTAGCATTGGTACTTGAAAAAAGGGTGTGTTCACATTAGTGCCCAATGAGTCCCGTACTCGGGCACTAAGTGTGAACGCTGCCTTGATCACTTTGCCCAAGGTCACTGGGAAATCAATCAGGAGGAAGGGATATTCATTAGGGAGAGGGAAAAGGCCGCCCTCATTCGCTCACTTCCCCTGTTCCCTGTTTCCCTCGTCTTCTCCTCGCGATTTTTAGCCCCCTTCCAATTCCCCCAAACGGAAACCCTGTTCACAGACTAGCATTCCACCTTAGTGAACTTACACAATAGAGACCTGTAGATTCTACGAGTACGAGATTTTCTCAGTACTAAGTAGTGCACACGCGTGAGCCAGAGTCATTTTGGCGGGAAAATGTGGTAGCCGTCGTCATTCTACCACGAGTTTTCGCGCGAATGTCGTAGTGGCGAAAACAAGATATCAAATGTTAGAAGTTTTTATCATTTTTGCGATCGGGTGGGCGCGTAACCTCCTTCACTAAAGATAACAATGCTAATTTTTCTAGTGAAAAATGGTAAACGAAGCTTTGAGGGAAGTCTATATTTTGAAAAGACGCGAAAAAACTTCAAGTCAAATCTCGTACTGGTACTCGTCCTCGTCCTCGAATCTAAAGGTCTCTAATAGAACTAGGTCGAGGCTTGGATGAATTGATGTTTTTTATCTACCCGAGCCTCTAGTTGGTGTCCCTTGCTCACAGGAACGCAGGAAAGGTCTATTGTTAGCTTGTTGCTCAAGACTAACACCCTTCAAAAAGACCCGAACCTGACGCAAAGTTAAAGACAAGTATTTTAAGCATATACCTGCCAACTCTCACGCCTTAGGCGTGAGTCTCACGCCTGCGGGTTCAAAACTTCGATCTCACGCCGGCTCACGCCTGCGGGCCAATTTCTCACGCCTGATTGAAAAATGTGAGTTGTTGCCGTCCTGCTTGAAACAATTTCCAAAAATATGTTAACTCAGACCCATGTAAGGAGCGAAAACCATGTGTAAAATGAATAAATGGCAATACCTTCCTCGCGATCTCTGATTTTTGAAGTGAAAAGCACTGGGAGCGAGCTCGCCTTTGGCAGACTTCGGCAGACTTCGGACGTCTTCGGAAGACTTCGGACTTCTTCGGGAATCTTCGGAAATGATCGAGTCGTCTTCAAAAATCCCAGCACTCCCAGGATAAAAATCTCACGCTTATATCTCAGAAAAAGTTGGCAGGTATATAAGCAGCCATCTCTCGATTCTTATGATCCTAGTAACATCAAACACCCTCCCTGTTTAAACTAAACCGTCTCTCTCATCTTCCACCCAGACAAAAGCCAACCTGGGTGAGATATTATTTTCTCTCAGTTATATGCCCACCGCTGAAAGAATGTCTGTGGTTCTGATGAAAGCCAGGAACCTGAATCCACCTTTCAGTGACTGGAACACTGAATCAAGGCCAATTAGTAAGTCTTTAAAACCCAGGATTTGCGCCAGCCTGCATAACAGGCGTTTTATGAGCGAACGCGGCATTTTGCGCGAAAAGCGAAACTTGTCCTCGCCTCGTCTCAAGTTTCGCGCAAAATGCCACGTTCGCCTTGCTTGGCTCATAAAGCCCCTGATATGCAGGCTAGATTTGCGCTAAAGGGTCTTCGAGCTACGCAACCACGACGAACCACGACGGCAATGAGCTCGATTACCAGCCGCTGCTTCGGAAATGAGCCCGCGCTCCTCCCCCTCGGGGAAGTACAAGACAGGACCCGAAAGGGCGGCGGGAAATCGAGCCTACGACAGTAACGGCAACGAGAGCTTCAGGAAAGCAATTTGTTAAAATCAAAGCAACAGCCCTACACGTGCATCACGTATACTTCTTGTACATTTCCTTGCCGTCAGTGCACGATTAAGTCGTAACATTTCCTAGCCTGTGTAACACGCGTTGTTTGAGGGCGTGCGCAAAGCGCGAGCGAGACGAAGCGAGGTTAAAGCGAGGGGTAGTTTCGCGCTTCAGGGTTGCCCATTAAAATTCGCCTTAGCATTTCCAATAACGCCCGATGAGCCGGGTACAAATTTCTCAGTTTCACGTTTTATGGAGGACGCAAACATAGGCGACGTTTTTCTCTTTCTTTTTCTTAACTTGTAAACGGTCAATAACAATTAAACCTTAAAACCTTAAGAAAATTCGCCTACATCTGACAAATTGAACGAGATGAAACAATAGCTATAAAAATAGATAACACGCGAATTCGCTTTTAAAGAAACGTTTTCGCTGCCGTTGCAGTTGTGGTTGCTTTCCCGAGAGAAGTCAGTCGCGTGAACCAGCGATTAGCCTGTTAGAGGCGTCCGGATAGTGGAGTGCGGGGCGAAGTAAGAGGGCGGGAAAAAATAAGTAGGAAGAGAGGGAGAGAGAAGGAAACTCTCGCTCTCACCCCTACCTCTCCCCCTTGCCCTTTTTTTTCTGCTCTCATCTCGATCTTTGCGCCGTCCCCACGATCTGAACGCCTGGAACAGGCTAACAAGCGATATTTCACCGTAGTCATGCCAGTTTGCCTTTTTTAACAGTATACCCGGAAATAGACGGTGCGGTTCTTTTAATTATAACTTTGACTCGTTAAAGGTCTACTGAAAATTGCTTACTGCTAAAATTCTATTTGAACTGAAGTTTGGTATTAATTTATGAATTTTGATTTTGAGGGGGTCTCCCTCCGAAGTTCAATAAGAACTTTTCGTTTATTTTTCGAAGATGACCAGACTGCACTGACGGCACATAAAACGATAAGTTCTTTTCTTGTGTTCACAGATCCATTCATAAAGGTGGTCCTTCTTTTCGACGGCAAAAAAGTGAAGAAAAAGAAAACTTCCACCAGGAAACAAGAAACCAACCCAGTGTACAACGAGTGTATGATGTTCGATGTCCCCCCTGACCTCCTTCATAGAATTCTCTTGGTTATCTCAGTCGCTGACTCGAGAACGGACTCAGCGAGAAGTGATGTGATTGGTCGAGTGGTTATAGGTTCAGGAACTACTGGGGAGTCGCTTAGACACTGGCACCAGATGCTCATATCACCTAGGCGACCTGTAGCGGCCTGGCACCGCCTTAGACTGTGATTTGTATAAAACAAAAAGGAACCAACTTCAAAGTTACGCCTTGGCTTGTATTTGTTTTAAGTCACGCTGGAAAAAAAGACTTTGTTGAAATGAGACAGTGGAGACTTAAAATGAGGCCTGGAAAAGATGTGCATATAGAGAAGGGACGAATTTCAGTCGCTACATTTGTCTTAATTTTGTAGTTATCATTATCATAATAATTATTAGCAACTTACTCCCACTTGAAGATTGGTGCAGTGTTCGGCGTGAGAGAGAGGGAGAGCTCGGTCGATCGAGAAACCATCTTTTTAACGTGAAAATGATTGAACTGAGAAAATCAAAAGAATAACTATTTTTGTTCTGTGATTTATCAATAAATTAGTCTCCGACTGACAGTTCATCTAAGAAGTTTGTTTCTTCATTTGTTTCTTCTTTGTCTGGGAAAAGACGTATGTTTTCAGGGTTTTTTAAAATAACAATTGATTTAGTAGCCTGCGAAAACAGCCGTCCCTCCTCGCTAGGAGCCAGGAGGACGGCTGTTTTCTCGGGCTGTTGATTTGGGGTGGGAAAATAATGCTTAATACAGGGGTACCCAACGACTGTTTTCGGTAAAATATCTGTTAGGAGAAGCACGTATTGCCAAGAATTTCCTATTACTCGACGGCGGTTAAAAATTTCTCGATGACCGTTCTATTCATGTACAATTTTCGAAGCTCACCAAAAAAATTCCCTACGATTTTCTGAAGTTTAATTTGAGTTTCACATTTCACTCCCCAGGGTAGGCTATTTTTCGTAAAAAAAAACCGGAAACCTAGAATTTTCGGATTCAGAAATGTGTTTTACAATAACTATGTAAATCCTCGCTCGCTGATTGGTCGAGAGCAATGGTCTATGAGAGTATAGGCCGTGGAAATGACGTAACATGACACACAGTGCCGGTTTTTTTGTTTTTGGTTTTTCTTAAAAAAATAAATGTTCTTGTAAAAAACAAATCGAACACAATTTTCCATGGTCTACACCATTATAGAGCATAGAAATGACGCCATAAAATGTTCAAAACTTTGCAGTGAAGCAACTCGCCTGCGGCTCGTGGTTTCATTTTATGACGTCGTTTCTATGGTCTATAAGAGTGTATACAATGGAAAATTGTGGTCGATTTGTTAAATGGAGAGAGGAATAAGAAAAGTTCTCATTTTTGTAATCCGTTAAATTGCATCTAAAATTTTCGGGAAAATAATACTGAGGCCCTCGAAATTTCGAAAAGACTCAAGATGCCCTAGGATGACCGAACAGATACAAATTTTATAGCGTCGCTGTGAATGCATTTCTGGAGATCTAAAACTGCCTTCGATAGCCTTGAAAAGTGTTTTCAATGAATTTAGGAAGAAAACGTTGTTGGGTGCCCCTGTTAATAGTGTCTCAACGTCTGAAGTGAATCTAGTAAGCTCTACGAAGAAGGCTAGCAATTCCACGGTGCAACAATGACGACAGCAAGATCCAACATCAGATATTGATGAAGTATACAAGGTATAAAATACCCTCGACCCAGGTACAGGTACTAATTACAAGAACCGCAAGCGTAAACAGTGAATTTTTTCTAGTTCAGAAGACGTAATAAATAAGTCATGTGTCCGATTGGAAGAATTGTGTCATCTTTATCTTTATCTGGTGTTTATCAGAACCGTTTTATATGTAAAATAATATACTTATTTTTCATTTTACAGCCCGTCATTTCTAGTTATTTAACCCCATTATATAGGGAGTGGAGAAAGTGATATTATCAGAGTCTTTCGTGGTTATTTGTGTATTGATCATCTATTATATAGTGAATTATCTAGAAGTTCAAGTTCTACGCTACTTCGTACTCAAAGCCGCTAAAGCAATATAAACACCCAGTTAATAAACACTGATTGAAGACCAACTTGTAGAATACTCGGCTGAAAAATCAAAACGCCTGCATGCTCAGTCAATAAATCTCATTTTTCATGTGCAGTAATTTTTTGAGGATCAAATTTATCAGCCTGTTTGGAAAAGAACCTTACAACATACAAAACATTCCCCGAATTCACTGACAATCCACACGTACGTATCCGGATCTTTTGAAAACGGAAAGTTGTTTTGCGGAGTAGCCCGCGCACGTATTAGGTGAAAACGGTCCTCGAAAGTTTTTGAAAACGCTCTTCAATGTGGACATTTTTGAAAACGCTGCACGGAGTTTCCGGTATATTCAAGTGGACAGAAGAAAACGGAAAAAAATAACGAATGTTTCATTAAGTGTCACCTTTCCCCTCTACAACGTAACTTTATTTTTTTTTCACCGATCAGGCAAAATGTTCAAGCTTGTTCTTTCAGAATACGGCATAATCAGTAGGAGGTTCTAAGTATGCATGTTTATTAGGTGCATAAACAACTTTGATGACCTTTGGTCACTGAACTTTGCCAACCAAACATACAATAGATCAGCACATTTCAAGCCAATCCGTCTTAATGAAATGTCCTTTTCCATTTAGAAACGGTTGCTTAAGGATGGATGAAAACGATTTGAAAATGATATGTGGTCGCGAATTTTATCAAAAACCAAAAAAAATCCGGTTTTCAAAAAAAAGGCAATAAAATTGAATGACTAATACGCAACCCTCAGAGACCTACTAGAATACACAAATTAGTTTTGTTCTTATGCTGCTGTTGTTGTTTTATTGTTGTTTTATCTTTGGAGCTGTAATATATGCAATCAGAAGCCTATAACTCTGCTTCTCCGGATGCAATACTCTTGGTGCAAGCTGGCTAAGTCAGTTTTTACGAAAAACATTAAAACTTGTTGAGACCTTTTACTTTTACACTCTAGGCTAGAAGTGAAGTTATAGAAAAACTCTTCAACAGAAACACCGGCTACAATACACGAGTGGAACAACTAAGAAGTTTGAAAGTATGAAAACGCGCGTCATTCCACGAGCCCCCAAGTGGTCGATGGACTAAAAGCCATTATTAAACCGTAAAGATAATGGACTTAATGAATTTTTGTGGCATATGTCATGTAGAAAAATGAAACCTTTCCTCTCCCTTAATCATACAAGTTGAGTTTTCACGCCTTTAAAAACCCAAGAGAACTCGAAACGACTTCTTTTGGAAACAATGACCTGGGGCTTGTGATTTCCATAAGTTTTACATGCAGTTCCCTTTTGGACCGACAGGGTCTTTCAGCATTCAGGGCTTTACTGAAAAGGAGAAAACAGCCCCTTATTTGGGTCTAAATGACTTCTTCGCGAATCATAAAGCTACCAGAACGTTTTTCATATCTTAGCAGGCGCTAAAATATAATATCGAGAGACAAAAACGCCAGAAAGATGTATAATCACATTGGATTTTTATGTTAACATACAAATTAAAGGAAGTTAATTTCCCAGAGCACTGTAGATTGTTTGTTAATTTGCATTTGAAAGGTTTTAACAACCTATTATTACGTTTGTAGGTGGGTATATTTAGCTTGCGTTTGCATTTTCAATTTCTGTCGGTCTTTTTAACAAATGACCTGTCAAATACTGTTGCTTACTCTCATGCTCAGGATGTAAATTACGTCACGGTATAAATTACCAATTATTGCTTCGGTTAAAAGCACTTTCGTTGAGAAGGTTTGGGTTTTTTTACGTCAAGTTGATGAATCTGTGTCGTAAGTCAAAAACGTTTCATGAATTTAACTTCCAGTGTGGTAAAAAGTCACCAAACCATAAATTCCAGAAGTTATGAGTACTTTAGATGGAATCTTTGATTCACAGCTGAGATTAACATGCATTCGAGTTTTGCTAAAGGTAGGTAACATTTATTCTACGTGGTTAAAGTTTCAAGTTAATTATTCAGAAACATTGTAGAATAGTGCCAAAGATCGTCTTTCAGCTTTAGAACGCTAAAATTTTCAGAAAAAGATGTTTTTACATTGCAGATTGCGAGATTACTTATGCAAACATGAACAAAGAATCCAGCTGCGTTTTAACGCAGGAAAAAATATGTAGTTGCACATTTATTTCCCTTTCAAAAACAGTACCGTACCTCGGGACTTTAAATTCCTTAATGATAAAGAGCCGAATAATGAACGCAATCGGGTGTGAAAAAGGCAAAAATTGACTTTCACTAAATTTCAAAATTTCGTAAATTGATATTTTCTATAGTTACAATAGTATGCAGTAATACAATGTTGTTTAAAAGTTTCAGATGACAAGTTTTTTGTAGCTAATTAAAAATTTAAACCCCTCGTTAGATCAGTCTTCAAATATGTCCTCGATCGCATGCAATAAAAGGAAAATGGCAACCTTCAGACCGGAATAATATTTGATATATTGTTGGATTGGAAAAGCAGAACTACAGGGTAATAGGTTTTCATAGAGAACAAACTGGATTGAGCCGTCTTCTTGGACCTGTTGAAATCACAACCGGTCGACTGAATCAATTGCTCCATTGGTTACTGTCTGGTAAGGAGTCAGGAGTTAAGTCCGTTTGTTTATGGAGAGTTAATATTTAGAACGCTTCTAAGAACGTTTTAGCCATTATTTAGTACTTAACTGGAGCCGAAATGTCTGGTTTAATATTCGAGTACGCCAACCTCGAGTAGCTATGGACTAAAAACTGAAAAACGCGTTTATATAAAAGCGCTGGGTTAAAATTGGTCAAATGCCGGTAAATTGATCGACAACAAGTGTCACAAGTCAGGATACAAATATAAAATTCATTCAGTAATGAGCGCATAAACTGGCGTGATAAATTTTATCTCGAACTTTCTGGCTTTTGAAGTATCGCGGTTCCTTCCAATTCACGGATTTGTAGTTCACCATAGGTTAAACCGGACTTGTTTGTATTTTATTTATTGCTGGTTTTCACGGTCACGACTCACATGTAAATAGTATGGATATGGCAACTTAATCTTCCGCTATCGCCAATACCACCATGACGCTATACTGCTGGAGCTGTTTCCTACAATAATATGAAAAAACTTGAGATTTTTCCTCATTGCAAAAGTTCCTTTTAAAAATTGTTTGTGACCTCGCACCAGTCCTTCCCGCCAAAGTTTTAAATGAGCGCGGTAAAATTGGATAGCATTCTCGATTTTCTTCCTGTGGGGGAGTTTTTACCAAAATGGCCGTGACCAAATATATGTCGGATTTCGTACCGTACAAGGCGTATTGTGGATTTTCTGTACGTAAGTATTTAAATAGGGAAGTTTAACGTTTTATTGAAAGGTCATCCGTAAAGTTTAAGCTGAAGCGAGCCGTGACAATAGATGCAAATTAGATGTTTATCCGAAGATTTCGGCCGTTGGGTATATTTTTGTATTGATCTTCAGACTTATAAACGCCTAACGGTTTAAAGCTGATGTTGATCCTTCAGATTGTATGTTTTGCATCGCACATTCAGTTATTTGCTCGATAAATTAAAAGCCTTAACTTGCAAATTGAGGCTTTTTGTGCCCTTAAAAATTGAATAAGATTTTCTTCAGTATATTGCCATCACCCAGCGGGGTTCATTGTCTGGAATAGCTTGGAATGAATAATCTTTCAACAAAATGCAGGCAGCCTACATTCCGTGACAAGGTTATTCAAAAGAGGTGATAATATTTGTTTTATAGTTACCAGTCCTGCTTATTAGCTAGTGAATTAGATTTATCTAGATTAAGCTTTTCAACATCTTATCCTATCCTCTACAAGTCAGATTTGCATTTTGTTAGGGGCATTGCAAGTGGTAGGGAGAGGAGACTGAGTGGCAATGACAGTGAAGTGGTGGGCCGTGTTAAGAAGTGCTGAGATTTGAAGTCTGTGAATACAATGATTTACAGGCTTAGTTTCTTAGTGGAGAAGCAATCAGATATAATGTTGCCAAAAGGCATGGATTTTTTTTGGCAGGCAAGAGTTGTGGGATGGGGAGGGGTTGGCCAGGGTAGGAGAAAGAAGAATGAAGTGAATACCATTGGAACAATGCATGCATGTGGACAGAAAAATACCTTTGGCAGTAAGAAGAGCCAATCAGATTACACAAAAGAAATTATATTTATTATACAGTATGCCATATTCTGCATCTTGGTTAATAGCCTTCCTTGAATAATCAGCCCCCATCAACCCCTTCAGTTTTTCACAAATATTGTCACAGCTGCTTGCATCAATTTGTATTTGTAGGATAATGTTCAATACTTTGTTGTCCAATCCAGAAAGCAGCTGAGAAAGACTGATTGGTCAATGACTCGAATTGAGCTTGAAAGAGCAAGTCAGTGACCCAAATTTAGAACACTCTTAAAGCCTTTGTTCACTCCATTAAATGTCATTGTCTTATGACTGAAAAAGAAGATTTGAAGAGAAGTACTGAAATAATATATAGTCATCCTCCAGTGCTCTCTCTAGAATAATCACCTTTTTGGTGCTTAAAGAGAAAAGATTGCCTTCGCCAATTGTTCCAGGAAGTATGGTATGTTAGCAAAATGTATGTCTATAAATTTGGTTTAATTTACTTCCAGAACCATAGAGTGCTTTAGCAAGCTGTGTTAAATTGTATCTGGAAAGAAAGCCCATGGGAGTTTCAACACTGTCAAACAGAACCATAAAACTGAACAAAAGTGACGAGGAGGACAGCAAGGAGGAAAAAACCATGCCGACAATCAAGCCTCACAATGTACAAACACCAAAACCCCAGGCAGCAAAAGTGGAAGGAAGTACGTATTTAATTGGATACTTAGACATTTTATGGACTTTAACCTTCAATATCTAGAAAAGGAATAATATTTTTTTCCTGAAAAGTTAATCAGAAGGTACCAGGAACATCTCTTGTCACAAATGCATAACCTAATCTTAGTGAACATTGACTAAAAGTAGTGTTGGGAATCAGTTAAGATCTCATAATCGATCATTGGAAACATTGGATTGACCCACTTGATCAATCATCGATTATAATTATGGAAACATTTCCTTGTTTTTATTTTTCACCTTTGTGCGAGTCAATGTACATGTTATACAAACTTTTTGAGTCTTTTGACTGTAGACTCTTCTGAGCTTGGAATCTTTTCTGTGCTTTTGGTTAATCAAATTCTCTTTTTTCTTTAATAATGAGATTATTAAACAGGCAACACACAAGTTTATGCTTATGGTTGTCAAAAATATGTATATATATATTTTTTTTTTTCAGTGCAATAATCGATTGAACATTTTCAATAATTGATTCTTGCATCGCTTAAAGATTTCAATTGATGATTGATTATAATCGACAATCTGCTCACCACTGACTAAAAGTTATAATCCTTTTTAATATTTTACAGTACCATGGTGGATGGTATTTGGCGTTGGTCTGCTTGGTTTTCTCATAGTTGCCGTTTGCTGCTACTGTTTTTGTTATCGGAAATGCTGTAAGAAAAAGAAGAAGGAAGAGAAAAAAGCTGCAAAAGAAAAACTTGACCTGAAAGAAGTACAGCTGCTAGCAGCTAGTTACCAGGAAAAAGTTCAACCATCTGTGGACGAGTTAGATTACAATAGTGATGAATTCCAGTCTGATGGCAGTTCAGGAGTTAAAATAGGTATAGATAAAAATGTAATGTCTAATTTTGTTGTAAGCTTATTCCCACACAGCTAGACCTTTGCTTGGCTGGGATGACCCCAGCGGGAGTGGGTAATCGACCATTGTTTGGGTACAGGTGAGCTTATTCCCACACAGCTAGACCTTTGCATGGCTGGGATTAGCCCAGGGGGGGTGGGTAATCGACCAAAGTTTGGGTATAGGTGAGCCAATGAGGGTTCAAATCCTGGCTCTTTTTAGGACAAAAAAATCCTAAAATACGTACCCTGTTTAGGACAACACCCTCAATTTTATTACCCTGTTTAGGACAAAGGACAAAATGCACGCCGTCCTCTTTCAAGGGCATTTATTGGCAATTGCAGTAGAGCAAATTCACGTTATAGTTATTATTACTTCTGTATACTTGGAGTACAAACAAAATAATGAATTCTTTCATCAAGCAAATCAAATCAATCGTGCAGGCAAAACTCTGTTTATAATTAGGCCAAACTCATGAGAAATTATAAACCCTGCTCAGGACAGATAGGACAAAAACCATACCCTGTCCAGCGGCACATCTCCGTATAGACCATATAAGGGAGTACACCCCCAAGGTCCCGCCCATCCTCAGTAGGAGACATAAAAGTACTGTCATCTATAAATAATTTTGTACTATATACATTGACAATGAAATTAAATTGTGTGCTTTTTTGCTGTGACTAGGTCGAATCCACTTCACCCTAGACTACAGTTTCAATGAGAATTCACTGACAGTGGGGGTGATAGAGGCACAGGATGTCCCTGCTAAAGATTTTAGTGGAACATCTGATCCGTATGCTAGAGTCATGTTATTACCAGACAAAAAAAAGAAATTTGAAACCAAGGTGTGAAATTACAGACTTTTTGGTTTGTTGTGACTTCTCTTGGATTGTATACAGCGGAACTTTGATATAATGAACCTCTATATAACAAACTCCTCGGTATAACGAACAATTTTCTTCACCCCATCAATAGTAAAGTATATGAGAAAGAACCTTGATAATAACAAAACCTAAATATAGCGAGGAAACTTTGCAAGTCCCGCAGCCCTTCGTTATATAGAGGTTCCACTGTATAAGGGACATAATTAATTTTGAACTGCTCAGTGTAGCAGGTTTCCATCAAAAAATGTAAACATGGATAGCTTTCTTTCAATGTGATGCCCGATCATATACAGTTTCAAACCTCCTATGGAGATGTCATAAAACTGAACCAGGCCATATGTATTTTTGAATATTATTAACAGAGATTTTTTTTATTTTTTGTAATTTTATAGAGATCCTCATTTGGCATCCCATTCTTCCATCCCTACAATTTTGATCTTACCTGCAACTCTACTCGAAACAGTTTACTTTCCCATTTTATAACAGTGTGAAGCTCTTCTTCAATTAACTGTGTAACTAATTAAGAAACTCTGAATAAATTCTGATCAATAATACACTTTTCTTCATATATTTAGGTTCACAAGAAAACTCTAAATCCTATATTCAAGGAAACATTTGTGTTCAAGAATATTCCATACAGCGAAATAACAAATAGAACTCTTTGTATCGAGCTCTACGACTTTGATCGCTTTTCCAGACATGACATCATTGGAGAAGCCAAATTGCCATTAATTGATGTTGATTTAGCAACTAATATTGATGAGTGGCGTGCTCTGATTCCACCTTCATCCTCAGGGGGCCTCACTGGGGTACATGTAAGTTAACTTTCTTTGTAGTTGAGCCTCGCGTATACTGGGGACCAAAGTAACGTAAAACTTGAATTTGTTCAAACCAGAAGCATATACCGGGTAGGTTATACTTCTGTTTCAAACCTTTGGAATAGTGTGGGGTTAGAAAATTTCTTGCATATCTTCTGACTACACACCTTCTCACCTTAAATCACCTGATAGTGATAACTGGTTGGTTGTATGTGTTTTGGCTGTTTCTTTGTGTTGTGGAAACCATTGTTGGTTCGCCTTTATGTTATGGTGTGGGTATTGTTTGAAGTGTCTTCAATCGTTGTGTTATATCATTTAGTAAATTGCAACCGTTCGCAACACTGAGAAACTTTCTGTGTTTTTCATATGTTATAATTTTCTTTTTTAGCGGTCCAAGCCTGAGCTAGGTCAACTTTGTTTTTCACTGCGTTATGTGCCTGCCGCGGGCAAATTACAAGTGGTCGTATTAGAAGCTAAAGATCTTAAAGCCATGGATGTCTCTGGCTACTCGGGTAAGCTACAAAGCTGTCATTAAGGGATGGTGAACATTTTGCTTGGCAGTAATAATTAGGAAACTGAGCATTAGTTATTAAAAGAAATTAGAAGAAAATGCAAACCTTGACAACACATGAAACCCTGGCTACTTTTCAAGGCTCAAAATTTAATGCTTTAATACAAACTTGCCAACAAATGCAAGTCATAAGAATTCCCTCTAGCATAAATTTCAGGGCTCGAAAAAAAGTCCTGTCCAGTAGTAGACAGTCTTAATAAAAGGATTCTTAGATTTATATCTAAAAGACGACTTTGAATCTACCTATAACATTTTATTGGATCAAGTCGACTGTGTTTCTCTAAACAACAGACGTACACACAATATGCTAATTTTACACTACAAGAGTTTGTTTCTGAGTAAGTATCCTATCTACATGATGAATATGTTCAATCTATGTATTTTGTCTTATAATTTATGTGGCAACGATATTTTGACACTGCCTGTAACTAAAACTACTTCTTATGGCCTTCATTCTTTTTCTTACCATGCCGCTACCGGTAAACAATGGAACTTACCATCAGACTCAATTAGTACCAGCGATTTTACTAACTTTAAAAAAAAACAATTAGCTAGCCTAAACAGTAAAATAAGTTGAAGTGCATTGTATATAGTGTTATTTTCAATAAACTTTCCGTAAGATTTTATTGTATATTATTTTTTGTTTTTCTCTCTGAAAAATTAGCTCCTTAATTAGGACAAATAAAGTTAATGTATGTATGTATGTAGTCCAAGATGAGTAGTTTTTCTTCCTGGGCAAGTAACTCTTAAAGCACACTTGCCCAATGCCCAAGGGTCCAGGAAAGTCATCTTCTAACAAAATAATTAACTAAGGTGATTGGCCCTGGTCGGGTAAGCAAAATGCGAGAGCTGCTTGCTTAAAGGACACTTTGGGAATTGATTTTTTTTCAAAGCCCTGAACTTGTGAGTAAGCATTTAACCACTGCTGCGCCGGCTGCCCTAAAAAAATGGGGAATGAGGAAACAGATTCTAGATACCGTTTTCAAAAATTGTGGGTAAGGGTTGGGCAAGGTTGCAAAGCAGTCTTTAAAAATCTGTTTTAAAATTAAATTTGATTTTTAGAAAATCATTGTCTTTTTATTATTGCTGCAGATCCATATGTGAAAATAGCGCTAATTCAAGAAGGAAGGAAACTAAAGAAGAAGAAGACAACTGTCAAGAAAAGGACACTGAATCCTTACTACAATGAACACTTTACTTTTCAAGTTGCTTTTGAGAACATTGAACAGACATCTTTGATAATTTCTGTGTTAGACTATGATCGTGTTGGTCGCAGCGAAGTAATTGGTAAATGTGTTGTTGGTGAACTGTCGTCAGGACCTGATCAACAACACTGGGTGGATATGCTGGCATCACCACGAAGAGCAATTGCACAGTGGCACACCTTACACAATTAGACCTTTTTATATTTACATAAAACAAAAATAATTCATACTATTATTATTATTACTATTTCAAATGGTTACACATTTATGTTAGGTTTAGTAGTATCATTTGTCGCCTTTTTAACTACTACAGGAGTCCAAATTTAAAAGAAAGAAAAGTTTGTCAAAAAAAATGAGCAAAAAATGAGATTATTTCAAGGTGATAAAACAAAAATACTGCCACTTATTTTTCATACTCAAGAGAATAATATTGGTATATTTTAGGTCAACTACAGATTGTACTTCTAAGTGTGATGTGATTAAGATTGCAAGGGCTTGATCATTGTTTGAACAGAGCTGTAGATTTGAAACTGAGGACGTGAAAAAAACTTGAATTCCAGCTTGTTATTTTGCTTAACAAGGGCAGTTGTTTGCTTCTCTTTTATGATTTTTTTACATTAGAAAAAAAAAATTTTCCAGAGCCCTTGCCCTTTGCGCAAGTGAGCAAGAAAATTTGTGCACGCGGCAGAAAAGTCTTTTGCCCTGGACAACCAGATAGGACTTTTTCAACCCCTTTAAATTCTTAAAGGTCTTGACTAGGCGTAGATTTACTCACGTTTTGAAATCCTCTTACTATTACTTTGAGCTAACTATAAACATGGAAAGTCTCTGACCTTTCCTACACAGACCATTAGTAGCAATGTTAGGGTGTCACTAAGATTTCAAGTTGCTGGGTAAATACAAAAAGTAGTAGGGGAATAAAGAAGCTAGGGGTTTTGAAAGTAGGCGGGGGCCATGTTCATGGTAGCCGGAACAAGTCCCCCGCCTCCGCCTCTTAATGACGGCTCTGAATGTAATATGAACAAGCTGTGCATTATTGGTACTTCACACAGCAAAATAACACTTAAATTTTTTAACTGCACACTTTCAGTGGTGTCTATAGAGTGGAACCCATAAGCAAACACTAGATTTTACCATAAATCTTATATAATATATAATTATATATGAAAGGTTTTGAGACAATATGATGTATATTTTTAATATGTGGTCAAGTTTTTTAGGAAGAGCAATCCTTTTCTCTTACAAAATTATTGAAAAGTGAATCATTGGATGATGGTATACCATAAATGACCTATTTATAATAAATGCCCACTTCAAAATAAACGCCTCTTATCTAATATACGCGCCCTCTACTGGTTAAAATTTTATTAGACACCCATCTCTAATAAACTCCCCCTGTCTAATAGATGCCCCCTATAGAATTAGTCCAAAATACTAGGAATTAGCAAAAAGGTGCAAAATTATTCAATTCATTCACTTTCTTGCTTGATTAACAAGGCTTGGTGTATTTCATCTTGTTCGATGTTAAGTTTAAAACAAGGATAGACTAATGATGGCAACACAATTACAATGAGCGAGGATTCTGGCATAAATGTTGGAATTTCAAAGAGTGATATGGATCTCTAGACGGCCTAGATGTATCAACTGATGGAGTGGAAATGCTGCCATATTTAAACTCTCTTGATATTTTTAACGAAAGTGTATTAGTTTTGTTGAGATTGTTACAGTAATGAGAACACCCCCAGTTGGACCCCTAAAATTAAATAGATGCCCAGGGCCCAGTTGTTCGAACGCCGGTTAGCGCTAACCCGGGGTTAAATTTTAACCCAGATTTCTTTATCTTTTTATCAAAAGCACTTTCTTGGATAATTTTCTCATTTCTTTTTAGAGTATCCAATTATCAAATTGTAGGCAGAGAGAATTAAACTGAATTTGCTTTTTAATCTCTCATATCTGAGTTCAAATTTCGCTCTAACCCAGGGTTATGTTAACCCAGCTTCGAACAACCCGGCCCAGGGCATTTATTAGGTATAATGAAGAAATGTTTGCTGTGGTTACATGAAGGTGGAAGTCTAGACTAGACCACAAGTCAACCTCATGAGTTTCTAAGCGAGCAGAGCGAGCTTTTTAGGTTGCGAAGTGGCCAAGGGAGTCGGTGAAAGGGCCAAGCAACCAGGAACTTATTTTTGAGATTAGGACAGATTGGTTTTTCTTTTTGAAAATTGATTTCTGCAATTTTTAGAAAGTAGCCAGCACCCAGCATAATTTGATACTACTTTCTTTTTTATTGAGTACATACAATAGAAATACATATTTTCAAACAATACTATGGTCTGTGTACCCTATGTAAAACCAGTAAGTTCATTGCATACCGTCTTGTTTCTGAACGAACGAGACAAATTATAATTGAACAGACACAATTTCTTAGTACTCCATTTTTGTGTAGCGAAATTAAGTTAGAGAATATTTACTCTGGAGTAAATTTTTTGCCGGAAAAACGTTTAATGTAATTTTTATCTGTGGGAACTTATTTTGGTGGATTGCTGGAAAAATCGCAAAAATTAGAACCCACAAAAAGTTTGTGCCACACTGTAGTCCTAGACCCACACTTCAAGTCTCTATGAATTTGACTCTCTATATTTTGAGACTTTATTACGTACCATACACGTAGGTGGAGCAAGAACCAAACTGATTAGCTGAAGAAAGTAACAATGTTGTTTTTGGTTGGTTCTGGTTATATTGTGCTATCCAAGTGGGAAGGACTCGAACACTTAGAATAAATAATTCCTTTAGTATTGTAGAGGGGCATTTATTTATAGATGAAGGGATTATTTTTAACAAAAATATTAACAATAATATTATTTTTTATACATTTTTATCTTTAATCTTCAGTAAAATTCAACACCTCTGTAAGATGGATATCCTCTTGATTTTTCATCATGTTTTAAAGGGAAAAAACTTTTAAAACTAATGGTAGGTTCAATGACACAGCTTAATAGGTAATGTGTACCACAGAGCAAGAATTTAGGAGATGTTGTAATGTTAAGACTCTTAATCAAAAAGCTCAATAAGCTGATTCCTTAAAAAAAAGGGAATACAAAGGAACCCACCCTAGGACACCAGCTTAATATGGACACTCGTACAAGACTGTAATCCAAAAGTACATGGATGGCCACATTACATTATTGCAATAATTTTAGGACTTAACTTACATGCCAAGATCCCAGGAAATAATGAATGAATGTTGCCCATTTATGAATGAGTATAGTGAATATTGAAAAGGACTAATTTATGAAAGTGTTTTATACAGAATTTGACTTTATTGCTTCATTAATACAATAACAATAGAAAGAAAAGATAGTAGACAGAAATTTAACATCTCAAACTCATTAATAATTCATAAAGAAAATACAGGAAAGGAAATTTATGTTTAATGAGAGTTTGGAAGTCAGGCGAAAAACTCAGTTTTGCACCCTTAATTTCTCCTAAAATCATTTTGTTCGAGAAGTGATATCAAGCATTCGACACAGTGTCTCATCACCAGATGAGACACCTTAAAGTTTGTCAAAAAGACTCTGCTGAGCATCGTATTTTCAACTCTCTTCTCAGTGTTTCATCTGGTGATGAAACACTGGGTCTCATGCTTGATATATTACATGAACATCGGAAAATAAAATTATGTATTTACAAAATTACCCAATGGATAACTCTAGGCATAAATTGCTATCATCAATTCATAACAATATAACTGTTGATTTGCAAAGTTTGTAGCTTCTGCCGTCACTTTCTCCACCTTACTGTTAAGTACCTGAGGAATCCTCCATTTAAAGTTAACCAGATGAACACAGCTGCAGAGGGATTCTTGTTAATGATGGGCATGATTCTTTTGCTTCTCTTTCTCAGCATCTTCCATCTCAAAAACGTATTTATGACCCTGTGAACAAACAAAATGTCAATATCATCATCATCAATCCAATCATACAGGCCAATCATGGTACGTACTCAAATCCTGGTACACATGTGAGGGCCCCAGAAAAAGGTTTTTGGCACTGTTTCACTGATGAACTTAACCAGAAATTTAGTTCTATCTGTGCCACAGACTAAAGAAGATAAGATGTAGGAAACTCACCACTAACTCATGCCAGTCATGCTTTAGCCTCCATAGAACCCAAAACACCATTGTTCCTCCCATCACCTTGGACAAGATGAAATGAATTCGCTTTGGTTTAGGAAGACTGGCTATCACACCACCTGCCATCTGAAATCTATTTAATAAAGCATACTCATATCAGCAAAATCATTTCTAACAGGTAACAAGTGTGTTTGTTAGGTGATATAAAAAGGGGTACCATAGCTCTTCAGCTACATGCGTAACATTTACAAGCACTGAATATCACATTTGTTGAGATTGGTTATTACTTCAGGGTGTTCATTAGGCACTGGAGATTGGAGAATTCACCATTTACCAGGCAGAATTCTCCGGCAAATGTTCGGAAGCCTATGGCTATTTTTCATTCAGACTAATGAAAACCCTGTTATCTATGATAAATTGGAGTACAGGCAGAGAGATGACTGACATCAAGGCAGAGATTTTTTTTTTCTCACAAAGCATGGTTTGGAAAAAATGTTTGAGATTATTCTAGACTGCAGGGTTCAAAATAAAATCACAGCTTTTAGCCTGAATCTGTGGGCTTTTGTTGTCAAAGCTTATTTTTCCAGGCTGTCAATAATGAATGAGCACATCCTGTGAATAGTCGACAATGTGATTTATTATTATGATATTATTATTTCTTCACTCACAAACCAGGGCGGAGCACAAACATGGCAATTCCGTTCTGTCAAGCAGTAGGAATACAAAACTGACTTTAATTTGAATGAGTGAAAAGGCTTCACAAACAGCACTAAACAAGTTTTTGTGCAAAATAAATCTTGACTGCACATGCAGAAACATAAAGGCGGTACAAAATGGTTTGTCTGGACAAACTTGCATGCTTCACACTTTAGCAAATGCGTAAAAGGATTAGTCGTTCACAGTGCACAAGAATCAGGGTTCTCAATAGAAGGCGGCACCCGGCGATTGATCGCCGCTTACTTTGGGATTTATAGCCGCTTACTTTGTGTTTAAGTCGCTTTTCTTTGCTTTGTTTTGACACCTCTGGCTTTGCTGAAGAGCCTCCTACTTTATCAGTGATCACCTCCTCCTTGCTTTTGCAGCATGCTTTAAATTTCCAAACCTTTTTCTACTCTTTCTACTCATTTTAATTGATTGATAACGATAATCAATGACCAATCGATGGCAAAGATTATTGTGGTTATCGATTGGTATCAATTTTCAATAACAATCAATAGATAAATAATTAATATGGATTGGTATCAATTGGTTGCAGATTGATGAAGTAGGCGCATAAGTATCACATCTTTAAATTTGTATGCAGTAATTGTGCACACATTTCATTTTAATGCTTTGAACGTTAACAGGAGAAAGATACTTTTTTCTTTCTCTCCAATGCACTGTCCACAGGTATCCCTTTTTCCTCTGACAACTCAAAAGTTTATTTTTAGAGATAACAATGTGTGTGTTTTCTATAATTTCATATTTGTTTGACTGGATTGTTTGTTACAGTTTTAATGAGAAAGTTTCACTTAACAGAGATATTTGCATGTAGTGGCCAAAGAGGGTCCACAAGCTTGGATTGTAGGTGGCCAAGCTGTCCACGACTGTTAACAACAACTTTAAACGCGCCTCCACATTCTCCACTCTTCTTGTTAGCAGTAAACAGTTCACCGATGTTCACCTCAAAACGGCAAAGATTATAGCCTTTGACGGTGCACCTCATATTCAGTAAAGCCTCTTGCCCAACTTCTTTCGTAGACATAATGACACGGAAGGACAATGACAGGCAAATGGGTAATTCAAATACAAGAGCATTTTATCGATTGATATCGATTGATGGATTGGTTTTCCGATCATCGATTTCCATCGATTGGATACCCCGGCCGGGGTAGTCTACGAATTTCAAGTTCCATATTTTAATTTACTTGTAGGCCAGGAACATAAGCCTACAATTTAAAAAAGCCAACCTCTCTCAGGTTAGTTAGCTCGTAATCTTCCAAGCATAAAGAGCTTACTACCTCTGCAATAAGCAATTATAGTTTTCGATTCCCTTCGTTACACATTCTCCCACTAGCTTAATATTGCTTGGACAAATTAAGGCTACTAAGCTTGTAATATTTCACTCTCATACCAACTTTATAACGATAACAACGCGCTTCCAAAATATATGTACATATATATGCAATTACAGTTGAATCGTATGATACACACCTTTTCCTTTTAGAGTTATCTAAGCCGTGTAAAAGGAGAACGACGTACTCAAAACTTCCAAGATGCGGAATATGGCGGTCACGAAAAGCACTAGATACCAGACTTCCTCGGGATTCTCGCCTGCAGCACGCGGCCAGCGGCGGCGCGCGAGATCTACTCGACGCTGGAACGTTTAATCACTTTGGCGTTTCTTATGAATCGCTTTGGGGTAGCAAATTTACAGGATAACTTCATTGACTCCTTTTTGAATTATCAATATACAGTCGAACCTCCCGTAAGCGACCACCCAAAATGTAAAGACTGAGTGGTCGCTTACGGGAGGTGGTCGTTTACAGGAATCAAACCACAGGCAGCCTCTTCCGAGAAGGGGTCCAGGCATATCTACTTCATGGTAGAGAACTTATTGCATGCAATGTCTAAGTTACCTTAAGTTATCTTGTCACTAAAGTTCCTCATATATTCTAAGTTGCATAGTGCACACAGCGAACATGAAGATAAGAGAAAAAGCCATTCTCGGAGACCCAGGGGCAAATAGTGGGGGCGGGGAAGTCTAAACGGGCGGGAAAATATGGCACGAAGAAAAGTAAAGAACGGCGAGAAGGGCTCTCTCGCCGTTCTTTACTTTTCTTCGAGCCATATTTTCCCGCCCGTTTAGACTTTCCCTCGCCCCCACTATCTGCCCCTGGGTCTCCGGGGATAAGAAAAAGCTGTCAAGTGGTCGCTTACAAGAGGTTAAAAACAATGGAAAATCATGAACCGTCAGGCCCAAAAAGTGATCGGGGTCGCTTACAGGAGGTGGTCGTTTACTAGAGGTTTCAACTGTAGGGCTTTGACTGGGAAGATTTTAGTGGATTGGTGGACGCTTATGGGAGCGTGGTCGTCTACGAGAGGTGGTCGCACATGGAGATTCGACTGTATACATATATGTCTAGCTGGATTTTTTTTAATACATTAGCGCCATTGGCTTCCGTCAAACAGTTTTTTTTCCGGCCAAAAGATATCATTCAAAGTAGCCATCCGTTTTAAAAAGGAAGAGTGCAACCCATTTCTTTTTTCTCTTCCCCTCCTTTCTTCCTCCTTGCTCTTTCTTTTTCTCCTTTTACTTCCTTTTTCTTTGTTGTGTGATTTTCGAGTTCATCTTGCGCAAAAAAGCTGCCTTTTGGCCCTTTTTCACTCAAATGGTTGCAAATTTCGTTGGGTTCGTTTTTTGAAAAACATCGGCTAGATCATACAGGCTTCGTGAAAACTAATTAAATCGATACAAAGATCGATGCTGCTGTCGAAAAATTCAACCTGGTCCACAGGGTTTTCCCGACAGATCCGGTGTGTTTCTTTACTAAATTCCAAATCCAGATTTTTAATCCGAAAATAGATATTTCGTTTCTTTACTAAGATCCAGAAACGGATTATTGATCCAAATGATCCACAACGGAGGTGGATTCTTTGGATCATATCCAAAACCGGATACTTTGGATACATGATCCGAAGCGTTTCTTTACTACGGATCCGAAAAGAGCGAATACTGCCAGCGATGACTCGAAACAAATTTAATGAATACATTAGGTGTTTGACTACACTGCTCATCCTTACTGCCATTTCTTAATCCTTGGCATGAATCAAACGAACCATTTTACCGTTTTATCGGAGTGGTAAAATCGCAATACAAACAGAACCTAGTTCCCAAGGACAGAATTGCGTGTCTTCAGCGTGTCTTGCAAGACTTTACTTTTCCAGTACATATCTTATTGTAAGACTGGTACGTCCTTATTTTGCCCGTCCAAACCAATATCCTTGAGCTAATCGTCAGAATACAATGAAAGATCAGCAAACTTGTAACCGGTTAGTAGCCGTCTTATTCTTTCTCGGGGATACTGTCGATATTGTGGGTCGTTTCTATGCCGAGATGAATGAAAAATAATCCTTTTTTGTATACATCGTTCGTTTTCTTCATGTTTCTTGTCGAAAACTCATAATGATCGAGATTTTTTATGTAATCTTGGATTTTAATTACTAAAAAAAAAAAACCCAACCCTAGAATCATTAGTTGGACGGAGTGAGAAATAAAAAAGATGCTGGTAGTAAAAAATGGCAAAAGAGTTAAAAATTGAAGCTCATGTGTAGGAGTCGCAAAAGCTGGTTAAAGGAGTTTTACCGCGTTCGGTATTGCTTTAATATTCAGTCCCGATTTTTTCCCTGAACAAAGAAAATCGTTTTAACACTCCTAGCACCTGTTGTGGATCTCTTTATGGCAAAATAAAAGGGAAAAGTTGAGTGAAATCAATTTAATTTTCCTTGAGAAGAAGCTGTTTTCTACTCAAAAAATCGTGACAAGCGATAAGAGAGAAACTTGTAATGTTTTGTCATGAAATGATGTAGTTTTCTGTCCATATAATATTCCTCGTGTTGTTTAATTGAAACTTAATTGTATGCAATTTGCGGGGGTGTTTTCCTATACGTAGCTTCATGTCTCAACTTCCTCCTCCGTAATGCCACAAATTAGAAACTATCGTCTTGTGCACGTATACATGACCGCGGCGTTTACCAACGAAAGCGCAAGTTCGAAAGATCAGTTGAACAGAGCAGTTTACATTTGAAAGTCTACCCTTACGCACAATCGTCAGTTTCTTTATTCTCGACAGATCCACTGGAAAAAAAGCTGCAAGCTAGGCGTCGTCAATGAAATAACAATTGAATTGCGACACATTCGTTTTCCCTTATTACTCGCTTCATTGCTTAGGTAACGAGACAAAACCGGCTACACATGTTTTTTTGTCTTTTTCTTTCTTTGTCTATAAGACCTGTTTGAATTATCACTTCCGATACTTTTTATAAAGGTTAAAACTAAAGAAAAAAAATAACCTTATAATCAAAAGGTGGCATGAGTAAAGCTTAAGTTCTGGGGTAAAAAAAATTCATAATTTTAAAACATTTTTTTCGGCAGGTGTGACCAATTATCCACTTGTATGAAAGAATCACACTTGAATAATTTTTTCTCTCAACAATTTTCTTGAACTGATAAACTGTTGGCTTAAGTTATTCTGAAAAAGATATATAAAAATTAGACACCTTTTTTTTCATTCAGCCAAGCAAAATCAAAACCTTTTCTTTTCTGCGAGTGAATTACTTGTCCAGCAGTCCTCTACACACGTGTTAAAGTTGCCGGCCGTCTGGTAACTTCCAGGACTTTCTGGCAATGTTAGACAGCGACCATTGTCAACTCTAAAGAGCAGCCTATTTGAACAGCTGAAATCATTAACGTCAACGAATAAGACATGTCGTAAGATGTTTGTAAGCAAGGTAAAACAAAGCCCGTAATCTTTTGGTGTGATGGATGATGGCATCACGTGCGAGTTAGCGACTTGTGTTACCCAGGGTTGCCAACCCTAAGCAAGAGTTATAATAAACATGATTCAATAATCGACCCAGTAAAACTTCAGCTTAAAACCGTTATTTGATACCTTTATTAATTTGAGAACTACTGAATCTAACACTTCTGATGAAGAATAGCTGTAAGCAAGACTTTGTCAATGAAGTCAATGAAATAACATTGAATTGCGACACATTCGTTTTCAAAAAAAATTGTGTCAATCATTTGAACAGCGCGCAACGTCACTTTAAGTGAACTAGTGTCAACGTGGCCTCAGTATTTCTATGCATTTAGTAAGCTAGTAGCGTGTGGAAAAAAAAATAAGAAGAACAAATTTAATGCGAGAGAAGAGCAGATTATTTGGATAAAGCTAATAGTCTTTTCTAGGGAAAAAATTATTCACGACCGAACAATACACTCAAACCATTATTTGTACACATGTAGGCAGAAACTAGATTTTTTTATGCAAACAAAGAAATTTACTCTGAGGCGGGGCACAAATGAGAGCGTGTTCAATTGGCTGTATTCTGAAGTAATGAGCCGCGAATCTATTCAACTCTGAGAATCGCTTCAGCCCGCGGGCAAAATTGCCATGTCATTCATCAGTTCTATAAGCTACTGCTGTGGTTCTAAATGAAAAAAGGGATTTATTGTAGCAATCATCCTGAATGTATCATTTTAAGCGACAAATTTTGAGGGAGGGACATCCTTTGGTAAATACCGGTTTTTACCATAAACCTCAAACTCAGTCTAAAATTTAAAAATACCTCTTTTAAGAAAAGTTAGTGCGTGAATCAATAACAAATAAAATAACTTGACAAAAAGTGACGTGCATTGAAATGAAGCTGTTGCAACCTGCTCTGGCAACGAGACAATCACAAAAGAATGAACAAGAAGAAATTAAGACAAGAAGATTTTTTCAACTACCAGGCTGCCATTTAAAATTTGGGCTCAAGATATTTCAGTCTGAGTACTGAACAAGCTGTAATATTGACTCCACTAAGTGTTCCGGAAGGAATTAAAGAAAGGTGTTAAGGCGTTTTTCTTAATGCGCGAGGAAAACCGGGGTGGTCGTTCCAGCTTGAGCTAAATTAATGTATTTCATTTTGAGCCTTGGGGGAAAGCAATAAAACAGGTGAGGTGGAGGTCGCCGCAGATTGTCTAAAAAACGCCACGACTTGTTTAGTTCTGTAGCTTGATCACGAAAGAAAAGTAATTCATGCAAGCGCATGCAAGCTTCCAAAACTTTAACTTTGTAATACTAAATATCGAGGGCGTAGAGTGAGATTTTGAGGGTGTGCGCACTTGAAGAAAAGTTGGAGCGCCTAAACAAGGGGGCTCTATGCTACCCATTTTCATGCCGACGAGAAATGCAAAGTCGATACCTCTTGAACGATTGTTAAATTACTAATTTCTCAATCTCCTTCTTTCTCGAAGTGAAAAACTTAAATGCCAGAGTCCACGTTCCTTATGTGAAAAAGAATGCTTTAGAAAAACAACACTCTGCGGAAGCTTTGCTCCAAACATTTCAAGAGATAAAGGCGTTATTCATCCCTTATAGTGTTAGCTACTAGAAATGGACAACCGACTCAAACTGTGCAACCTGAATCTTTTGTTTGGACTAGTTCAACATTCAGCTGAACATTCTTGTGACAATGATGAGCAAGCTGTGCTGGCGAAAGATTTAAGATGCGACAGTTGAGGCAACTAAATTCAATTGTTCCCCGGCGATTCTTATTCTCCTTTTCTCCTAACATTGTAACAACAACAACAATAACAAAAACAACAAAAAAAACCGCATTTGGTTTACAAGGTTGACAGAATAAAGGTTAATCAGTCTTGACTCAGACCGGCAATGCTTCTGATTTCACATTCACTGTTCAGCACAACCAACTTTAAGGTTTGGTCCCGCTGAGCCGGCCACAAACTCGAACTCGTTCAATTTTGACAAACGGCTTCTTTTTTCTTAAAACCCAGTCATGCATGTGACGGCACTTTCAGTTTGCGCGTGCTAAATCCCTGGAGGTTTTTATTCCTTTAATGCAAAAATCACTTAGAGGACAATGTAGCTACTGTAAACAAACTGATCTAACAAGCAAGAATTGCTTCGCCAAGAGAAAAAGCGAGGTATGCAAAGTGGAATATTATTGTCTAAAATTGCGTGTCGAGTCTACCATTTCCTTCCGGCCTGGAGGACAACGCAAAAACGAAACCTCCTGGGCCGGCAGCTAGCTTTGGTTTGTGCGCGCGTCAACTCCCTCAGGACGTTTTGCCCCGTGCAATAATCAAGCAAAGTAGGAAGCGTCAACAAACACACTGTGTAATGAGAATGCTGAGTAGACAATAAACCTTCTGAGTCATTAATTAGACGCAGCACGTGTCTCTTTTGTTTAATTCGTTGGGCTTCTTTTTAAGGAAATTGGTTTCTCTCTACAACTTTAATATACTAAAGTTTTCCATTTTGAACACTCGTTCGACTCTTCAAAAGCGCGCGCAAATCGTGTTCAGCAGGTGCAGACCGTGCTTTAAAGACGCAAATCTGCAGGTCGTCTGATTGAACGCTAGCAGACGTGATACAAAAAGGTTCATTTGTATAACAAAGTAAAAACTTGCTACTTCTCGCCGGGCGGAGCTTCTGGGGGGGAAGACAAACTCCTATTAAACAAACTCAAAACCTGTTATGACCAGGCTAAAGCATTTTATGAGAAAACGTCGACTGAGACTCGTTCAGTTCCCCTACTTTGAAGGCTGTAAAAATTTTCCTTTAGTAAATAATAATGCTAAAAGATTTGAGTCAGTTAATAACTGAACTCTGACGTCTTTATCATACTTTGTGTCACAGGTAGAAATTGTGGATCGAGACAACTGCATACCATGCTATGTAAACAAATGACATAATCGATAGGTGATATTCTAATAACCGAGTGAACTACCTAATCCGCAGAGCCACAGAGTTATGAAAATTACAGGGTTCAATTGATTATTGCGCGTGTTAAAAGTCAGTTTAAAGTTACAAATAACCTTTGAAAGGCCCGTGCGATTGTTGTCTTAAGATACCCGCCACGTGTGCTTTGCGTTCGAGAACAAAAGAAGGTAATCATGAGAAGTTTGCAATGAAATAAAACGACTTACCGCAAAACAAATAAGTGGTCACTTTAATCTTTATTGAAGGTACCTTTTAAATTGGATCCTAGGTTTGTGGGTTTGGATGCTCTTAGAGTTGGTGTTTTTTTTCTTCGTGTGAATTCTTGTGCTCTTTGGGTAGATTTCTCAAATTGTTTTATAAACTGGTGGCTATTAATACTGTTATTTTACTGTGAAGCGTGGCTAGCCGGTAAAAAAGCCATTCAAATGTTAATAAACACGTGTCCTCTGATTAACAACATCTGCGCTCTTTAACTTCGAATTCACATCTTTACTAATCTATTGTAGCTTAGTAAACGACAAAATGAAATAACCCAACTGAGAGGGCCAAGACAAAAAAGTTAAAAAAAAAGGTTAGAGAATTGAAATCTTCTTTGACCAGATCATATCTTGGCCAGAAAAACATAATTTGTCAAATTTCGCAAATATATGATATCTTTTGATACAGAAATTTCGTTGTTTCCTTTTTTTTGTAAATGTGTAAAGAAAAGAGCAGCCAAAAATAAAAGGGAAGTCATTTCCATTTCCTTTGTTCTCAAGCAAAAGAATTTCTCGCGCCAAAACTGCGGGTCTTTGTATTGTTGCCATAGAGCTACTCTCTCGACCAATCATGTGACAGTTGTAACTTTACTCACTGCTATTTATTCTCGTTACGCATTTGGTACGTGTGTTGTCGAAGGTTTATCGTAAGGGAAGTCATTATATCATGACTGCGACTGAAATCAGCTTTTTGCCATCCTGTCCTCGAAGAGAGCGACCGAATATTGTCCCCAGCCGCTCAGTATGTAGACAATTGTTTGGACCCGTTAACCACGAGCAAATGAGAGAAGACTTGCTTCGCGAGAAGAAGAAACTTTACGAAGGAGACGCTCAAAGGTGGAACTTCGATTTCGAAAATGGAATTCCTTTACCGGGAAGATACCTTTGGGAGAGACTCTACGCCAGTCTGTCGAAAGGGAAATCCGTTTCAAGCTTTTCTGGCCGCGTTAGCGAGACAGCTACGAGTGAACGTTTGGCTTGTTGCAACGATTCAGCTGGTCGTACTACAACTTCTACTACGACAAGTTCGGACACGACGGAGTCGATATCAGATGTCGTGGCAAGCGACTCACTTGAAAGTAGTATTTGTGATCCGGAAAAACGTTCAAGGTGTCTTAGAACGAGAAAATCGAGCGGCAAAATAACCGGTGAGCTCATTTGTTAGTTTTTCGCTTGGCAAATTTAACTTTTATTGTCACGATGTTAATGTTTGTTGAGTTGAGTTTACGTCCTCGACTCCGTCTTTGCTCATTTCGCTGGCTTGTGACCTCTTCTTAATTCTTGCGTGATAGATCGTATTTCATCAGAGCGTAAAATTCATGAGCAATATATTTCGGCTTAAGGTATATTTGGCCCTAATTTGCTCTGTAATATCGCGGATGCTTTCTCGTAATTGGAGCTTATGCGAAATCAATCTTTGTGGGCGAGGTTCTGTTTTATGTACATGTAGTTGTCTGACCAAGGATGTCGAGATGGGTTGTCAAAATGCCGCAAGCTGGTCAAACGAAAAACGATGGAGTATTAAACACAAGAGTTTTTTTCAACAACATCTATTTACGTCGGTCGTTACTAATCCCCTCTTAATCTCTTCGTCTCAGATTATCTGCGATCGAAGAAACAAAGAACAACACAGAAAAGATCACGGCTCGGGAGGAGGAAATCAGTGTCGAAACAAACACGACTGGACTTGTTCGTAACAAAACATTAGCACAGTCTTACAGCCAGGTTAGTATTTATTTGCTTTCACTTGCCATTAGGTCGTAAGGTTTATAAGGACAATTAAAATAAGAACAGTCGCACAACAACTTCCGAATAGTTTTGGTGATGAAAGAAACGGAGAATCTTCATTAATGCGGTCGATGTACAGTGTTATTATTACCCTCATGTTTCGATTATTCCCCGAGGACGTCCTATATAATAAACAGCCTGTTTCTTAGTTCATTTGTTTGTTTAATGTCAAACAAAGCTTTCCAATTAGTTAACTCTGGCCCAGGTGTAGATGGGCTGTGTACTCAGCGATTTTTATGTTAGCTAAAGGCACGTGTCATACAGCGAAATTTCTTTTCTTTCAAGTGATGTTGCCGGGTAGTGATCCATCAACAATCTTTTAGATGAAGACAGTTAACTTCTCTCCAAAAATTTGAAACGTGATTGTTGGTATTTCTTTTTTGGCGAAGCGTGATTAGTGCTACTTTTTATAACTGTAGCATGCGAGAAAGCTCTCTGTGGTTCGTCTTGATTGTTTAACGTGATTGTGAGCTATATTTTTCTGCTTATACAAACCAAGAGCAGTGATTCGCGAATTTTTTTGTTTTGCTGTTCACTAAGTTTCTGACCTTCCCGTAGCTTTCCTTTGTTTGCTTTGTCCCGTTACATTCATTACATGTCAATTTTGTCATGTGTGGAGAATGAATTCTTCTAAATTCTCTGCTTGAACGTGAAAAAACTCTTGTTAGACACTTCGACGCGTGGAATTGTTCGGTCATTTCATGTGACTGAATTTCGCCAAAACTCAGTTAGCTACATAATATTTGTTACGTAATGGTTTCTGAAAACCCTGAAAAACTGTTAGTTCTTTTGCCATAACGCGAAAGAAATTAACAGAAAGGAGGGAAAAGGAACAGAAACAATGTTTTCAGTGGTAGGCATTCAGGTATGAAGGCTTCACTTACGCTTAGGTCAAAAATTCGACACGCTCATTCATTTCAATTTAATTTGTCTTGCCAAGGCTAATTTTGCAGTCGCTTTTTATAAGTTCAGGTAAGTAATTTCGGCCGTATGACCCAACAGCCGATCTTAATAGTGTAGGTCAACCCAAAACTGTTGTTAGGTTGGGCTTAAGTGAAGTATACGGTGTTTGACCTGGAGCCTTAGAAAAATATGGGGTTGTAATTACATGTAGTGTTGATGTGTGGAATGACGTCCCCTAAGTGTATATTCATCCTTCTTATATTTTTGTGTTCACAGATCTGGAGTATAATAATACACCCACAAATGATGTCATTCCATGCAAGGACTTTATAATTTGTAGGAATGATCTATACAGTTGTATCATAGTTATGTTTAGATGAATTTTCACTAGGTATATAAAAATCGGTGTAAATAACTGTAAAGAAAAGTCTAAATCACGTAACTAATATTAAGTATTTTCTCATGTTAAGGTTGAAACCTGTTTTGTTCAATAAAATAGTTGTTAATGTGAACTGCTCAGAATGCAGATTTTAATGAGCCGTTCTTTATGAGGAATGTTAAGTATGATTTTCAGAGATGAATGTTTTAAGATTCTGAGGAAAATATTTCTGTTAGAATTCAAGAGACATTCTTTATGATGATTCCAAGTGTAAAAATTGCGAACATAACGTTTTGTTGTAAGAAAGTTCAAATATATGTGCTTAATACAGTTTAATATACCGGCTTATGCCGCTGTACAGCTGTAACAAAGACTAGAGTTTCTGTTGTATTGTAAATACAAAAATTGAATGAAACTTAAGATTAAAAAAGGGAACTTTACTGCTTTATAATCGTCAGTATCTGATTGACTTTTGTAGAGATTTGTACAAAATAAAAACAAAGGGGCTGGCAGGGAGGTAGAATCCAGCGTGCCAACACGTGGCCCCCAATGTCAACCAGAAAATGCTAAGCTACAATTTTGCTACCCCTTCCCAAACTAGGCACTGGGAATCTCTACCCACTTCCAAATCAACTATGAAAAAGAAACTCTAATTCCTCTTACTGCGGGTTAATTTCTCATAACTGATACCCAAAACCAAAACCCGCCAAAACTTCACCCTGATACACGATTCTCACTCCTCTTCATCGCTGGAACCGGGGGTGCTTACCATTTGACGGAAAATTTCGGAAATTCCGGATGGAAGGTAAATGGTAAGGTCACTTTTCGGAAATTCCAACCGAAAATTGAGGAGTACGTATTGAGGTAGTCCTTTCATTCCGGTTGGTACGAACCAAACGGAATGTTGCTTACCATTAACCAATTTCTCAGTTCCTTCTCAGTTCCAGACTCACGCGACACAAATTTACCCTTTTTTTGGATTCAAACCGTAACGGATATCGCATTTCTACGGTAAACTGGCAAATCGCTTACCATTATGCTTTCGACACCCCAACCGGATTTTTCTGTCAAATGGTAAGCACCCCGGGTCTTCAAACATGCCAAAACCAGCCCCGCCTTTTATAGACCCTTGTTAACCTCTTGTTTACTTCTGCGAAAGAAAAAACGTGTTTGGTAGTGTTTCTTTTTCCCGCCAAACGTGGTTAGCCTGTAAACACGCTCGGATAACTTAAACGAGCTCTCTTCATCACGTGAATGTGAGTATTTTTCTTACTAGAACATTATCAGGTGCTGTGATGATTCGTGGACCCTTTTGTGTTTTTAAATCTCATTTTATTACGCAAATGTATGCTATGTGTTCCACCTCTTTACCACTGCACGAACTATTGTCTTTGCCACGTCGTCTTGCACAGGCTTTGTGGGGAGGGCCACTCTTGCCGTTTGCCATATGAGCTAGTGTTTAAAGGAGGTCTTAGACTTTTTTTAAGGTGATACAACTATGTTTGCTAAAGTGAGGCTAAGGTGTTTTCAAATATGCTGCTGTGAAAAGGCAGCTTTAACGAGCATTAAAGGTATCCAATATATCCGCTTTAGTGATGCGCAAAACAGATCCCAGCACTTTTCTTTAATTACCCATACCATGCATCGCTGCCGGTTGCAGTCCCATTGACGTTACACAATGGTGATCAAAGGCACCCTTTTGTCCCGAGTGTGGTCGCCATATGATTATCAGTGTTGGCTGTGTGGCGAATAACTTTTCTCAAATTTTTATATGAACTTGAAAAAACTTGTTGTATGGATTACGATACGTGCAGAAGGCTAGATCATGTCACGTGAACCTGCGACCCACGTTTTGCCCGTGATATTAATGGGTATATTTGCTTTTGCTTGGTAGAGATTTATAATGTAAGAAAGAGAGCTAAACAGAGAGGAGTAGTATGACGTCACGTTACCATGGTACCAAAATTTCTGGATCACAACAATAGGGACCTTAAGATCCGAGGACGGCGACGGCAGAGAAAGCGTCGCTGAAAAAGTGAATTCGCGTTCTTTCAATCTTCATCGCCATTACTCCAAGTCACTAACTTTGTCAAATGTAGGCGAACCCTCCTAAAGTCGAATTCTTAAGACCATATCCAAGTTCAGAAGGAGAGAGGAAATTTCGTCGTCGCTTGTCTACTTCCTCTGTACATCGTGAAATTAGGCATTTTCACGTCGTAGTCGTGCAGTGACGGCAAAGAAATGTACAAAAAAGCGTGATGCACGTACAAAATTGTTGTTTTGCTAATTAAACCTATTGTTTTTGTGGCGTTCCCGCTGCCGTCGCCGTCGTCGGATCTTAAGCTCCCTAATAGGGAGCGACGGCAACGAGAATGGCAAAAGAGCATTACAGTGTGGCACGAAATTTTTCGGGTTCTAATTTTTGCGATTTTTTGCGGTTTTTCCAGCGATCCGCAAAAATAAGTTCCTGCAAATAAAATTTACTCCAGAGTAAATATCCTCCAACTTTAATTCGCTCAGCCACAAAAATACAGCCTCTAAGAAATCGTGTCTGTTCAGTCACAACTTGTCTCTTTCATTCAGAAACAAAGAAATACTGGTTTATTGCTCCAATATATGTATTTCTATTGCACTTACTCAATAAAAACGGAAATATTATCAATGCTGGGTACTGGGTACTTTCTGAAAATCGCAAAAATTAGTTCCCGCAAATCACAAAAAATCGCCAATCCGCAAAAATAAACTCCCGCAAAAATTTCGTGCCACACGGTAGATTCAGATTAGCAAAACAAAAATTTTGCACGTGCATTACGCTTTTTTGCACATTTCTTAGCCGTCGTTGCGCGACTGCGACGTGAAACTTCTAATTTCACGCGCCCGCTTTCTGGAGTAGATGAACACGACACAAAACTTCCTTTTTCTTTTTCTAAACTTAGATACGATCCTTTCGGATTCAAGCCCAGAAAATTTCGCCAACATTTGACAAATTGAATGAAATTGAATAAAATCGATGAATTTCGCAACAGTGTGAGTTTTAGGTTTGTTGTCATCCACAATTTTTTACCATGGCAACGTGACGTAACGACTTCTCTCTAACGATGCTTTACTTATCACAGGACGTTCAATGAGATTCCGCTCTCTACAAGACTTAATCAATTAAAGCTCAGGTCTAACACGTGCATTTGAACTTCTAAAATCTCGTCGAGTTCAATCCTATTTTTGTTTAGATCCCGTAGTAGCCGGTATTACGTAATGGCATGTCTCTGACTCCCGCCTTTCCATGTCACTGCATGAAATATTGCCTTGCCACTCGACTTCCATAGGGTCGCTATAGTCTTAGGTGGTGAAAGCCCATTTTACTTCATTACACACACCTTTACTAAATGGACTCAGTAAAAGGCCTTCTTTGCCCTCGTCAAAGGGAAGACAACTTTGGTTGGCATCAAAGGTAAAGCAACGGTGTTGTCACTAACATGGCTTAGACCTGTTCAAAGGTACATTTGAGCAGGAGAGCGGATTAGACTGAGTCAACATAAAAGTACATTTGATGTGCAACTGCATTAGGCCCTCTCCAGCACCTCTTTGACGTTTAAACTTGTTCCCTGTTCAGTATGTGTGACTTAGCTACCCTCGGCTAAATTCAATCCCTTTCTTGACGTTTGAATCGTTTTTGTTTATATCTCATGATATTACGTACAGTGTATGTCTTTGTTCCCCCGCCTTATCATCATTGCACGAGCGTAGCCTTTGCCACGCCGCCTTGCCTAGTCTTGACTGGTGAGGGTGGTTTTTCTACTTCATTATACCTTTACCATGGCTCTCAGGCGGTGTGAAGCCGGTCAAAGATCAAAATTTTACTTTGTTTCTCGTCAATTGTAGAGCAAGGCTGTATTGCTTAGAGTGAGTCGAGCACAATCCATGCCACCTGACGCAAATCCGCAAATCAAATGTCTGAAATTAAAGCGGTGATCAAAGCCACCTTTTCGGCGTGTATGGTTGCTGTTTGATTTTGTTTAATTTCCTTATGTCACATTTGGTTATGTGTGAAGAATCAATTTTTATGTCTTTAGTAGTAGTAGTAAACCTTTATTTAACTAGGGTAATTCCTTCAGAATACTTAAAAGTATATCTGTTATCAATAGGAGCCCTATGAACTTGAAAAACATCGTAGCATTAGTCCCCTCACGTGTAGAATAGAAAAAGGCTCACGTTTTGACCAGCGAGGGGCGATCGAAGGGTATATTTGAGAGAGAGTCGAGGTGTTTGCTTGCCTGCGTGCGGTGTTTGCCTGTTGGCCACAGTTCAAAAGACGTTTATGGAAAGACAATAAAGTAAATAGGAAATGATGAATGTTAGTCGCTACACTTACTATAACAGGAAGTTTTATAAAAGTTCCCTCTCAACAAAACTTAGTCATATCTCTTACGCGAGAACTTAACCCCAGTTCATCTATCAAGAGTCATGATCATGTTCCATTGAGCATGTCATATTTTGTGAAGTGGAGAATGAATTTTTCTCGTTCTTTTATGAACGTGAAACAGTTGTTGTAGCATATTGCGACACGTGGAAAGTTGCAATCCGTTCTCGTGACTGAATTTCGCTAACGGGCAGTTGCTGGTTGTTGGAAGTCGTTTCAGCGGAGGCAAGTCAGAATCTAGAGTGACCTTTAGAGACTAAAAATCACTGTAAATCATGCAATTGATCAAGAGATCTGTTCTTCCGTCATGAAAGGCAGAAAGACCTGCAGAAACCGCGGTTTTCTTCTGAAACAACAACAAACTATTTTATTTACTTAAGACACTGAAGAGATCGTAACTGTTTCCTCATGGTCCGCATAGTTCTTAAAATAACTTTTTGGAAATTAAGTTATCCCAAAGGTACGAGTGTCAGACTCCCTCTGCGTCCTATAATGATTTCTTGCTAAAGAAAAACAAACGCGTTTTAAGAAGTCATTCTCAACCGCAGCTGCCAATTTAGCCGACCTACATTGTACATAACAAGTAAAGAAATAAATAACAGTGAAATAAAAACTTCACAATTCGGCCTCCACAAGTAATTTGCGCTTCATTCTATGGTTTTAATTACAAGGTGCCTCTCTAAAGAGAATGGTATTGCCGTATTTATTCGAGTAAACGCCGGCCTCGAATAAACGCAGCGTCATGAAATGCAGTGATAATCAAGTTTGAGCAAGCCTTAAGAATTTATTTTCCTTGATAGGATCAGTATTCAAAGCTCAAACGAATATATTCAAAACACGAGAACAATATGCGGCAGTTTAGAGATTTGCTTTCGTTGATAACAATGTTTTTCAGTTCGAAATGAGTATACTTCAACGCTCTTTCTTCATGCTTCCTCTCCAGAAAAAAAATTGGATTTTAAATAAACGCCGCACTGGAATCACGACAAATTTAACGACGCGGCGTTTAATCTAATAAATACTGTATTTTTGTCCTTTCTCATTAGAGGTGAAACTGTTTTCCGTGACAAAAACTCTGTCATAAGCTTAAGACAAATCAGATGCTGAGACTTATGAATCTGTTTGTTTTTAAACGTAACAGTCTTGGAATGAATGTTTTTGTTTCCACGTTGTAGCCGATGCGATGTAGACAGTCTCACGTTTTGTACTAAGGTAAGAGCGAATTTTTCTGATAATCGCGATATTTGCATTCATGAACTACTGCAAGAGCCAGCCCTCAGTGCTATATAGGTCGACGTTTCCCCTGCAATATAGTAGGTAATATTATTGATCTGTGTAAGCTTCTTAGTCATGATCCAAGGAAAAGATTAATTGAAGAAACAATAACAAACAAACAAGCCAAGGTTGCCTGAGGGCCTGATCACATGATCCTGGACAGACTGGGTCGCTTTGTCAAGTTACCGGGCTGTCCAGGTTGTCATGAAATCACAAAGTTGATTTTTGTTGCTCTGAGATCTCGGCAAAGCAGCAAACCGGGCCGGCCCGACATCCCTTCCACCTACGTTCTGGATCAGCACTGGGGATAACGCGACGGGATTTGTGTTATGTTTTCAATACGCTCGAGTTACAGCAGCTTAAGTTAACTTTTGTTCAGTAAGTTTAAAAGTACATCACGTTTAACACTCATTGGGATTTTTCTTAAAGCTTTTCAAAGTAAAAAAAAAAAATCAAACCAAGAAATAAACTGTCTTTATGACGCATAACTGAATGTAGGAGCCTATTATGCCATTTTTGAACGGTTTTTAATGCTACTCTCAACAATGTCCCAGTGCCATGATATGACCTGATATGCTACCAGTATTACAACAACAACACACACACACAATAAGGATAATTATATTTCTTATAAAACTATTTATTACACAAACGCATACACGTAGAAAATTGAACAAGTGTCCATTGGAATGAATAATTAACCATTTATGGTCAATCTAAGATTAATAAATATTTAATAATTGATAAATCAATGCAGTTAACAATAATTACTTTTGAGGGGGGAGGGGAATTACATTCTTTAGGATTTTTCTGCCTGTTGCAAAGAATTTACTATCAAGAAAATACGAATACCTACAAATAACTAAGAGTGAGTAATTTAAAATCTGTTTCAAAACAACTGTTCTACCAAATTACTCATGAAACACATCATATCGTCATAACTGTTTGTTACAATAAATGGACACATCTTTGATAGTAAAATTATGGGAATATTATGAAACGAAACAGACTTACATACACCTTCTGACCCACAGACGTGGAGGAATCAGACAACAACCAGCAATTTATACAGAAACTTAGCCTGCATACGTTTCGTTTAGTTTCTTCGCGAGAAATAAGAAAGTTCCTTGTTCTTTGCCTTTTTTTCGAAACTTTTCTTTTCATTTTTGTTATACTAGTTTCCTGAAGTCTCTTTAAATTTTTCTTTTTCTCTGGTCTTTGTTTTTGAACTCCCCAGGTAAATGGCTATTGTATGGGTCCATAAATAACATTGATAGCTAAACCAAACAGTTCTCAAACTGTCAAACAAGCACTGAGCAGTCAGATAAGATTCATATCAGTTTTCTTTGTCCTCCAGGGTAAGCATTTGTTGTTTTAAATTCGCCTGTGAATCTTCATTATTGTCCGGCTTGTCTGCAGACACAACAGATGCTGAAAAAGTCGAAAAAAAAAAAGACGACAACACACATGAGATTGGTTCATTCTAATTTACATGATACATTTCAATGCAGCGTATACGACGTAACCTCCAGAATTAAAATGGCGGCTGGTGGCAAAATTATTGCTTCCCTGATCTTTCAAATCTTCGCGCTGATTCGTTTTCAGACCATTAAATAATCACAAAAGCACACATAAAGGTAAGACGCGAAACATGATTGTCTGGTTGCTAATTTGAATAGAGTGATTTTTGGTTGCCAACAGGGAAAGTAACGCTCAGAAAACATTCAAACGAACAAACGAATAAAACGTGTCGATGGTATTGGGCATGCAACAAGACTTGAAGAAATGGTAGATAGGAGGTGGGAAAGAACTGAAGGGTAATTAAAGGAAGAAAAGGAGGAGTTGAACACAAACCAAGGAGAAAAAGTTTGGGATCGGGATCTGTTAAAAATGACCGGGTGTTAATAGAATCTATTTGAGGATAAAATATATTGCTGGATTGGAACCGCTGTGCTGACCGCTAAAAACAGTTAAGATGTCACAGAAACTGCGAGGAGCATTTCCCCAAATAACAACAACATTTTTGTTAACTAAATGGTCTTCAAATGTTATAGAAAACTGTCAATACCTTTTCTAGTCAATTCAATATTATTGCATTTGACTTTCCAAATTGACTAGTATAGTTTAACAAAGAGAGACTAGATTGGAGGCCTTCTGTTATTCTGGTGCTTACGTGGGTCTCTGTAACACAACAATGCCTTAAAGACATTTCTCATTTTCTCCAGATTGGCTGTGCTGACTTTTGTGTGATCCACAATGGGTTTGGGGTAGTCCTTTCCAACGACGCATCTGGCCGCCTTTTGCACACTCTCTGGGGCTGTCCATGGAGCATGGATGTATTTTGATGGAAATCCTTTCAGGACTGGCAGGTATTTTCTGAAAACAATTCACCAAAAAGTGTTTCTTAGAAGAGAGGTTTAGAATAATTAACAAAAACCTCATAGGCAATCATGGCCTTGTAATAGCAGAGGACAAACTTTTTCCTGCTCTGCATGTTCATTTCCAGCAAATATTACTTGTTTTGAGATCAATGTACTCACAAACAGTTAATGAATATTGAAATAACACAACAAAATTTAGCGTAAAACAAGTATCAAGCAAACAGACTTTTGATGTATTCAAACCAGAAAGTACAAACAAAGCTAACACAAGCAAAACTGAATATATAAATAAATAAATTATATAACAAGCACGTGCATATTAAAATGTAGGCACAAAGCATACATACTTCCAATATTATCACAACTATCACTGTGACTATGCTGATCTATTAATTTGTAACAATACAAGACTAGTATCTAACTAGATCCTAGTAATTTCCTTACGTGTAATGTATTTTTAGTTTTCCTTTTATTACACTGCATGTGACTGACCGTTAGGCTAAACTACCTTCTGTAACTATTATTCTAAAGCGAAATGTAAATAAAGCTTGTTGTTAGTTGTTGTTTTTGAACTGCCTGCTGAGTCTTTCAATGACCATCACCACAGCACGCAACTGACTGTTCAAAATTTGTTTAACAAAAGCTGCAACAACATCCAATCTTAGAAATAGTGTTTTTGGCTTGAATTTAATCATAGTGATTTTTTTCTTATCTAGTACCCTGTGCCTGAACAGAGAGGGGATTGGGGGGAATGGTCGCATATTCTGATCGAGCAACGTGCCTTCTAGCTCGGTACAGATCAGGAGGTCTCTGTGCCAATATATATAGCCTCATCCATGGTGTGTCCAAGCCCCTCACCATTGCAATCTTCCTATCTACTACTTTTACCTTCCATGAACCATAAATCATTTGCTAAAATCAGTCATGCAGAGAAAAGAAAACTTTGTCCTTTGCTTCATTTCCTGCCGGGTGGTAGGGGACTAGATCCTAAATAATAACAACCAGGGTGATAGCTGTACATTTTGGAAAAGACCATTTTAGCTTTCAGTACCCTAGAACTAAGAAGTTTCCTGCTGGCAGTATCTCATTTTCCATAATAGGTTAGAAAACTATAAACTGAGAATCTGCTGTGGGTCATGACAACTTTTCAACTAACCACTGTCCATGACCAGAGGTGAAACTAACATGTGAAAAGTGACGTTTAAATCAAAAGTTGAACATAAGTCGAATCTTCGACTATTTCAGTCGCAGATATGGCAAACATTGCATTTAATTTAAACAGTCGAATTTAATTGATTCAAACATCACACTTCACATGCATTTACCTCTTGCATTAAGTTCAGCACATGTGAAATTCGACATTTGAACCAGGCCTTAACCAGAGGTTCACTTTTGTCTGTTGAGCAGGCTAGGCAGTACCAGCTTTTATGTTGGCTGCCTTCATGTGGAAAGTTGGGAGAAGCCAAACTTTTGCATTACAAAACCACAAAGCCAATGTGAATTTTTTTAAACATGTCTTTTTAGAGTATTCTTTCAACACCCTAAGTATGTTTACCATTGTGGTTCACTTACAGCAAACTTGATTCTTTTGTTGCTGTTATAAAATAACTTAAAAGCAAAGCTTTCCAGTTTTCTATGAGTTTAACAACGTGAAAGTAAAATAATAGGATATTGTCTAATTGGAAGGCATTTAACATTTTGATAATGAATGTCAAGAAATTTTTTACTAGCCTTATATAGTCGCCATTTGGATCCAGCTTCCTTCCAAATGCAACTGGACAAATGCAGTTAAAGAACTGCTGGAAAAATGCACTGCATGATAACCACATCCAGTTTCCTGCATTCAGACTCCACTCTGCATCTAACAGCCACTTCTCAAACACCTGTAATCAGCATAAGCAAAACTAATACATGAATGGAAATACATGAAATGACTATATGAAAATTAAATCTGAAAAAATTTAGGCTTGACCGGAAATCTAACCCTGACCTTTACGATGACCGGGTGCAATGCTCTATCCATTAAGCAAATCAAGCCGACTGGAGAGCAGGCCATTGTGATGTCTGATTTTTTCACATTCTTTTTCAACCACTTAGGTTGTTTATTCAACTACAAGGATCATTTCCACTTTCATAAAAATAACACATTTAAGTGCCATCACATCATTAAAAAAATAGCCATCTAAGAGAGTACACAATGAATGTTGACCAAGATGTGGGGGCAAATTAGGGACAAATTTAGCCTGAGAAAACAGCCAACAATTTGAGACCCTACCACAGGTTTCCCCACAAAATGCTGTCTGAGGAATGACTGAAAAATTTCTGTACTAATGATGTGTCACTGCCCAGACCTGGGTGATCTTGTGTAATTTAGGCACCCCATGGCTGAGTATTGGTCGACACTATCTGCTGATAGTCAGTTGACATATTGGTCGATACTCAGACAATAACATTATTATTCATCAACCAACTATTGGTCGACATGTCGGTGGATATGTTGGTTGACATTAATCGGCTGAGTGTTGGTCAACATGTCAGCCTATATGCCAATCATGTATTGGCCAAAATGTTGACCAAATCCTGGCTGTTAGTGTTGGTCAGTATGTTGGTTGACATATTGATCGATAGGCCACCAACCTTCAGCCGTTCCACCAACAGCTCATAAGAACATATGAACTAAGTTTCGACCAACATACCAACCAAATATAGATGGAGTGTCAGTCAACATACCAGCCAACATATCAACTGACTCTCAACCAATACTCATGTCAGCCGACGCTTCCTCCACATGTCAGCTGACACACTGGCCAACATATTGGTCAATATACTCAGCCGCATATCAACCGACACTCAACTGCGTGTCGATGGAGTTTGGTTGACAAGCCAGTTGATTTGTCAACCAATGCTTTGCCAAGGGGTGCCTAAATTACAGAGAAGATCCGACCTAGGTAGTACTTCTGATTGGTTGAAGGAAATTTCCTTCGCAGCACGACCAATCAAAACCACTACCAAGTGGGTAGTGAGACATCATCAGTATTGAATTTGTGCTCTTTCTACAGATGTCATATTGCAGGGAAAGCAGTGGTGGTGTCACAAAATGTTGGCTGTTCTCTCAGGCTGCAACAAATTCCTAAAATCAAACTACATGTATAGAGTTAAAAATATTTTACATTTATATGAGAATATAGGAGAAGCAAATGTGAAAACTCACTCCAAGCCTGGAACTGGCTATGGTTTTTCTCATTTTTATCGCAGAAAATTGGCAGTGTAAAAACTGATGTTGTCTATGGTTTACCTTTGTGAATACAAGGTTATTATTACCTTCATTCCCTCTTCCCAGCTGATCCAGAGGTCTCCTCTTGTAAGGAAACAGCCAACCGCATGCCTTGCCAAATGATGGATCCAGCCTTCCTGTTGTAACTGTATCATAATGGCATCTATCCATGGAAAACCTGTCTTTCCCTGGAAACAAAAGTCAAGTAAGGAGGCTACTTTCTCTCATTCTTTTTTGAACAATGAATAAATATCTTTGATGATTCAGCCAACTATGGTGGATGAAAGGAAAAGAGGAGCAAGGAAAAAAGAGAGAGGGTTTTTACTTCCTACTTTATCATTCTTGACACTTTTTATTTGCTTCTGAATTGATTTAGTACGTGTGTTAGCGACAACCGGAAATACGAGAAATGGTTATCTTTGTATGCTGATTGACTCCAAAGTATTAACTCTATTGTTACTTACTCACTTTCGGAAAACTGAGTATGCTGATTGGCTCCGAAGTATATTCTATTGTTACTTACTTACTTTCGGAAAACTAACTCGATGGCAATAATGCGCCAGCAGTCACAACAAATTAATGTAATGAATACCAACAAACCTCTTCCCATCTCTTAAGTTTCTCTGGGTTCTTTTTCCATGGTATCTGCAAACAGACTGGATTTGCAGCCATTTTATCAAAATTAGGATTATTGGCTGCCACAGTGAAGAAGAATTCCCGCCACAATAGCTGACCATACAAAGAAATTGGAGGCTCTTTGCATTTTACCTAAAAACCAGATAAAAATTTACTTTGTCATCTTTAAAACTTAAATACACAGAATCATGTTCTACATTTTAAGTGAGTGAAATTGTCAGTGTTCCCCCCAGGTATTTCACGCCACGCGGGCTGCCCGGCTTGATTCATTGATGAGTCGTGGCCACCTGGCTTAAAACTGAAGAAACCTTACGTAGTTTAACATCTGGAACTGTGATCCTGTCCATAAGTAAAGAAAAACTCAATAAAGACACAATCACAATCAAAGGGCCCGAAGAGTAAGGCAAGGATGTGCTGTTTGGGTGGGGCTCAAAAATGTGGGAGGTTAACAGGTACTTCCTAGAGAGCATGACACTTCACTCCAACTTGCTAATTTTGTAAGTCTTTATTTTGTATTATGCTAGATAAGGATTTTGTAAGAATGCCCCCTTGCCTTCCCAAGACCCTTGGGAGAACACTGATTGTGTTTATTTCAGGGGTGTTGTAACTCAGCTACATGTACATCTTGTGCTGCTGTCTCACAAAGGGACATAATAACCACAAGACAAGTTGGATGAAACATTATGTACAGTAATTCAGTCAACTCTTTCTTAGAAAGGCACCTTTGAGGCCAGCCGCATTTGTTTGTCTTGGGCCCCGCCTACACGTATCTGTTTTTGTTGGAAAAAAGAGATTTTTTTTCTCCAGTATGGCCGACCATTCACACGTATCTGGTTAAAACAGTCACCAAAAACACATCTTTTCAAAAATGGTCACCAAAAACATAAATAAATAATTATCTTTTCAAAAACAGTCTCCAGAGTGAAGATTTTTGAAAGCGCAGGCTTCTAATCTACATGTGGACAAATGAAAAGCGATGTCAAACATCATATGCTAGTAGCATGTTTAGTAAGAGATGCTGCCACATTTCCATTGTTGTAGCATTTTGGTGTGGACACATAGGGCGCTTTCCATTTACGAAAAAAACCCGGAAATTTCGTTGGTAGCAAAAGTGGAATTTCCGATTGGTAAAAAGTTGTTCCATTTGGTCGTAAACCTCGGTACGTGGCGGTGCCCGACCGTGGACCTGGAACTAGTACAAACTACGAGACACGTAAATGGAACACGACATTCCGTTCGGAAATTCCAACCGGGAAAACGGGACCACCTTTTTAGATTTTCCACTTTTTCTGGAAATTTTCCAGTGGGACGAACCGACGAAACGTGTTCCATTTACCGCCGAACCGGAAATTCCGGAAATTTTGACTAAATGGAAAGCGCCCATATTTTCTGCATGGTACATATTTTCTAAAAACGGAGGAAAAAAGTATCCATTTTCAAAAGTATTTGGATGTGTGGATGGGGCTTTAGAGGGATGTCCATCTTATGGATAGTCTACTTATAAAATTGGTAGAGAAAGGCAAGGATTGAACCAACACTACGTGCCCATTTTAGCAAGGTGTCCATGTAGATCTTGTAGAGAATATCAGGGTTGTCAGAAAGTTTTGAAGTACATGGCTGAGTTGTCAAAGTAAGAGACCAGTCCAGGGATATTTTACTTAAAAAAACGCCATCCGTGAAGAAATGCAAAGCAGAGTAGCCAGCTGATACTAATGAAGTAGGCAGCGATATTTGCCGGCAGCCGGCTACTTTTGACAACACTGAGAGGTGTCCATTAACCCTTTAAGCCCTAAAAGTGATCAGCATCAAATTTCTCCTTGTAATATGAATGCTTTGTAAAACATCTAGTGGTCATGAGAATTACGGACATGATCACACAAGGTGAATTATTTGCTTGATATTAATTTTATTTTTATCAACTTCTCCCCATTACTTCTGTAGGAAATGAATAGGGACAGCCCATTGAGAATTCAAATTTTGATATTAGGCTTTAAAGGGTCAAGAGAGAGCTGACTGTACCACCTAAAGACCACGACTATCAAAATAATGTTGCTGCTTCCATCACTCACCTTTCTGTAGAGCTCTGCAAGTCTGTGGTAGAATAGCCTTGGTGATAAGCATCCAAACCTAAGATAAGGGCTCACTCCTGTGGGACTCGGAAATAAACTATTTGGAGTCACTTTTGGTTTTTCAAAGCTTGCTATCCAGGCCTGTGTGATTAAAAAATGATAAAATTAGTTTTGTAGTAATATAAGACAAATCTTTGTTTGCATTTTTTGGCTCATTTCAATATGCTTCTCATTCTCTGATCAAGCTATTAAAGCAACAACTCTGAATATTTTAAAGGTCACAACCATACTACTGGTACTTATCTATGAAAATGTTAGCCCAAAATACCAAAATAGTTTTGGAAAATTTTTTAAATAATGTTTAGGCTGATTCATGTTTGATTCAATTTCGTAGTTTTCCATGGCTGCTATTTTCTTTGATTTGCTTATAAAAAGCTGAAAATTGCACAAATTGCTCTGGTTAATATCTTCTAACTTTTGAACTAAATTTTTATATCAGGCAATCCCTTCTATGATTTACTTCCTATAATGACAGTAATTAAAAAATTGTAAACAATGATGTCAGCAAAGATTTGCTTTTGAAAGCAAACCTTTGCCATTGACATTTCAAGTAAGTGAGCTCATTTTCTTTTTTGAGATGTAATAAAAAAGAAACAAAACAAATACACAAAACAATCAAATTTCTTGAACTTCTTATGTTTTGTGTCCACGTTATCTGCAGCAACAAGTGAAATAATTAAACTCAACCTTTCTCTCTAGATGTCTGTCGAGTCTGATCAGAGCTTCTGCCTCTCCACCATGCCACACTTCAGCAGAAAGCTTTGATATATCCAGCCCTAGTTCTCTTAGTGATGGCACCCCAAACTTTTCCTCATGGTCCTCAGAGACAGGGGTAGAACAGCCCCCAAATAAATGCACATCTAACGTAGGGTAGGGGGTTTCAGGGGGACCTTGTGGACGTACAATAGCCAGAAATTTTTTGTATGTCAGGGGTGCTGTTCCACCATTTTTTGAAATGATCCTAGAAGATGAGAGGAATTCTTTATTACTTAGTGACATGATTTACATTCTTTACTTTACCTGGTGAAAAGGAACCTTCTCTTTCCTCCTACCTTCCCCTAAACACTAATAAGAAGCTTTAGCATCTTTATTCTACCATGGCTACAGCAGCGAAAACGTCAGACACAAAAAGTGAATAAATTATGTTCCTTCAGACTTGTTCAATATTATTTGACAAATGTTGACATATTGTTTTGGAGTTCAGTTTTTAAAAGACCATATCTAAGGTCAGAAAAAGAAGACTTTAATTGTTTTCTTGTTTTCATAAAACATGGAATAAGGAAGTTTTAAGTCCCAGTCAGGCAACAGTGCAAGAAATGTACAAAAAAAGCGTGGTGTACCGCACATGCAGAGTTGTTTTGCTAATCTTAACATTTTGGTTTTTTGCTGTTCTCATAGCCGTAACGCCTTAGTCGTTGCTAAAGCTCCGTAATGGCGGTATGAGGCGGAGAGGTAGGGGAAGGAGATGGGATAGAAAAACAATTTGCACAACAAGAGAGCAATCATTATTTTATGCCCTTTCAGTGTTTCAGTAGATACTTATGTTTGCGCTCTTTTACCCATTACTCTGTTTTTCCTCGCACTGATGAACATTTGAATAACGTAAAAACAAAATTTGACACCACTTCGATGCAGCTGTGCAAACTGAAGTTCTTTTTGTAAAACTCTGTAATATGTATCTGATTTCCTCAGCCTTTCACCATTAAACATGTTGATCACACATAAGGTTTCCAAAGCATGATCTTCATGAGCTGAGGTAGAGCTTGCACACAGGCAAATAGCCAAGATTTCTTCCCTTGCTACAACAAGGGATTTTCATACCATTGATAGTGTCCTCACACCTATTATGCCCGTTTTAAATGCCATGCTACTGCTGTGCCAAAATAAATTGATTGAATTAAATTCGACTTTAGCACGGCACTAGCATGACGTTTGAAACCAAGTCATGCTTACCTGCTGTGTAGCACGGCGAGCTTTGCCGTACTAGACGGCAGTAGCTTGACTTGGTTTCAAACGTCGCGCTACTGTCGTGTTGCAGTCAAGCTACAGTCGAGCCAGCTTAGCACAGCAGTAGCATGATGCTTGAAACAGGCCTCACACTGTGCGGTATAGTAGGACCAATTTCCAACTCAGATTCATGTTAAGATAGACAATACGGAAAAAAATTACGAAGAGCTCCTTTGACACCTCAATCCTTGTTTATGTTGGTTGTAGTACGATTTTATCCTTGCATTTAAGCTTACATTTTATTTCCTGTTGTCGTAAACACTACTACTGAAAAACAGAGGAAAGTGAATCGTACTGAACCCCAACGAGTACCGTACATGTACTATTTTCCCTGTGTTCCACAATCCTTAATATTAAACTGACTTACTGTTGTGGATCATATAAAGTATGCGAGCGTCGAACAGCAACTTCTACTCCAGATTCTTGAGCAAGCATGCGGATTGCTGCATCTCTCTCCCTTCCGAAAGGTTCGGAATCTTCCTCGAACGTCAGAAGCGATGTTTTCCATTCCCGGAATAAACGAGGGAAAACATCGGCAGGTTGTCCTCTGACAACAAACAAGCGAGAGTTCAGTTTACGAAGACTATCATCCACATCTTCCAGAGACTGAAGTAAAAATCTCCAAAGGTTTGGACCAATACCGGAACAGTGTTCTACTTTCGTGTCTAGAACATAAATTACTCTTAGAGTATCACTTCCTTTTACTGCTTCTAAAAGGGAAGGATTGTCGTGCAATCGAAGGTCTTTTCTAACCCAGTGAATGGCGTGTCTCTCTGTTTCCTTCAACGGCCTTTTCTCTCCTCTATCAACGGACTGAGCAGAGTAAGCATCACCAAAGCTCAACTTTGAACCATTAGACATTATATCGCTCCGTTTTCTCTTCAGTTATGTCAGTGAGAAAATTTCCAACGATTATTAGGTTCCTCATCTTGTACAGAAATGGCTGGTTAGCCCATGGTGGCGCATAGCTCGATGGAATTGCTTTACCTTTCGTCAACAAATGAAAGTAATTGTGATGACTCAAATCTTCTTTAGGAGTCAACAATGCATAGATGACAGCGCCACCATACATCGCGCGCTTCACAACCCACTTATATAACTTTGCTTGTCGAGTTGGAACGTGCGAATTGCACGTGCGAGGGACAAAAAAACAACTCTGGGGACTCCCGTGGGTAACGCAGCGCACGTGTGACCCCAGGCCACTAGGTAGGCAAGCAATGCGTAGAAAATAAGAAATTGCAATAGTCCTACTTATATGATCTCTCGGGAGAAAAACAATGTGTGATCATTGAAGACGGTGAAAAGAATGATCAAAGGTTTTCTATGAGAGACTGCAATAAGGAACTTGGAGCTTTCTCTTGTGTCTCCCCGTGAGGAAATATGGCCACGGGAAATGCGTATAAATATAAACAGAAGCAGTAGTAAAGTGTCACGCATTCATCACTTTCATACCAGCTGGCGGGAATCCATTAAACCCGGCGCTCAGCTGGTCTTTTAATAGCTAAAATATTGAAATAGCAAACAAAACTGCCGCGGAACACAGAAGAAAATGGGCTACAGATGGACAAACTCTTGAAGATTTGAGAAGAATTTTTTCTCTTGGCTTCGTACTCGCACAAAAAAAAATTGTGTAGAATAGCGCATCCTTGCAGGTGCTTAGGATCACAGTGGAAATTTAAATTACCTCGAATAATAGCCGGGGGATTATTTCTTTTTTCGCATCAAAAGGAGGCGATTATTCGAGGGAAGGTGATTATTCGAGGGAGGCGATTATTTCAAATATTGCTCACTGGAAGTCATGCCCTGAATATTTTAGCCTGCGAGCAAACTCTCCGCTCTCTCGCCTAAATGGAGAGCTTGCTCGCAGGTTATAAATATTTTGTTTTATTATCTCATTAAATAAAAATATTATCACATCAAATGAACTGAACATGGGCTTTTTAAGTGTTCCAAATTTGGTTCCTTGATTAATTTTCAGAGCTTGAATCGTCACTGATCAGTTTTGCTCAGGATTTTTGCTCCTGGTTTTGCTCTATCAGATTCCCCTTCAACTTGACCGGGAGGGGATAAAAGACAAGACAAGATGGCGAAAGGGGTGGGGGGGAGGGGGCGATTATTTGAGGGAGGCGACTAATCGAGGGACGGCTAATATTCGAGGAAATACGGTATACAAGCCTAAGTTTGTTGCTCACCGTTTTAGTGTTGAGCTAGTGTCAGAGGCAAGAAAGACAAACCAAAGTTGCTTCTCTGTTTTCTTTTTCGAGAAGATCAAGTGATATCTTTCGTTTCTTTTTAGTGTCACATTTACTACTTTAATACTAGAAATTTATTCATTTATTTTAAAAAAAGCGTTGTTTTGCTTTTGAATTTTTTAAACTTTGTTTTTCGTAAAACAAATGTTGCGGAAGTCATATCACATCCTACGCAGTCGCCTGGTTTTCGTGTGTATGTGACGAGAGGGCAAAGATGAATATCTCATAATAATTGCGAGGGAGGTTATTTGCTTCCTGCTTTCAAGATTTGGCTTTAGGGTTTCGCTTTACCAATCAACTTTGGCGACGTTTTATAGAAACCTGTTCAAAACAAAGTTTAAACAGGAAAACAAACTTGTTTGTACACTTCTCAGAAGGTCCCGGATCAAACTACTAAATAACTGGAACAACAGAAGATAAGACTGAATTTTTGGTTTCAAAAGCGTTTATTCTTGTACCTGTAGCCGCGTGATCTTAACTCAATCTCAGTTACATCAGTTATACATCGTACTCATTATCTGTAGAAACTTTTATAATAATGACGGTATCCAAATCTTGCTGTTTTAACAAAGACCAATAAACTGTAATAACAAAACAGCAAAGAACAAAGCGACTTGAGTATTCATTATCTGTCCCTGTCTAAGACTCTGACAGTAATTTTTAAAACCTACATAAAAATAGGTTGTGCGCGCAATGAATCCTTTCCGGGCGATGGTGTGTTTGTCTTTATTGTCTATCTCGTTGGGATTCTCCCGATTTTCAACCCTTGAGAATCCCGAATCCTGACCAATGTGCGATCGGGATAGGAAAAATCCCGATTTTGACATCTCTCCTGAATGAATTCTTTTGATGCTTACACAAGAACACCTAACAGAGTATACTTAACTGAAATTGATATCCTGAAAACTTAAGGTGGCTGAACACAGTTTGGCTCATGGTGGGTTGTGAGTCGTTACCGACTCATTGGGGTGTTACTTTTACTCACTTTTACTTACTCGTTGGAGTTATAAAGCTCAAATTTAGCGAGTACGAAATATATTTATAAGACATTACGTTTATAAGGTTGAACGTAAGATTTCTATCGTTGCCATGACAACATGGATAGTTTAAAACAATGCCTAAAATTATGAATTCAGTAGGTTTACCCAAAATCTAGTCATATGATTTTCTCATGAATTTGTGCATGGGTTACAGTAGGTTACAATTGGTAATCCTTAATTTTTTAGGAAACAAAACTCTTCTGTTCAATTTTTATTTTGAGGTTTTCAGTGATTGAAGTGCGATATTGACAAGAATTATGCCAAATTTTCGTCAAATTAATGAGTAGATTTCGAGAGATCGTCGTTTCTTTGCAACGACGACGGCGACGACAACAAGAACGGCAAAAAAGCAATAGGTTTATATTAGCAAAACAACAACTTTGCACGTGCACACGCTTTTTAATTTTTGTACATTTCTCTGCCGTCCGTTGCACGACTACAACGCGAAAGTGCCTAATTCCACGTTTTGTCGAGGACAGGAACACAAGACAGCAATTTTCTTTTTCTTTTACTGAACTTTGATACAGTCCTTTAGAATTCAACTCCAAAAATATTTGGCAACATTTGACGAATTAAACGAGATGGAATAAGCGCGATAAAGTTTGAGGCCGTGCGAATTCAGTTTTTAAGTGACGTTTTCGTAGCCGTCGCCGTCGTTGATACTTAAGCTCGATCTATTAAAGTCAACAAAAGAAGCGCTCTCATAATTTTCCCTAAGCAAGCGTGCTCAACATTTGTGCCCGCGCTGGGTCACGTGATATAAAAAACGCGAGGAAAACAGAATAAACTACTACAGACAACTTCTGGTATTTTTCTCAGCTTGTCCACACATTCTCACATTTTTTCTTGAAAATCCCATTGGCTACATTTCTTCTCATGATAAAGATAACAGATGGATAAAGCATTTAGGTTCGTCAGTTTTTTGTGTGCGCGGAAACAATCGCCTCAGTGAAATTCTCCACTATTATGAACCGATTAGAAGCCGTGCAGCTGTGCATGAAATCATGAATTAAAAGATAAATAAAGTTAAATAAACATTATGCAGAAAAATAATAGTTTAAGTCAACATTGATAAGGCGCACTAAACGACGGTTTCCTCCTAAATTCATTGAAAACACTTTTTAGACTATCCAGGGCACTTTTAGATATGTAGAAATGCATTCAAAGTGGCGCTATAAAATTTGTATCTGTTCGGTCATCCTAGGGGAACTTAAGTCTTTTCCGTGAAATTACAAGGTCTTCAGTATTATTTTCCCCAAAATTTTAGATGCAATTTAACGTATTACGAAAGTTAAAATTTTCCTGATTCCCCTCTCAATCACATTTTTGAATACGAAAATATTAGGTTTTCCTTTTATTCTACAAAAAATAGCCTATCCTGGGTAATAAAATATGAAAATCGTGGGAAATTGGTAGTCGTCCTCAAGTAGTAGAAGATTCTAGGCAATATTTGCTTCTCCGAACAGATATCATGACAGAAAACAGTCGTTGGGTGCCCCTGATTGATGGAAAAAGTGTACAATACGAGGGCACAATGACCTCAGATTTTACTTCTACGACTTGAATCCTTCACGGTTTTGCTTTCTTTGGCAAATTAGGACCTTTGTTATTTAAACCTCACTGGGATTACAAATTAAATATGAAAGTAAAAACGACAAGGATTCTGGTCGTCGTAGTGAAATGACGCCATCGTGAACTTTTTGCGCATCTCACGATCAATGCTACTGATTCGGTGCAAATTATTGTGCTATTAAAATCACAGTCAAAGCGTATTCTTGAAAGCTAGTTGTAACCCTAGGGAAATAGAGCAAATACACGAAAACTCTCTCCTTACACAGGGGCGGATCCAGGATTTTTTTTAGGAGGGGGTGCACTCGTCTCTTGCTCTACTTCAACACCAATAAACCACATAGTTTTTGCAGAATACCAGTTGTATTAGGAAACCGCAGGTCATCTCGCGGGGGGTGCGCACCCCCTGCACCCTCCCCCTAGATCCGCCCCTGTTACACTAGCCGCCATCTGAGTTTAGAGCGGAGTGGTGCAGATCGCTTAGCGTTGGGACTTATGAGTCTTTTGTTGTGGCTGATGGGTCTACAGAGACTAAAGACTTGAAAAATGTGTTTTGCAGCAATGAGACCAGGGAATAATTTGAACTTTTAAAGCGACTGAGTTTTTTTTTTCAGCCTTCCTTCAGAAAAAAAAGCCGTGAAGAGGGAATCTCTCTCCGATTTTGTTTGAGGGGAAGGAGCCGCTGTACGCAGGCTGTCGTTTTTCAGATGCCTTATCTGTTTAACGTTAGGTCGAGAAATTAACTGTTAGGTGTAAATAGCAAAAATATAAAGCATTTTTCCGAAGGTAGCAGGGGAACCAGAATCCTTTAAGAATAATTATCGAAATATCTTTTTTAAAGAGCAGCACAATTACACCATTTCATAGTTTGATCATATCCTTGTATGTATTTCACTAGCCATATCATTAGCTCTTATACTCATTCATATTGATGTAGAACTTTTATATTTCCTTAGTTTTATTTATTTTGTACTTAGACTTTGTATATTCTGAATCTTATGCTTTTTGTAATTAATTTTAATTTAGATAGAGCGCCACAAGTTCACTAGTTTCTGTACCTATTCCGTGCTACCCTCTTTAAATAAAGTGTATTATCAATGTTCGTTTGCGTAAGAGAGACTGTAAAAGAGCTGCTAAAAATCAGCTAATAAATGTCGTAAATAGCAAGGGCCACCGTGCAAAAGACGGTGGCGGGTCCTGGTAGATCTTTGTAATCAAACAGTACAAAAAGGAATGCTGACAGTGCAGTAATACCACGCAGATGTTCTGCGTGATGAGCCCGAAAAGAACGTTTGCGTGGGAGGCTAACTGTGCAGCTCTGAGATTATGTTTTCTTCCAATATTTCGTCATGTACGGCCTGACTTCTTCAGGGAATGACGTACTTAAGAGAAAAATCGCTACAATTTAAAAAAGCCAAGAAACTGAAGGATATGACAACAAAAGACGTCTGGTCCTTTGTTTACGCCCTGTTTAAAGGTCTTAAAAAGCACGTACTTGCCAGCGTTCAGTGGCTTGTTTTGACCTTTGTTCCCTCGAGTCGCTGGTGTGTTTATCGCGTGAACAAGCCGTGGGTAACCTGTGAGGGGAGGAGACGGGTGTACAAATTCTAAGCCCTAGGGGACTGGGAAATCTTCTCCTAAGCGCGGGCTTCTGGAAAACATGGCGGCAAGGGAGGTCGAGGTTTATCCGGAATTTAAGGAAACTTTTTTCCTTCTTTCAGTAGCACTATTTTCTTTGCAATGTAGCTTAAAAAATTTGTAGATGGAAAGTGGCCAAAATGGAGATATTCATGGCAGGATTTCGAGGGTTTTAGATGCCCTGCTTGAGATTTCAGAAGCGGAGGTGGTACTGCAAGACAGGGCGATCTCGCTTCTGGCGGATAGAAGTCGCATAGACGCGCTACTTCTTGCCATAGAGTCAAATACTTCTGAACTACACGAGCTAATAGTGATTAGAAAAGACAAAGATAATTCCAAGGATTCAGGGAATACAAGTTTAACCGAGGTTTGTTTTGTCTTTAATTACTCTTACAATAAGTGAAGGCGCGCGTCTTCATTGAAGCTTACGTTCTTAAGTAATCTTACTTCTTGCTCCATTATTTAAGAGTGCCTTGTGTTGTGGTTAAGCCTTAAAAAGCTGCAAAGGTCTTAGAATAATTAACCTGAGATCAGGCCCAATTTTAGCGGTTCTCATACATTCTCTCTGACGGCTGCCGCTAAAATTGGACCTGATACAAACTCTTTCACGTTTGTGCTCGTTACGGCCAGATTTTGGCCGTAACGCTGATTGGCGGTTAGAACAATGCCACAAGATCTGATTGCCTGTCAGAAACGCCGGGAGTTGAAAGCGCTTATTCCTCGTGTGGTCGTTTTCGTGAATGATCCATCGTCGGCGGAAAGAAGGATCGATTTTGCTGTCTTTTTTATTGTTTTATGGTCTTATGGTAGGAAAATATGCCTTAATATGTGCCAGAAAATTCATATCTTCTCAGGATTTGCTTTATTTACGGAACTGATCTGAGTGTATCGCGGAGTTGAATCCCTCTGCAAGTTGCTGACCGCTAACAAGGTGCCTTTTGATTTACCAACAAATGAGTGCAAATCAAAATACTGTCCATCTTAAAACTGGTTTCATCTGAAAGTTTAGCCGGGAATGAATTCTCTGAACGGGGTAGGTAAGCGGAGGCTTACTGCGAAAGAAACCTCAATCGTCAACTGTGAAGTATTAGACGAAAAATATCGCATCGCTGTTCAAGGAATTTTTGTAGGCATTATTATAAAAGCTGGTGGCTTAAGGTAACAGACTGGTTGTTTGCCTTCGCTTTTTGTAAAATATAAACCAGGAAAAGTGGTGTCCTCGCTCGTGGGCTGTTTGCTTTTATGTTTAAAGATTTATGTACTGAAAATTGGGGAAACTTGCCGCGGAAAATATTAAGGCAACAGAAAAATAGAAATTTCAGTATTTTAAATAGCCAAAATTATAAAACTAGCAGAACATCGTGTCGCCGTCTTTTCAAAAACTTTTTACCCTTTACACCAACAGAAATAACCTTCGAGATCTCACTTAATCTCGCAAGAGTTGAAAAATTTGCATACTAGAAAAACAAGCAACGGAAGTAATTTTGGTTGGCTGATTCGGCAAATGTCAATCAATCAAAAAAGTGGGCGGCAGACGTATTGTAGAAGGTTTGTATCAGGCTCTCTTTTCGTTTCACCTTGCCCGCAGGAATGTAATTTTCAAAGTGAAACGAAAATAGAGCCTGATCTCTGGTTATGGAATAATTGATTTTGTAATAAAATCAAGTATGAGACAAAGATAAATTATTCTCTCAACTAAAAATTTCTAAGCAGAGAAAAACGCCGTCCCCATCCGATGTTGTCTGCGAGCAGGCATGTTTAGCAAAAAGAGTAATTCATGCTTTCTTTTTGGCTCACTTTGGTCCATAGGGGGAGGGGGGACTGTAATGGCTATGCGATACCCTCCTTCCTAATCGTCTCTGAGGTCCTCTGAGGTATGTCTCTGTGATAGGAAGGTAATGTCACCGAGGCTTTGTTTACCCCTGGTACCCAGGAGCTAGTGTCAGGGTACTGGCACAAAAAATTGGTGTTTACTCCTTACATACCTGATGTGTAATAGTATATTTGGTCCATTTTTCCTGGCATGTCATATGCTATTTGGAAACAAGACGGTTGCTAGAAGTTATGGTTAGGGCTGCAATGACACATTTTCTCACGATACATTGCATATCTCGATACAGTGCCACAATACGATACACAGTACGATACATCATTACATACAACTGACAAGTGATGTAATCTTACGTAACTGCTTTGAAATCATTTATACACTAACACGGGAAGACATTTTCTGACGAACAGCATGTTTTACCCATGGTCGTGCAAGACTGTATCAGCTGACAACTAATTGGAACTACGTAATGTACGCATGTGTTTGTGCTGCCACCTTGAAAAGTATGTGTCGGATGGGAAGCATGCAAAGCTCTACAAAGCAAGGATGGAACTTTCTTGTCCCTTCATTTAATAAATAGCTAAAAAAGGCTTGGATTTGTGTAAGGAGTCATTAAAGACAATAATTTCTGAATGTTGATGAAGAATCATAATATCGTGATATGTTGTTTAACTATCGATGTTTGTGTCATGGCAAAAAATATCGCGGTTCACCGGTGTATCGTTGCAGTACTTGTTATGGTATCCAAATTTAAAAGCAATAGATTGCCTAAGCACTAACATAAAAGAAATGTGCACAGTCAAATCCTGTTAATACGGACAGTGGACGGTCCATAGAAAGTGTCCATAGTAAGTGGGTCATGTTATTAAAGTCAAAAAACACCTATTATTAGAACAAAATACCAAAGTAACAGAAGAGGACATTAGCATCGTCAAATTAAACATCTTCAACTTTCACAAATTAAAGTTATCATTCCGTTGACTAAATCCATGGAAACACTAAAAAAATTGCTCATTTACACACTGCTTAATCAAAATCGTACTCTGCATAACTAGTTTAATGCCTGAAAATAGTCCGAAATTGATGTCTACATTTTTTACCAATCCTCTTCTTTAGACTGGTTTTGGTCTAATTAGTATGAGAATGGCTAAAAATGAGTTTTGCAACAAAAAGGGCATATTTTCCGACTAATCGAATGTGATAAAACAGCTTTTTTCAGGGTGCAGAGAAAGTCAGTTTACAGCCTGCCATTCGGGCAAGCTGTAGCTAGCGTGTATTAGTCCACAATTCATTTCAACTAGCCCCAAAACCCTTTTTGATTAGCTGGATTTATTACAATCCTTCTGTAATTTGAATTTCCAAAAAAACAGCACTTGCCCGTTGGGCAAGTTAAGAACAAAAACCACTAGCCTGATAGCAAAATCCACTTGCCCCTGCCTATCGGACACGAATTTCTTTGCACGCTTTTTTTTTTGTTTTTTGGGCAGGTGCACAAGCCAAAATTTGGACTTGTTTTTTTTGTTTTTTTTTTGCAAATCTATTTCGCTCTTTTTCTCTTGCTGTCTTTTTCTCCTTAATTTGCCTTTCTTCTTTATAAGCAGTTTTGTTGCCTATTTTATTGTCTTTCTTTTGCATGGAAATTTTAGGAAAGGGATAAATTTCTTCAAAGAGTTGTACGTAAAAACGTTACCTTTTTTTTTAATGTAACTCTGTTAGGATTGATCAGAATATCCAAAACAAGGTATCAGTGGAAATATCCGTAAATCTTTGCTGGTAATGTTGTTGCTTGCCAACTTATTTACCCAACTTGAAAAAGATGCATTGTTCCATATGGAAAGGAAAATGACCAAAGCAGTCGTCAAAGGGTTTGAGCTCTGTATTCTGGAATTTTTATACACATGGATATTATTTTGGCAGGAATCAAGAAATACAAGTGAAGATCTTACAATGGATGGTTCTGCTTACGAGGATTCCAATGACCTGATTGATTTGAGTGATGAAGAATTTGATGAAGCAATGGCTGAGGTAGATCCGTAGACCTTTTTGTGAGGCATATTGTCCTTAGTGACTAGGTTAAGCATATCATGTCACCTTTGTGGGCAGAGTTTTTTTACACTCATGCAGTGGTTACCCTCCTGATCCCTTTGTAGAGGGCTGGACTAGGTGGGTCTGAGCCCACTGAAGTGTGAAGTTACATCAAAAGTGAAGTTAAATCAAGCCACCTGGTCCAGATGATAGTTGAGGTCATTTGACCAAATTAACGATTTATTTTCTTCACTTGATCTTCAATGTACATGTACACAATCAAAGATTTTGGCAGTTCATGTTTCACGGAGTGCACTTCAATCACGATTCACAGAACAGTTTTTCAGATCATCGCAATTCACAAACAAAAAATGGTCGATCATTGTGTCACGAAAATAAGCTTGTTTCCCTCTTTATATGGAAGTATCCCCGGGATTAGTTCATCCCAGAACTAGATTTGGAGAAACATGAATGCTGTTACTACATAATGTGTCATTTGCTTACACAATACCTGATTTTGTTTACTACATAGGTTGACATTGATGAAATCTGTAATCAAAGCCAGACTGAATCCCAGAGTCCAAATGATCACAAAGATGTTAACAATGGATCATCAGAAATTAATGGTGATTGTTACTGTAGCTCCAAAAACCATGCACAGCTAAAAACCATGCACAGCTAGAATATTTCAAAAAGTAGTGAATGTAAAATTGTGTTGTGATAAATCAGTGACAAAAGATCAAGACATTTATAAAAGCAGGCCAAAAATAACCTGTTCTGGGGCTCTGGCAGGGCCTCAGGATAGTCAGGTCAATCAAAGAAAAGATTGACAAAAAAGCCTGTTCTGAATGAGGTTGACAAAGTGTGAATGTGTTGCTTACCAACGCCCTTTTTACACTCTGAAGGGATTAGCCGTGGGCGAAATAGTCACGTGAGAAATTTGAAAACGATTCCCTCTCATTGACATTTCAAATGTTTGAGAGCCGAAATCTTATTATCTCAAATGCGCCAAAAGTGGGCAGAAGAGGGTCGTCAAAGAAATGATTACAGGCTCTCTCTCCCTTCCTGTTTCTCCCTTCGAAAAAGGGTGACAATTCCGCAGTGCTGTGGTCTGCTAAGAACACTGGACAATCTTGAGACAAACGATAACCAAAACGGCGATGAACAATCTTTCATAATACTGGTATATGACCTTGTGCCATATTTTCAAAATAGTGTACAGACAAGCACACTTTTATTTCCATCAGAAATGACTGAAGTGAAACCAGATCCTGAACATGTGGAGGTCCTGAAGAGGTATTTTGGACACTCCAAGTTTAGGCCGTAAGTGATTTTATGATTCTATTTCTTTTAGTTGTCTGGCTTGATTTATGTCAGATTGTTTGCTAGACAAAACAACTGTTGTGGAAAATTCCAAAATGTTCAATTCACCACAATTTCATTAGCAGTATTTTCTTCTTAGCATGTTGTGCTATAACGTACTTTGCCACATTTTTTGTTACTTTCTTTCTTTAGTTTGCTGCCACTGAGGGTCACCTTACCAGATTTGTTTAACCATTCTAAGAATTTGTTTGAGTTATAAAATGGTGCCTATTCTGTATTGCTTAAAATATGAGGACATAAGCCATTATCCAGCGGTTTTTACTTGACTGTGTAAAACCAAAACCATTAAAACCAAAACCAAAACCAAAACCAATAATTAAGCTTTCAACATTTTTAGTTTATTAGTACAGAATCTTTAAAAATTGACCAAGACATTAAGCCCTCTTGACTGTTTGGAGTAATTTCATCAGCTATTAAATCACTTAACAATGTTTTTTTAATGTTTCAGCATGCAGTGGAAAATAATCAATGAGGTTCTCAATCATAAAAGAGATATGTGTGTTGTTATGTCAACAGGTAATTTAATCAAACTTCTTAAAAGCTAAGTCAATTACTAATATGCTCATGCCGGTTAGGGATCAACAGAGTCATGGCTGCAAAGCACATTTCAGTTTGTTGTATTGTAGTGGCTTTTTTCTGTGGAGTGTGTTTTTCATTTTCTTTTTTTGCCGCTCCATTTGCATCACCTTATTTTCCACTGTAAACATAGTATGTGACAGATACCAGGACAACTCAGTGTGGGGTGGGGACTCATGGCTGGGTTGCAGGGATTGCCAGCCGTGGGAGCAGTTCTCTGTCTAGGGGCTGGCTGTTCACAGTGGAGGCCCCCTAACATTTCAGGCACTCATCTTCCTTACATTGCAATGCAATAGTTAAGAACTGTTTAAAATAGTATGTGTGTTTTTTTTCAGGTTATGGTAAAAGTCTGTGTTATCAGTTTCCATCACTGTACACTGGTGGTACTACCGCTGTCATCTCGCCATTAATTTCGCTTATGGAGGATCAAGTTGCTAAGCTTAAGTAAGCATTGAAAACTTAACCACCAAGCCTAAATATCTTATTAGTATAGGTAATCATATGACTTTGAGTACAGTTTGGAATTTATTTGCTCTCGTGTGTTTTTCAATACGTATCAAAACTGAACGAGAAAAGTCGTATGGTTACCTGTTATTTTAATAATGTACATGAAAAAAAATTACCAGTGAAAATAAGTGGTACCTGATTATAACAGCCACCCTTGAGATCCTAGAAACTGGCTTCTTATACCAGGAGCCCATCTTTGGCCATGTTGAGGTTGCCATGAGTTGCAGCATCTGATTGGTTCTTATTATTTCTTTTGTTTATTAGCCAATCACAGTGCTCTGTTGTCTGAGATATTTGCATTGTAATTCCTCATTTTTGTAGTGTGTTTGCTAAAGACTACATTGCTCTCAGCCAATCAAATTCAAGAAATCATCATCCTTTTAACATCTGTTACAGTGTTTTTTGGTTCTCATCTTGTGAGGAATTCACGAGTCCCAGTCCAGAACCATTAAGTCCCAGTTACCAAAAAAAAAAAACAAGGATTCCTAAATTGAAAATGCATGAGCCTTTATGTAACCAGACAGTTAATCTGGAGACAGATGCCAAAACTCTTTATTACAGTTTACTGAAATTAAAATATAGTCCTTCTATATGTTTAAAGCACAAAATACTAAAATAAATATGCATCTTTAAACAACAGCCACAGAAATCGTACGAACAGGATATTCTACCGAAAAATCTTAAAATCGATCGAGTTTTCTTTGCATCCCACGGGACATATTTCATGTATTATTTTATTCGGTCCTACGGGACGTGTTTCACGTATTATTTTGTGTCTTTGGGGATTTTTATGCGTCAGGGACACAAAATGCGGAGGTAACAAAATCACTGCTATTACATTATTTTGAGATATTTGAAGCCTCATTTTACTACCATAACCACAATGCAAGAAAAAGCATAGAGAGAGATTAAGAGCCATTAATTATTTCACAGTGAAAATGGCATAGATGCAAGCATAAAAACAAGTATCAAAAGGTTTCTTGTTCTTATGCTTGCAATGTTAAGATTGGAATGGCACCTGTATTCCATCAGGCCATATGGAATCCCTTGCAATTTCATTGATCAGTATTCATTAATCCTGTAATAATTATTGAGGTTATTAACATCATTCTGCTGTTCCCTTACAGGCTTTATAACATTCCTGCTTGCTATCTTGGTTCAGCTCAAACCAATAATGCTGAAGCAAAAGCTGGTGTTTTGAGGTACAATTAAAATAGCTTCCTTAAAACATCACTTTACTTGTTGGTTCTAGCTTTACACAGTAACCATTGCATCTTTTAGACTGCCGAGCAGTCTTTTCAATAAATTTATTGTGGCAGTAACTTTCTTGCTTAGTATTGATAAAGATGTACTTTAGTGCTGCCAATCTGTTTAAAAAAATTTAGTCTCGTGTAGTGAAGTTCATGTAAGACTAAAACCCAAGGCTGTGCTCTAAGAAAAATTGAATGGAGCCCACTGCTCCAAACCTGGGAAATCCTGGGTGCCCAGCATATGATTTCTATGAAAAAACTAGCCTCCCAGGGGCAACTGTTAGGTGCTAGGGGCCAGGGCCACCAGGCTACCAGAGGCGAGCACAGCCTTGAAACCTGTTCTTCATTTCATGCCTGCAGAAGCCAATAACCGGCAGCGTGGAACTCCCATACATCACCTATGCGTTTTCACAGATCTAGTTATTTTTAACATCATTTTGGAGCACTTTTCCTCCCGAAAGTGGAAGCTCTGTTCTGTGTGGGTGGGCATCCATAGTACGATAATTACAAAAAGATGACGTAAAGGCTATCAAAACATCAGAAATACTATTTTCTAGCCTCTGGTTTAAGATGACTGATTGATAAGACTTATTCAATTTTCAAAATTTGCAGAAAATGGATCTAAAAGTAAACTTGTCCGTAAAAATGTAATTGCTTGGGCACAATCGAGTTGTTCACTCTGCTAATGGTTGCTACTGGTAATTGCCATTATGTAGTTAATTGTTTTTTTGATGTTCTGCATAGGGGTGAGTACAGAGTTGTGTACCTGACTCCTGAATATGCCTCTTTGGATACTGGATTCCTTGCACAGGTGCAAACCTCTGTAGGTAAGAAGAAGTTTGACAAAAGACACCATTTCAATGTTAATGAGAGTCAAATTAAGGATTGAATGTGAAATGAGGTTAGTTTTCCAGCATCTCTAAATTTGGGTAGTTTTTAATATTTGGTTAGGGGCAAAAATTGCCCCCGTTCATCTATTTGTGTTCGTGACCAGGGTCTTCATCAAACTCAGTTGTCATCCTCCTTTATCACCTGCGTTTTTAGATTTCCTTGTGGCCCCAGTCATTCAAAAGGTTGATAGCGCTTTCCTCTGGGTAAATCTCTGTCCAGTGGATAGTGCAATTGGTTTCCATCATACTTATCCACTGGATAGCGATTTATCCCGGTGGATGGTGCCATCCAATGTTTGAATAACTGGGGCCTGGTGGTTAGGTCTTTAAGCTACTTTAAAACATTGTTTTTCTCTCACTATGTTCTTTTCAAATCCTTTGATTGTGAATTATGTTTTTGTAACAGGTCTGACCTTAGTGGCAATAGATGAAGCACATTGTGTGTCTCAGTGGGGTCATGACTTCAGATCTTCCTATCGCTCTCTTGGATGTATCAGGGATAAACTGCCTGATGTAAGGAAAGTCTTTTCTGATCAGCACAGCATTTCCACAAAGATCTGTTTCTGAGCACATGTTTTGTAATTTCAGCATAGAAATAAAAGCTTTAAAATAATATACCAGGAATTTTTTACCCCAAAAGTGCAAGCTGTCATTGTTTTATTACTCAGGGTGCAAAGAAAGTCGGTTTGCTATTTGGGCAAGCTGTAGCTAGCATGTACTGGCCCAAAATTCACGTCAACTAGTCCCAAAACTTTTTGATGAGCTGGATTGATTACACAGTTTTTATGTCATTTGAATTCCTCAAAAAACTTCACTTGCCCGTCGGGCAAGTTAAGAACAGAATTCACTAGCTCGATAGCAAAATCCACTAGTCCTGGGCTATCAGACACTACTTTCTTTGAACACTGTTACTTCATGGCCACATGACATCTAACAATTATTAAAATTAACATTGTTTTCTGCCAAAAGTCTCTGAGTGAGAACATTGCCAAGTCTGTGACATCAAAGTTAAAAGTACATGGTTATGACCACTCGCCATAATAATTAACTTGCTTTAATTTGTACATGATTGTACAAAAGTTTTTGTTCATGGCAGGTATATCAAATAAGTTAATGACTGGTCAACTGGTCCCTTGGAAAACTAGTTATAATAGTAACTTTTTCCCTCGAGGCCAGCCCTAAGGTTTTATTGTGTACTTTTTAAAACTCTGATGTCAGCATGCTTATTTTCCACTCTGTTCTCTCTCCATATATTTCTTTTTGTCCTGATGCACAGACTTTGTTTAACAATTTGATTTAATTACTATTTCACTGTTTCGATTTTCTTATTTTAGGTACCTATTGTTGCATTGACTGCTACTGCCACTCCTGTTGTTAGAAAAGATATTTGTCAGTCTCTGAAGCTGAGAAATGCTTCTTTTGTTTGTACTGGCTTTGATAGGTGAGTAGCATGTGTTGTAACTAAATAAGTAACCATGCAGGCATACTACTGTCTTGAATATGTCTAAAAATATTTGCAGTCTAAGGCAAATAGTGACAGGTAATGTTTGAATGATAATAAAGACCTTTAGGTTCTAAGACCAGAATGACTACGAGATTGAGATTTTCTCAATTCTAAGTATTGCTTACATGTATGCCAGCATTTTGGTAGGAAAACATAAAACCCATCATCAGTCTACTGTGTTTTTTAGCAAAAATGCCCCAGTGATCAAAAATTAATGTTAGAAGTTTTATCACTTTACAATCATGAGAGGGGTCAGTCTTGTTCAAATAAAATATAACCATCTTAAAAAAGTAAAACGTGTCTTTGTGCCCAGTCTAGTGACTTACTTTAGCCTCTGAGTGGCAAAGGAAATACCATAAAATTCCGAAAATAAGTCGCCAGGCTCATATTTTTCAGAGTCCCTTTTGGAGGGCTGATGTTCGGAGGGGCTTACATATGAATGGAAATTTGCATTTCAATATCAGCTAGGCTTATGCTGGGAAGGAAATTTTATGTCTCAAAATCGATTGGGCTAGCTTATAGTTGGAAGGAAATTTATGTCAGTAATTTGCAGAAAGGTTTTTACTGAAACTGCCTGAGGTTGTAGATCTTACTAAAACTCAGCCATGCAAGCACCTTGTTTACGTGGAATGAGGAAATCCAGGCCAAGAGTTAAGAGTGCACTACGCAAACAACAATATACTGTGACACCCTTTGACTGCAATTTTTTGGCACATTTAATAGTTCCTTGGCCAATGCAAAAATTTATGTGTTATTGTACAGTTTTTGCTTTGTTTTATTTTGAATTTGAGGGCAATTTCCAAGTACAAGCCCTTGGGGGCTTATATTTGGAGGGGCTATTTAATGGAGGGTTTTTTGCGTTATGAGTTTGGAGGGGCTTATTTTAGGAATTCTGTGGTAGCCTGCAACCATATTTAGTTTTACTGCTTTACTCTTTATGGTAGAATCTAAATGTTTCAGTAGACTTATCTTCACTAATTTTCAGGCATCTTGTTTTTCAGACCTAATTTATACTTTGAGGTATTAAGGAAATCTGGCAGTATAAGAGATGACTTTCAGCCTCTCCTGATAAGAACGGTTGACAGGTGAGACTATGTTTTTATTGCCTTCCATTGACTCCTCATACCATCGCCTTTATAATAGTTTAGTTACATAAATAGTATTATAACCAAGGTTGAAGTAAGTATAACAAAGCTCGTTACCTGCTGGCTAAACGGTGCAGCAGTTTGTGCAGTGCTGCCTTCACTTTTAGTTTTTTTAGTGCACAGCACTTAAGATGCAAGTAATGCTCATGAGTCAGGAACAAGAGGGAAAGTTACGTCTGGAAGACTAAAAGAAGATTTAAAATGCATCATAAAGTAAGACAGTGTTAGTGCTCTATATTAGACTGATAACCAACAGTACCTAATTATCTTTTTGACAATGATTTTGTTTTATTTGCAGAACAAAGATTGAGTATTCATTTGACGGTCCCACAATAGTTTACTGTCCGACTAAAAAAGCAACCGAACATGTGTCCAGGGAACTACGTGGTATGAAGCAACTTATCAAAAAGTTAATGCTTATAGGAAAAATAATTCATCTAGATGCTGTAGGTTATTTAGTATGCTCATTGAAACACATTATGGGACCTAAGAAAAGCTTAATGAAACTTGCTAATATTTCCAAGCATTTTCTAGTTTGTTTTGTGACAGATGTATTTTATGAATGCAATCAAATAAATTGCTTCCATTGTCTCTTACGTCTAGTACTTATCAGTAATATGCTTATTGTTTGTAGCACTTGGGGTGAGCTGTGAATATTATCATGCTGGTTTGAGCAATAAAGAACGCAGAAGAGTGCACCACCTGTTTATCAGAGATGAAATTCAAGTAAGTGCTGTGATTTTGAAGCATTGTGGAGTGTTTTTCAGCAAAATGGGTTGATGAGAACAATCATACAACAATATTTTAGCGACTATTTTGTCTTTTGATTTTATTTCCCAGTGTATTGTTGCAACAGTAGCGTTTGGAATGGGAATCGACAAACCAGATGTTAGGAAAATCATTCATTATGGAGGTATCTGCGATATGTTCTAAGCTTACAAACCAAAATAGTTGTCATTGTCAATAGTCATTTGATTTAATTTTAGTCTCACCTAAAGTGATATTCTGTACTATTGTGTTTTTCTGCCTTACATTGTATAAGAAAATGACAAAACAAATTTATTGTTTACTTTTATCTTGAAGCTCCAAAAGATATCGAGTCTTACTACCAAGAGATAGGCAGAGCTGGTCGTGATGGGTTAGTATTGGGATCTTTGTGGGATTTGGGTTAAACAGCTATTTCGAGAAATTGGGACAAGAAAGGTATTATGGGTGGTTTTGAGTTCTTTTTCTTAAATTTGAAAGAATTTTTTTGGGCTTTAGAAGATTTCTCTGATCATATCCCATATTACCTTTCGGGATTGTTGCGTGCACATTTTTTTCCGACAAACTTTCTCGAAATAGCCGTATGCAAGATTTTTCCCATACAGCCCACCTGAATCATATAATATATAATATATTTTCAATCTGGGGTGGCGCGAGGGAGGATAGTGGATGTTATCCTTTGAGCTTCACTTTAGGTATTACCGTGTAGTTGAATAAACAAACAAGGCTGTATTGAATGGCTTAAAAGGCTTTCCTTTACACCTCTCCATTTCTTTTAACAACTTTTGGGTTTTTTATTATTTCTCCACAACACTGAAGCTTTGCTTAACAGCTGTCGGTGTTTGATCCGATTTAGTGTCTTAAGATTGTACTTTTCCATACCCTGCAAGCAGAATCTTCAATCTCCTTCCATGGTCCCTTGATCTCCCTAAGAAGATCGAAGGAGACTCTGCTTGCAGGGTAATCTTTCCATTTTAAAATTATTAGTGAGGTATATTATGGTATAGACTGCAAAACAGTCGATTTTTTTCTCAAAATTGGTAAAACTTGGGGTTAGAGTCTTACGCGCGCGAAGCGCGAAAATCACACGCCCGTAAAGCGTGTGAGGGCGTATTTTAGCGTCTCTCGCGAGTCTCGCTCTCTGTTTTCAGCCTCGTTCCAGACCTTTTGTTTGACTGCTCGCGCGTACTTGAATACGCAAAAACACGAACCGTTTTGCGGTCTAGGTATGGTATGGTATAGTATAATTGGGAGGACATTTGTGGCATATAGAAGGTGTTAAGTGTACATGTTGGCATGTTTGTAGCTCACGCAACCTGCGCTTTCACTGGAGGAAGGCTCCAACTAAACTGTCAGCAATGTAAGCTTGCATGTTTTTGCCACAATTTCTTTGGTAAAAGTCAATACATATATTTGAGTTGGAAAAGTATACCCTCTAAATATCTTTTTGAATAGCACATAATTGAATATTTTTGTTGCAGTCTTCCTAGCACCTGTCACGTTTTCTACAGTACTGCAGACTTCGCTCTGAACCGGTAGGTTATTTTTATACCTCGCTGTTGTGTAGAGTTTGTAGTGTAGAAGCTGAGGCCAGGGTTATACTTCGAACTTCACATGAGCCTGTTACTATGATTTGTGTGTCACTGAACTCTTGTTATTTCCAGTCACTTGCTGAATGAAGTTTCAGTACAGTCCTTTAAAGAACATAAACTGAGGATGCTTAACAAGCTTGAGCATTATTTGACGACTACAGATTGCAGAAGAAGGTTTGTATTTTAACTATTTGAACACTGTTAAAATCTCTGACAAAGAGACCTTTTTGAAGATGAAAATATAAATTTCTCTCTTCTAAACTTATGATGAGTCCATTTAAACTTTCCCATTTGTCAGTTTATAAGAGTTTCCAACTTTATCTCTCAGTTTTCTTTTGATCATATTTGCATTGAAAAGGCGCGTTATAAATTTTTAAATTATTATTATTATTATTATTATTATTATTTTCTTTTGCTGAATGAAGGCAACAATATATTGTAGAAAGCTCAATTGTGAGTCAGTACACCTTTGAACTTAGTTTCGGTATATCAAAATGTCTTTTTCTAGACTGCTAGCAGTCCTTCGGAATAGTCAGGTCAGCGAGCATGTAACTTACGTATGAGCCCGAGAGAAACCGCTCTTCAGCTCCCTTCTCGGCTAGTTCGCTCTCTCAAGGTCGGAACACATTAGGCGACAAGTTGCATCAATAAGTGGGGGCGAAACAAGTCGCACAAATTCTGTCTGATTTGATTTTTTGCGACACGTTGCTGCGACAAAATTCTGTCGCGGAGACAAAGATTTTCACCAAAAATTCTCCAGTTAACACAAAGCGATTTGTTGCTGCGACGTGTCGCCGCTAAATATTACTTCAACTTGTCGCCTACTGTGTACCGACCTTCAAGTCTTCCCAATCCTCGCTCGACAGACTGAAAAGGAGCTGACTGCTAGTTTAGCAGTCTTGTGTTTTCTCGTCTCTTGTTGAGATTGAATCAGAATCCAGAAGTGTTTTCTTTAGTCTTAAATGCTTCATACCCGAACAAAAAACTGCTTTAAAATCTTGACCCAGCTGCTATTTTTACTTCTACAGTTTAAGTCAATCAACTAGTCTGTTCCAGGTATTCATACTGTATGGAAGGTGCAAAGAGGTCTGACAACCTTCCACTCTTCCTCCTTAACTTTTCTTGCTCTCTGACTTTGCGCTGCACTCCCCTATTTGAACGCCTGGAACAGATTATAAATCAACCGGATAATGGTCAAGTCGTATAGTAGTATTTAACCGTTAAAATGCCAAAATAATAAGTTATGGTTTTTCTTCTTGTTGATTTGATTCACTTGCCGCCTTATGCCTTTAGTGTTCTCTAAACACGATGCTACCAGTGATTTCATTTTTCTTGTGTTAACACAAATCTCCTCTGTTTGCAGAACAATTCTAGCGTACTTTGAGGACAAAGTTGATAAGAGCATTGGTGGTAAAGATGACTGCTGTGATATATGTCGCAATAGGTTTGTATCATGAAAAAGAAAAGAGTAAACAAATAAGCTGGGTACGAAACGACCGTCAATCGTTCATTGGAATCAATCAAGGTAACATTCAGGCGTGTCTAAACGGGAATTTTGTATGGTAGACGCGGGATTCATAGGTAACCTGATAGTCACTGCCACAATGTTATTTCTTTGGTAGCGGCGTTGAGATGTGCAAGGTAGACTTTTTTGACTCTTTGGTTTTAACTTTGTCCGGACTTCATGACCCACCACATAGGCTAATTTTAAGGTGATGTTACACGGAACGATTCGCAACGACGATATTTAGCGCAACAAAGCTTTGCAACATTGTTGCGACATTGTTTCGAATAGTTCCAACATCGTTCCAACATTGCAACGCCGTGTTGCGTTAAAAATCGTCGTTGCGAATTGTCTGGTGTAACATCACCTTGAGGTCCCGTCCACACGTATCCGTTTTTGTTTTGAAAGCGGAGGTTTTTTCTCCGGTCTGAACTATCGTCCACACGCATCCGGCGTAAACGGTCACCGAAAACGCATCGTTTCAAAAACTCTGGCTTTTCGTGAAGACGGACGAAAACGGAGGTTTTCAAATACGATAATGTCATATGTCATATACCACTAGCATTATGCATGCTGTGGGAGTTATGCAATCGTCTTTCCATCGTTTTAACATGTGGACGCGTAATTTTTTGGAAACGTAACTGAAGGGAAAAAATCTCTGTTTTCAAGAATATCCGCGGATACTTGTGGACTGGGCCTTGGTCGGGCATTGTCCAATGATCGACTGTTACTCACTGCAGCGATGCCAGTTTATGCACCTATCCTTCAAACAGTGACAGCTGTAAATATCGCCTTCATTAGGGCCCTTAACCCACATGTGAAGATGGACGACAAGAGAGATTTCACAAAGGAAGCTAAGCTGCTCCTGAATGCCATACTGGTAAATACCTTGATTTTATCTAGTCTGTCTTGAACATAGCCTTCCCATGCAGGCGGTTGTAAGGGAGTCGCCATATTTCCTCTCTCCCTAAGGGAGAAAATATGACTTCCCTAACCATACCCTGTTCGGATCATTTTCCATTTCTGGGAAACTGTCAACCTACCCCTCCCCTAAGCCAACATTTTGCCCTAAGTGAGAAGTAAGTGTTAATAGGGACCTTAAGATCCGACAACGGCGACGGCAACGAGGACGTCAAAAAAGCAATAGGTTTAATAACCAAAACAATTTTGCACGTGCATCACGCTCTTTGTAGATTTTTTGCCCTCACTGCACGACTACGACATGAAAATGCCTAATTTCACGTTTTACAGAGAAAGTACAAAAGCGACGACGAAATTTCCTCTCGGCTATTTCTGAACTTGCATATGGTTCTTAGGAATTCAACTTTAGGAGGGTTCACCTACATTTGACAAATTTAGTGACTTGAGTAACCGCGATGAAGATTGAAAGAATGCGAATTCACTTTTCAGCGACATTTTCGCTGGCGTCGCTGTCCTCGGATCTTAAGGTCCCTAGTGTTGGCTTGGAGGAAGGTTAGGTGAGCAGTTTCCTAGAAACGTACAGTGATCCGCCAGGCGTTCAGATAGTGGAATGCGGTGTGAAGTCAGAGAGTGGGGAAAAAATCAGGTGATGTGATGACGAGTGTTGCTAGTGTTACGATTGTTGTCCTTGTGACGGGTGTTGTCCCTGTCGACTAGATTTGTCTCTGTGACGTGTGTTGTGTAGAACACATGTCAGAACAGGCTACCCCAACTACTCTTGCGTGGAAGACTATCTTGAACACATGTCATGGCTGATTGTTAGGTTATTTACTGACCTGTCAGAATTTCGTTAGAGTGTAACAGTCTCTGGTTTTTTCTTTTTGGTATTAGCTGACTGGGAATGGTAGGTTTGGCATTTCAGTTCCCATCCTGATGCTGAGAGGATCAGTAAGTATAAATACGTTTGTCTTTAGGCAGTTAGCTAATTCAGTCGTACAAAAATTACAGTTACTGTATGGTACTTTTTAGAACAGCCAGAAAGTGCCACCATGGCTGACAAAGAAGAAAGAGTTTGGTGCTGGCAAGTGAGTGAACATAACTTCCTTAGATGCAATAAGTATTTTCGCAAAACAGTCTGTAATTAACTTTGTTCATTTTGACGGTCACATTGTAGTCAAGTAATTTCGATTTTATTTTCTTAATAGCTTTCACTCAGACAAATGGTGGAAGAGTTTTGGTAAGAATTTTGTCGTCACAGCATAGAAGTTCCAATACCCTAGCCTTGCCACCATATTTTTACAATAAGAACCTGTAATTTAATGACTGCAAGCTAAAAGAAAATTGCAACAAAACTGGCCATAATGTGTTTTTGGTTTTGCCAGTAAAAACTATAGTTTTCTTGTCTCTGACAAGTTCAAGTCATGGTGTTGTAATAAAGCATTAAAAAAAGGAAAATTTCAACTCTGTTCTCATTTGCTTGGACACACCTTGGTACTTTCTTCTGCATAACAGATGCATGAAGGCGACTTTTAGTAGAATTCATAGACATTTTGGGATGCAGTGCTCTCATTTATAATCCATAAAATAAAACTAAATGATTATCTTCTGGCCTCGTTTTGTATATACAAGTTCAGGTTGTAGGTGCAGTTATTTTCCCAACTGCAATTAATCTGTTGTGATGCTTTTTGCTGATGTGAGTAGTGTCAAAAATGCGTCCAGCTTACTGGTGATTTGCTACTTCTTTGATGTAAAACACAGGTCGTCAACTCTTGAATCTTGGTTTTCTTCAAGAAAAAGCCAATCCAGGAGGATTTGGCTCGCTCACAGCACTCACAGGTAAAAATACTAAGGTGATCTTCTGTGGTACCTTTTACACGTAAATTCTTGTATGGTATTATAGAATGAAGCCTTCTTTTCTACTTAGAACAAAGTCACGCTCGCCCTTCAAACTTTGCTACAGAGATTCAAGAAACCTTTTCGTTTTGTTTGTAGGAAAAGGCGAGAAATGGCTCACAGAAGCTACATGGGACGAGTCTGTTAAAATGGAGCTGACACCGAACCAGGTTAGCTTATTTTCTTTGCGTTAGTTTTAATTGAAGTAAGTACAAAGCCCCATGTTGGAGTATTGGGAATGCGTTGGGTCGGTAATGCATTCCGTCCATATTATGCGCACTGGCCTGTTTTCATACTCACGTGCATTCTAGCCTGGGACTAGGCTTTTTGGTTAGGAAAAAGGGTGAACAGAGCCCTTTTGGGTTCTAAGGCGAACACAACTACAAGTACGAGATTTTGTCAATACTGAGTAGGCGCGCGGGTGAGCCAGCGTCATTTTGGTGGGAAAACGTGGTAGCCCTCGAAATTTTCAGATACAGGATTTAGCGAAAATGTGGTGGTCGCGGAAACAAGTTACCAACGATTAGATCAGGCCCCGGTTGTTCAAACGTTGGATAACGCTATCCACCGGATAAATCACTATCCTGTTGATAAGTATTATGAAAATCAATTGCATTATCCACTGGATAGACTTTTATCCGACGGATAGCACTACCCAACGTTTGAACAACCGGGGCCAGAAGTTTTATCATTTTTCGATCGGGTGGGGGCTGAACCTCCTTCAATAAAGTACCGTAAATCCTCTATCAAGCCTCCCCTCTCTAATAAGCCCCCTCTTTTCAGGGGAAGAATGTTAATAAGCCCCTCCCCTTCTCTATTAAACCCCCCTTCCCCTCCCCCTCATTATTCTTAACTAGTAAATAATGGACTGTATTAATCAATCACCACTGTAAAACTTTATTTGTCCTGATCCGGGATGGTTTTTTCACGTATTGGAAATTCCGATTGGATGCATGATCTCCATCCTTGGGATTGTTTAGTCACCGTGTTAGCTAAATTAAATACCCCCGGATTTGTTGCCCCCAACCGTTTTTGAAAATAAATAAGCCTCTGGGGGTGAGGGGGGTATAGAGGATTTACGGTAACCGTGCTAACTATTCTGGTGAAAAAAATGGTGTATAGTTATTTGAGAATACGCGAAAAAACTTTTGAGAAGTTACAAGTAATCCTCATAGTCGTTCTCGTCCTCGAATCTAAAGGTCTCTAATAACGGGGCGAGCGCTAACCGATCTGGGGATTGAGGAGCCGCCCCCAGTCCGTTGTTTCGCCTGCTTCGCTCGCCGATTTTTTTTCCCCCCCGTCATTTGCCTGTTTTCTCCACCTAGGTACCTGGTCCCAGACTATGTGCATGCCACCATTTGTGTTCTATGCTTATTAACCCTAAATTTTATCATTTTTTTTTTTTTGGTTGAGGCGTGTAGTGTGTTATGCATTAGTGTAAGATCAAATGTATTACGCAAACTGAACATTCACCCCTGTCCTGGCCGTTAACCCTTACTTAAATACACCCTGCCTTATGACTAATATGAACTGACTGATATATGTGGGATTGTTTTCTCCACAGGATCTTTTGTCGGCAGAAAAAGAACCTCGAGCTAAGTAAGTTTAGTTTTTTTAACAAAGAATACTCTTCATCATGAGAGAAAGATGTATGGCCGGAATTGGAAATGTCTGCTGTTGCACTTATGAGTTTGGCTTACGTTTCTAACTACGTTAACCCAAAAGAGCAACTTTTGCTTTAACGTGGCTCCAAAGATCCGTTCTTAAAATTTGTGGGATGATGGTTTAAAAGACCTTCTGAGACAGAAATAGATGATAAATAACCTCTATCCCCCAGGGTAATTTTGTTGAATTTCGTTGTGTATCCTGCTTGGCTTATTGTATACTGTTATTTTATACCATTTCCTCATTAACGCGTTGTCGTATATCTCCGCCTGTTTTATGTTTTTTCAAGAATCATACTCCCTGTCGCTGAGGTCGCCGCTTCAACATGGCACCAGTATCCGAATCATAGCGCTCAGGTTGCCATGCCTACAGTGCAACCTATACAACAAAAGCCAGTTATTGATGAAAAAGAACTCGAACTTCAAGTAAGAAACTCTCCGATATATGTTTTGTCTGCCTGTCACCGAAATTTTTTTTGTTCTGGTTTTAAACAATTGTCTAGTTTAAGTGATGTGTAGCAGACGTGTACAGTAAAAAACGTCCCCTTTCCCGATTTTGCACAGTCAAAAAAAAAAAATGAGCTGGTTGTTTTAGAACTTTCACTACGTTTATTATATATTTATATTTCTTTACTTGTTTTTATATATATTTTGAAAATCAACAGCAGCAACTAAAAAAAGAAAGCTTCATTGTGACAAGGATAGTTTTGAAGGAAATAAAATTTCAGTATAGATCCATAATATCCAGCGTAGCAGTCGTGTCCGTTTCCGTTAATCGAAGCGGGAGAAGCATGACTCGCGAAGAAAGGACCAAAACCCGACTGTTACGCAGGCTAGATCCATAAGGACCTTTTTAATATTGCAGATTTCGAATTTTGCCGGTCCGATGAAGTTGTTTGATCTCCTTTCTATGTTTTACAGGGTTCTTTGTATAGCAAGCTGATGAGACTTAGAACGGAACTATCTCACTCGCTGGATTGTCCTCCTTACATGATCGCTACTAACAAGATTCTTTTGGAAATTGCAAAATACAGGTAGATTACTTTCAAAAGAACGAGAAATTTATAGCTACTGAAAATAATACATATTTGTAACGTGTCAGTATGTTGTTGGTAAAATCGTTTTCGGGGTTAAATAAGTATTGTTTTTGTTGTGGAAATTGAATCGTTAAACTTTGACTTGATTGTAGACCATCTACCATTGACGCACTCTTGATAGTAGATGGAGTTTCTGAGAGGCAGTGCGAACGATTTGGGGAGCAACTCGTAAACTGTGTGGCCACTTTCTGTAAAGAAAACAACCTTGAAGCCGACAAGTTCAGTATGGATCAACCCGATTCAGGGAGCCCCACAACATCACAGGTATGTACTGTAAGGTATATTTTTCAAGTCGGGAGGAAGACTGGCCCAAGTTGTTTTGCTTTGCTGTTGCGTGTTTTGATTTTCCCGTATGGAGAGAGGTCGGTAATACAAGTAAGCTCATAATTCGACCCACCGATACCGGTAGCCAGTGTCGCCACTGTATGCTGATGCCCAAACTTGCTCTTCATGTCACAATATAAAGGGGGCACCAGCTATTGTCCTCTCATTACATTACATTACATTACAGTACAGTATAGTACGTTACGTCTTTTCACGTCCCGTCACGACACGGCATCACATCACGTGACATCACATTACAATTGCAGATTATCGGAAGGCAAGCAGATGTATGAGTTTCCGTGTGAATTTAAGGTTGATGGTCCAGGTTTGAGGCCTCCCCCTGTTTTTCGCCCGCTTCGGCTGTATACTCTTGGCCTTTTAACTGTAATTTAACCTTGTTTTATTCCGAAGCCGATGTATGATAAAGATCAATCGAGATATAAGTTTATTTCTCACAGAGTTACGTAGCAGAGCCCGTAGGAACTCTCCGACGTGAACTGAGTCAGACCGTTATAACCACGTATAACCTCTTCCATGAAAAGCAGATGACTATTGTGAGTATTTCTAAACAACACATTTCATTAGTAGTACGTGGATGTAACCATAATTAGATTGGACGGTTTCCATTTAAGTCGATAACAGCCAAAAACAAGGGAGGTAATAAAAAATACATGACGAAGTGGCAGCACTTACACCAAATGGTTCTTTGTCCATCGCTGTCATGTCGGATTGAAGTGGACTTTGCACTTGTTGACTTTTGAAGAGAGCAGAAAACCGGACTACCCAACTTCAAACTTAACCCACGTATGACGTCGCTACCGGGAATTGAATGGCTACAGTGGCTGGAGGCGAGTACTCTCACCACCGCGCCACCTTTGCTACCCTTGTTTTGCTCTGGCCAATCAAATCGACCTAGAGGTTCCAATAACCCAATCAGCCTGCTGAAGCGGATACATTCAGCTGGCGCAAATCGGCTAAGCGCGGGAAAATATTAGACTACATGTCAGACTTTTTCTTGCTATCTAACTATCCCATAGATGCCATATTGTAATCAGTAAATCTTTAATTGTACACTGCGTTTAGCGTTTACCGAAATACTAAAGCGCGTTCTCTTTCAATAAACTTGATTATAGAAAGAAGTCGCCAAATCGCGGAACTTTGTTGAAGGAACAATATTTGGTCACCTCGCTGATGCTCTAAAGGCTGGGTATCCTGTGGATTACAAGAGGGGTACGTGTCTCTGTAGTTCTCTTAGTGGCCTATTCCTTTTCCCATTATCCCTATTTAGTATTTACCAAATCAGTGAATAGCAATTTCGCGCGTTTTGATTGGCTCCCGTAACTCGGAATATCCTTGGCTATTCCCTGTTTTGCGACCGGAGCGACTTCGAGACATTTTGGGAAGACGAAATTTGGGCGTTAAATGAATCAGTCGTATAAACAAATACCAAGAAAGGTACGAATTTTGGCTTGTTGGTGTTCACTCGTAGGTAGAAAGTTTTTTCATGCTGAATTTGCAACGAAATTGCAAAATGCCCTTAACAAAATCCCCGAAATGTTTGTAAATTGTAAACAAAGTTCCTACTAAGTCACGTTTTTAATTTACAAAAAGTTACTTTTTTCAGTTTTATCCAACTGATTTGGTAAATACTAAAACAACTATCCCCCTCAGGGTCGGTGAGCAGCGCTAGCACCTCCCCTTCGGAGGATAGTTGTATATTAGAGAGATTAAGATTCACGTTTACGCCAAACGGCTGACGTGAATTTGTACCACGTGACCAAGTTTTCGCCTTATTTTCCGTTTGCTCTTTATTGGTTCAACACAAAAATAAGTAGCTTTATGCCAGTTTTAACCATAGGAATCGTTCGGGACTGTTCTTATCTGCTTATTTTCTGCTCTGAGAAATTCTCAACTTAAGTCTGACGTTTGCCGTTTGCGGTAAACGTTAATCTAAATCTCTCGATTACTTTAATTTTCCCCTTGTGTTTGTCCTGCATCCTTTGGAGAAACAGTCACATGTTGCAGGGCCCAGGCTAACTAGCTAATCGCAGCTTCCCCTTTCTTTACTGCCGAACTTTCTTTTTTGCCGGATATATGTGATCTGGAGACCTAAAGTTGAATTTTCTTTGAAAAGATAGACACACAGTCTTCTTACCAAATGCATCGCGGGATAAACGCAGCGCTTTCTCTTGGGAGGCGATTTACCTGCGTTTTGATACTCGTAGTGACCTTTAGATTGGACGAAGAGTTAGAGGGGAAGCACGACTGTGGTAATTAGAGGCAGATATATTTTCACAATTTTTACTTTTGCCGGTTGTTTTCCGGCAGATAGAGGAACTTAAGGGATAATATTGCTTAGCCTTTTGATCGTATTACGTTTCGCTTGCTTTACTATCTTGAGAAAATTAAGACACGTCTTTGTGGCTGTGGTTTAGTTTTCTAGGCCCCTGCTGGTTGGTTACGCCTTTGAAATCGTACATTACACCAAGCGAACCTAAAGAGTTAAACACGGAGGCATTCACTCCTAATGGGTCATCTGTTATTTTTAACAAACGTTTCTATATTTTGTGTAGCCGGACTCACCGATGACATCCAGGAGTTAGTAACGAAGACTATCAGGTCGCCTCCTATCAATTCAGGTATAAATGCATCTTTTCTCGTTCACTCTGAATACAGTAAAACCCCGCAACTAAGAATCTGGATTTTTCCAATTTAGCCTAAACAGGTTCTTATATAAATGGTAGTTAGCCCAAGGTTCTTGAATAAGTTCTTATTTTCTGAAGAAAAAATGCAATAAAGCTAAGAGTGTGTAGTGGTTGAGCTTATTCTTATAAAATCTACATACCAAATTAGAAGTTGTGTAGAAATCATCATAAAGAGAAGAACCAAAACGTTGACCTCAAGAATTTTGAAGTCCTACTTCCAAAGAGGATTCTTAATGTTGACTTAATTCATCTTGTTCGCCCAAGTGTGCAGAATTTATTCATATATGTTAGAAAGTAAGGACCTTTTTCAAATTTTAGGCTTAACAGGTTCTTATACAGAGGGGGGCTTAACGGGCAAATTTTAGCTTAACTGGTTCGTGAAATCCAAGTTCTTAGTAGCGCGGGGTTTTACTGTAGTAGTGTTCAAAAAACCTTTGGTTTAAGATCAGAAATTTGCTAGATTAAGAATAGGGCATTCAGAGACTATTTTTTGCTCGCAGGTTTTATTCTTGCTGCGGAAAGGGTTTCTGGTTATTGTGCAGTGTGTGGAGTATTCATTCCACAGACTATCTCCTGAGTGGTGGAAAAGTTTTAAAAAACCAGTTTACTGAAATGTTTGATACTCGTAGAGTAACGAGAAGCACATGATCCCCATCTCACGCCCTCCATTACTTTTTTTTCCCGTTTCCACAATACATTTTGCCCCGTGTAAGGCTTGGATTGTGGATTCCAGGCTGTGGTTTGCGGATTCCAGGAACTGGATTATTTACGGATTCCTTGTAATTGGAACTTGGATTCCAAGTTCCTTGAGTTGAATTCCGGATTTTTTAAGCGCAGGATTCCCGATTCCATAAGCAAACATTGCCCGGATTGCGGATCACCTTACATGCCATGGGGTTTAAATCATAACTTTTAATCCGTTCGCCCCGGTTCTGACTTCGCCCCGTATTCTAGAACGAGGAATATTACATTTGAAGCGCGCTAAATGACTCGAAAATAGGGAGGGAGGAAGTTATCGTTTCCAAAGGAGTGTAGAGAAAGTCTTGAAATTTGCTCACAGCGAGTGCTTTAAGCCATCTTAGTTTTCACAATAAATTACTGCATTCCTCTTTTCTTTTTTTTTTTAGACATAAGCAAGTTATCAGTTATCAAAGAACGCTTGCCGGATCACGTGTCCTATGGTCACATTAAACTGGTCATCGCCATTTTGGAACTGTCACATGGGGTGGCAACTTTTAGCGGATCCGATTATCCTCTTAGCCAGAGTTCCTTTACGTCCAGCACCCGACCAGTGAAAGCCCCTGGGAAACCCCCAAGGAAACCCCACCCTACTCCTAAAGAAAACACCGCGAGAAAACTACCGGTCTGGCTGTCTGGAAAACCTGGAGGAAAAAGAAAGAATCCCTTTTAAAATGAGGGATATTTGATCCCTTTGAAGGTGTCTTGTTTGGAATATTCAAAATTTGAGTTTAAATTTTTGCGACATTGCTTAATGCATCGAATGAGGATAAGATTTTCTTGTTCGAAAAATATCATTAAAAATACAAATTAAGAGAGTATGTCAAGTTAGTGCCACATCTCGTGGGATTCTTCAAACTTTCGAGTAATTGTACGTTTTCTTAGACGTACCAGAACGCATCAAGGGAATTGTAAGTTTGCTTTGTTGATCGTCAGCAGTCGTATATTTAAACAGTATAAATATTTTTGTAAATAAAAAATTAGTTGAATGACCATTATAGTTTGTCTGTGTTTTGGTATTATAGGTTCTTAATTTTTTCTGGCGAGGAAACGGTTAAAGGTTTGTTTAAAGCGGAAAGTGCACTTAGCTTACACCCAGCTACTTAAGAATGCAGGCGCTCCACTTATATAATTAGAAACAAATAACCTAAATAGAAAATAACAGCATTAATAATCCCAACTGACAGGAGGCAACCAGGTGGCTATTTACAAGCGTGGCCGTGGATTTAAAGTCGGGACAACCAAGAACAAATCGAGCAAGTAACCAGAGTAAGACTCGAACCCGGGACAGCGGGATTGCGAGTCCGAAGCGCTGACCTCTCGGCCATGTTGTTAACTTTCGATCTGTTTTTTTTTTTGAAGAGACGCAGAGGGATAATAGGGAGAGGGCGTGACCTCAGTCTACAGTTGAACTGAACTGTACACTGTTTTGTCCTGCCTCGTCTTCTTGTCGCTATTTTTCTTTCCTCCCGCCTGAATCAATCTCTTCTTTTTTTTTGCGAGTCCTACGATCCTTCCTGGCCTATCCCTGGCTCTTTGCCCTCTCCCCTTCCTACCACCCTTTCTCCTTCTGATTTAATTTATTGGCTTCGCAAAAAGTTATAACTGTACATACACCTAATTGCAATAACATTGTAACCAAAAAATCCTAAAAGGGAAAATTTAAAAAAAGGAAAATGCCAAAAAGGAATCAACTAGGCTTTCTAATAATCTTGAGCACTGGCGTGTTTAGAATATGTATGCCATATACAAGAGTATCAATTGAATTACTCCATCATATAAGTTAAGATCTCTGCAGAGAGAGCAAACAACTGCGTACAACCTCAGGGGCGCCTAAAAGTTAGATTTACCCAATGTAAGAACAATGCCACTCAAGTGTGGGAAACGCTGACTGATAGCATTTTAACTTCCGAGACACTCGTCGCATTATTCAAACGGGTACTGCTGTGTAGCTTTTAGACTAGACTGTTTGTATGCGCATACGTAGTGATTTTATTAACTAATTCATTTATTTTTGTTTGTTGATTTATTCTCGAGGATACTAGCCCTTACGAGCTACTCTAGCTACTCTAAATCCGAGTTAAAATAACGTTAGCCGCAGTTTTGAAAACGATACCATCAAATAGACCTCTTCCGTCAAACATTTTTTTTCCCCTGCCAAAAAGTATGTTTAAAGTAGCCAATAAGAGTGCCAACATTGCTTTCTTGTCTTCTCCTCCTTCCTCTTCACGGTTTCTTTTCTCTTTACCTTTCCTGTTGCTGGTTTGATTTTCGAGCTTACCGGGCAAAAATACCCTGCCTCTTCGGCCTCGTTCACTCAAATGGCTTCAAACTTCGTTAGGTTCGTTCATTCGGCTAGATATGTATATTTATGTAGCTGCGAGGGCTACCCAGTCCAACCGCGTCCCCAGGGCGCTTCTCCCTGGCTACCTTGTCTGCATACCAAGACAATGTGAACCATGAAGGCAAAATCCATTAACGCAGGGGGTAGGTCTAAAAGAAACCGGCCTTGGTTTTTCGCTAGCCTGCGTAGCAAGCGTTTCCAATCGAGTTATTGCGCGAAAGTTAGAGCGGAAGCCAAAAAAAGGTTTTTTTTGCTCTTGTCCCGGCTTTCTAGACGAACCTCGCGAGGAAACGCTTGCTACGCAGGCTAGTTTTTCGCCGGTGGAGGAGTGAAACCCCAGGGGTACTGAAAAAAGTTTTACACGGGGAGGCTCCTCTCCAAGGTCCAAGCCCTTACCCTTTTACCTACCATTTTTGACGTTACTGAAGTAGCGGGAATTACTTCTTTTGTAGCCTGAAAAAAGCCTATGATCGAACTGCTCGAAGCTGGGTTACCTGAGGACCCGGAGCCTCTATCTCCACTGATTTCTTGAGTCAACCCTTTCCCGAGTAGATTTATAAATAGAACGGCTTGTTGCTCGCAAAAAGTGTCATCCCGCGAGGACTATAAGACTGTAGAATAGGACTGTCACTACGTCGTTGTGATTGGCTCTTTCCACTGTCGACGTGAGACGCCTCCTCTGGGAACCGTTCTAATTATAAACCTACTCGGGAAGGGGTTGACTCCAAGAGCTTGTATGGGAGACGTAGGCATCGGGTCATAGGGTCCTGTAAGTGATGAGCATGATCCTCGGTTATCTATAAACAAAGAGTATGACTTTTCATGATAAGAACTAAAATCGTTTGTTGCCTTGTTATATATTGCGGCTTCCACGCGTTGCAGGAGTTTGAGCGTTATTAGTCTTCGAACAGGACTTGTTGCCAACCTCATTAGGAGAGAGAACCTGGGAACAAGGTTGGGCTTGATAATTGCCAGAAACGTTATGATTTCAGGGGCTGTTCCCACTGAGCAAGTCCTGGGGGAGGGGGGACTCCCCTATATAAGCCGTATAGGTTGGTATGTGCCACCCTAAGGGTACAGGGGTTTTTGCGGCGTTTTAGTCCGAAAACCTCCGAAAACGGGTATAGACTTCACCTATTTTGGTCTGGAATCGGGTATGGTTTTCGAGGGAACTGCCGGGAGTATATGAACTCCACATTAGACTAAGAAAGAAAGAAAAATATGCAAATTCGGGTCTGAAAACGGGTATGGATTTTAGGGCGCTTTCCATTTAGGAAAAAACCCCGGTAATTTCGGTGGTAGCAAAAGTGGAATTTCCAATTGGTAAAAAGTTGTTCCATTTGGTCGTAAACCCCGGTACGTGGCGGTGCCCGACCGTGGACCTGGAACTGGTACAAAATACGAGAAACGTAAATGGAACACGACTTTCCGTTCAGAAATTCCAACCGGGAAAACGGGACCACCTTTTTAGATTTTCCACCTTTTCTGGGAATTTTCCAGTGGGACGAACCGACGAAACGTGTTCCATTTACCGCCGAACCGGAAATTCCGGAAATTTTGACTAAATGGAAAGCCCCCTTAGAGACCAGGTCTGAAAACGGGTGTGAATAATGACATTTTTTGGTCTGAAATAGGGTCAGAATTTGGAGAACCGGGCGGCACACCCCCAACAAGAATACTCAGGAGTACCCGGCAGGCCCCGGGCAAGTTTTCTTGAAACTTGGGTCGCCAAGAAACTTGACAAGTTGCAAGAAACAGTCGCTCAGTGTGAGAAGGCCTATATCAAAGCCTATAAATATACTGCTATTTTTCTTTCTTTTTTGTGTCGCAACACGCAAGAGTTTGGAACAAAAGGGGTTAAGCAAATTATGCTAATTCTTGATCTCCATTCGCGGGAAATGATGAACCAATCAGATGTGGCGAACATAATCTCGAAAGCGTGGTGAAAAATTACCCAGCATACCTCCGCGTCCAGAAAGAGGAGAAAGATGGCGTCAGCGTTAGGAACGTTTGGTTCTATTGGAACTGATGTCGGCCAATTTCAGTATCCTCATGGAATAGCTGTCAGCAGTGCTGGTGAAGTTGCTGTTGTAGATACTTGTAATCATCGTGTCCAAGTGTTTAGCGCCGATGGACACTTTCAGAGAGTGTTTGGAAGTCAAGGAGTGGACGACGTCGGTTGCTTGAATTTTCCTGATGGAGTAACCTACGATAAAGAAAACAACATCGTGTTGGCCGACTCGGATAATCACAGAATATCGGTTTACTCATCAGCCGGGGAATTTATACGAAAGATCGGCGAACATCAAATGAAAAATCCTTGGGGCGTTTGTTTGACACACGATGGCAACATAGCGGTGTGCAGTGGCGGTGAGAAGAGCAGTGAAGTTCAAGTTTATTCTACCGAGGGGGCATTAGTCATGAAATTTGGCGATCCTTCCACGACCAACCGACCTTCGTACGTCGCTAGCAGTCACGAAAAGTACTTTGTGTCGTACAGTGATGATCAGTGCGTGAGAGTGTTCGACAATCAAGGACGCTTTCTATCTAAGATCGGTGCAGCAGGCTTCGGCAACGGGCAGTTTAACAGACCTCGTGGACTAGTAGTTGACCAACATGGACAGTTGCTGGTCTGTGATGGCTGGAATAACCGGATACAAGTTTTTGATTTGGAAGGCAAGTTTCTATCGAAGTTTGGAAGTCGTGGGCAAGGTCAAGGACAATTAACTTTCCCGGTCGACCTCTCAATCGCCCCTGATGGACGTCTTTTCGTGAGCGAACTGAAGGGACATCGTGTTCAGGTTTTTCAAGGATTAGAAAAGCAAAGTTAAAGAGTATAGCCGCACAAAATGCTAGAATTTCTGTCAAAGAATTGATCACAGACTTGCATAAACTGCTTTTGTCGTACGTTCATACACTGGTGGCATGAATTACAGTTAGTCCTTTATTTGGGTTTTTTTTAATTCAACAGTTATATTTCCAGGACGTTACATGTCGATAGTCGACTAAAATCGATCGTTGTCGATAAAAATCGATTTCTTGTGATTATCGATTTCTATCAAAATTGGTGTTATTATTGACCTTTATAAGAAAACTCATTGCTAGAAAAAAAGGTTCAGAAGCAACAGTTTCAGTATCCGTTAGCAAATTATTAACATCTGTTCAAAAAGTTTTGGGCCACATTAAATCGGCGAAGGACAGTTTAAAGTCTATTTGAGCTGTTGCAATATTCATTTGAACGGTTTTATATCCGTTCGTAACAAGTAGTGTCTGTTAGCGTTTAAAGAACTCAGAAAAGTCTCTAAAGTCTATCGAAATTGATTGGCTGTACTGGGATCATTGTGATTATCAACTTTTATTGACAATTATTGACAAATATGGAGCACTTTTGACTTATAATCTAGCTTTCCGATGATTGATTGATCAACATGTAACTTCCTGTATTTCTTGTAGGCTGTACAGTCAAATTTCTATGTAGAAGTGAGCCATTTCATTTCATCCCTACCCAAGAAATTTTCTCTCAAGGCTCAAAAGTAATTTCTAAATATTATTGTTGATTGGTAGCCACTTGATCTGACAAAAAAAATGTCCAAGCAAGCGAAAAATGAGTCTTCTGGAGGAAGTAGTGGTGGTACTTTTCATTTTCTGTTTGTTTTGTAGGAAAAAAGGCAAATTACAATACCCATAGTAATGCAAATGGGGCGAGGGTATTATATTGAATGGTTAAGTTATACACCATCAAGCCCTGGAATTTCAAACTGCATAGTTAACACTTTTTCAGTTCTTGATCATTCATAGTGTCTCACGAGACTACATAGAATGAGAAAAACTTACTTTAAAGGAACTTTCATCGGGAATGATAAATAAAGAAGTAGGGAACAACACCATTTTTTGTCAAAAATGATAACAATATGGTACTGGAAGTGGTTTTTACGGTAAAATTCTTGGGCATGCACCATTGTGGCTGTTATTACTGTTAAACTCTGGAAACCATAAACACCTAAAATATTTCAGTAATATTTACTTTGTTGTGACCAATTCCAACAAAGATCAGGACATGCGAGCAAGTCACAAAACTATTAATAGTTGCTGTTAAGTTTTTTCTCGATTGATTTGCTTTCTTCTTGTAGCAGAATAACATTGGAGAAATAGTTCTGGTGTTCACAATTTTGGGAGTTTCATAGTGAAATAGTATGGTTTTATGTTAAATATTCTACACTACTACTGCTGTTTGTAGAGGAAGCTCTGGCTATACGTTTTAGTTTACTTTCATTCTACCTCTTTCAAAAAGGAATTGAGACTGAAATTGCTTTTTCGTTAAAAATGTTTTTGTTACATTTGTCCTTCCATTGAGCTTAAGTTTGAAGTCTTACTCTGCTAAGGTCATAGTAAATATTAAGTTGTGATAGTGATGATATTTTTTAAGGGAAGGCTGTGAAAGATTTTTCTGAATTTGTGTAGGATACTGCAAAACTATTCCTCTACAAATTGTCGTATTCTCCCAGTGTCTGCCATTACTATATAGGTAATATGGCAATCATTGTAGTCTCAGTACGGTTTGGGCTACCTGTGCACAGTAGAATACTAAGAGGGTTGGGATTCATGTGTTCAGCAATAGGCATCCGTGGGCATGATTGTTTTGCATCTTACAACTTTTGTTATAATAATTATTATAGCATTATATCCCAGGTTTATTCAAAAGTGTATGTATTAACTAAACAGTATTATTTATCAGCATAGTAAGCTAGAGAAGTGATTTAGAATGTCATCTGTGTTATTAATAACAAGTCAAGTGAGTGTTTTTTTAATCTGGCAAGGAGAAGGATTATTTCTCTGTGCTCTGTTTGCTGAATGACGAATACTCTGTCACTTATAATTTTGCACTAAGGAGGCAAGGTGAAGATTAGCCTGAGAAAACAGCTGACATTTTGTGATGCCATCACCGGTTACCCTGTGAAATGACATCTGAGAAACAAGCGCAAACATTCCGTACTGATGAGGTGTCAAGACCAGATCTGGGGAGTGCTTTTGATTGGCTGTGCCGAATAGGAAATTTGCTTCAACTAATCAGAACACTACCCAGATTTGGGTAGTGATACATCATCAGTATGGAATTCTGCGCGTGATTCTCAGATGTCATTTTTCAGGAAAACCAGTGGTTTCATCGAGAAATGATGGCTGTTTTCTTAGACAGGTCAAGATTTCAGAATTATGTAGATTAACAGTTACTCTAGTTTCATGACTATTGGAAAACGTCACACTTTTGTCCCTCAATAAAGTTGCAATTTGAAGTAATAACTTGATAGGTCAGTGTTTCTTTATCTATCATCATTCACCATGGAGCAGTTTAGGGCCAGCTGTAATCCAAATTTATAATAATATTGTCTTGATGCTTTGTTACTTTCAACATTAAATCAAAAGCTCAATTAAAACTGCACTCAGAGGAAAAGTACTGTTGAGATACTTTCACTTAAGATGGATTTCCACTGCCTCATAATTTTTACAATCCGCATAAATTCTATGCGCATAAATAAAATAGAAGCAATGTATGGAAGATCTCATCTAAGTGTGAAAGTTCAACCTTGCAGCATTTCATACATTGCCTCTATTACGCGACAGTGGAAATCCACCCTAAGTATTATCTTGGAACACTAAAAGTGTTGGGCCATCCATATAGTTTGTTGATAGTTCTCATTTTATACCTACTCTACAGTCTGTGGGTTCTTTGTTGGTCACTTGTCTGTCTTTTAGGGTTCAGTTGGAGAATATGGAGCCCAAGGACTCCGGTTAAGAGATTGACCTCCAGTATGTCTTCTTAGCTTGGACACCAAAGACCATAAATGGTTGCACACTAATGTTTATCATGTGTGAGGAGTGTCAAAAATGATGGAAAATATGAACCAAATTACAGTTGAAATTGCGCTTTAATGCAAATATTTCAAGGAGGAAGCCTGTTAAGAATTACAAAAATATCCTTTCTGCCACACTTAACTGTAAACTTTTCCAATAATATCATACACTGACCTGGCCAAAAGAATTCTAAAAAGGTCAATGATTCCTTCCTCTGAAAATTAGCAAAATCACCAACTGTATTTTACCCATAATTTATTTATGTGCCTTGTAAAAACTCAACAATAGTCTGCAAAATTATAAGAATCCCCCATCCCCTTACAAAGTTTTTTTTAATTTACTTTTTTCTCTTCATCCCTTGTACAATCAACTCTCACCTTATGGACACCCAGCTATAATGGACACCCTCATAATAAGGACAGCAGCTAAATGCCAGGCAAAAATAAATTACAGATGTTTGAGTGAAATAAACTCTTGCTATTACGGACACTCGCTAATGAGGACACTAACTCAAGTTCCCAACAGTGTCTGCTATAAAGGGAGTTGACTGTGCTCACAATGGCAACCTTGCTTGGAAAATAAATTGACACTGCAGGGCTGTCTATAAGGCTAAGGGCTGACGGGGACCATCTACTAAAGCCGAGGGGGGCAAGGGGGGGGTCTTGTCACATGTTCATGAACAACAATTTTGCCTTTCATGAGTCACAAAACAAATAGTGTAATTATTGACCTTCGATCTCGGCCACACATTGGGCTGATCTCTGCGCGGCTATAAATTCCTTAGGGAAGCCAGCTGTAGGTGGGTCTGAGTGCACTGAAGTGTGAAGTTACATCAAAAGACTCAAAGGTGAAGTTACCAGCAAATCAAGCCACCAGACGCTAGTTAAGGTCATGAGGCCAAATTAATGATATATTTTCGTCAATTGATCTTCAGTGTAAGTGTACATAATCAAGGATTTTGGCAGTTTACGTTTCATGGAGTGTACTTCAATCATGATTCACAGAACAGTTTTTTCAGTACATCACGATTCATGGGCACCAAAAATGGTCCATCACGGCACCACGAAAATAAGCTTGCCCCCCTCAAAGCATGACCACTGGCTACTTTCATAGGAAATAAAAGGAAAAAAACACAGAGGCAAAGAACTTACTAATAATACCTAGCAGCTAGAAATCTAGTTGACAGCCCTGCTCTGAGGGACAGAAATTTAAAAAAAAACATTTAAAATAATACTTTATTAGGACGTGATAACAGAAAAAATGGCACTACAACAAGGTTATAAAATAATGTTAAGCTCCCAGATGGATGGCAGTATCCACCAGACAAATTATTATTTCCATGGCCAGGGTGGAAAGCAATTTTTTATCTGGCTCCAGTTGTTCAAAAAGTGGATAGCACTACCCAATGGATAAATCACTATCCAGTTGATAATGCAATTGGTCTTCCTACTACTTGTCAGCTGGATAGCAATTTATCCGGTGGATAGTGCTATCCAACTCTTGAACAACCAGGGCCAATTGGATAAGGGTTTTGAACAACTGGGGCCAGGCTTGGATGGTCTTTTTTCTGTATCAGCACTTGCCAGCCAACACATCTTCAAATAAGAATATTGAAAGAAGTAAGACTTCACAGGCTTTGAAAAACTGTGTTTGTTGCTTGATCACTTGTTCCCTTTTACTTGGCGAACAGTCCGTCGGAACATGCTGGAGCCTCGCCACAAGTTACCCTGGAATAGAGAAGATTATTATTTTTTACTATGAAGTCACTTATAAACGTAAACTTGTTTCGAATCATAGTGTTTTTTCTTCCTTTCAAATAAAAAATAAAATTGTAAGATCTTGGTTAGCATTGACCATGCATTTACCTTAATAATAACTGAGTAAAAGGCATGGTTTTTTAAAGATGACATGTCAAAAAAAAACCATGCACATTGTGCAGTTTTACATAACTATTTTATACTTTGCAAGTATTATTCGTTAATTTTGAAATCACACATGTAATGCAGTCATAAGATAGATAGATTGATATTGACCTCGCACTTGTTCTTAGAAGGGAGGAATCTGTACAGCTTGTTCAAAGGATTACACAGGATGGAATTAAAAAGATTGTCACTTAAGAACTCATGGCACCTGTGTAAGGGGACTAGCCCAGTCATGGAAAGTGCCTCATCACACGAACAATATTATTGGATATGTGGTTATTCCGTGTAAGATCGCTAGATATCTGCAAACCTAAGATCTTAGCATACTCTTCACACTCTAAATCCTGACCATTACCGTTTTCCTGAGATGTTTAAAACAGTCTGTCCATCCGGAAAACACAGGCATAGCAGGGAGTTCACCTGCAGCAAGTCTAAACAATCAAAACAGAACAATACCATTATCAGATCTGATACCACATGACTTACCAAGCATGGCTTGATTTCATGCTTTCATTACCAGCATGCCATGCTTAAATTTTTACCACCTCCAACATTTAATGAACTAGCTGGGGAGATAGGAAAAATAGGCTTATTTACTGTTCTTGCATTGTCAGTTTTCATATATTTTTACATGAAAAGTAGGTAGTTCAAACTTGGCCAAGGAAAGTCCTGGGCCCTCAGCCCTTAACAACAGCCCTGGGTCAAACTTTTCTTTCAGCCATTTACCCACACTGTAAAACCTTTTACAGGAAATAATTATTGAAAACTTGACAGCTGCTCCCTTCTCAGGAAACTCCTTGAATTTGCAACTGCAGTTTTTACTGTGGTTATCAACAATCAGTGACAAAATAACTTGAGACACTTTGCCCTAAAGGGCCTCTCTGACATTTTCCCAACTTCAAAAGGGGAAAACAAAGCTTTCCCTCCCCAATCCCCTCCATGCGATGTTGTGGCACTGTTCAATTTAGAAAACAACAATCACTCCAACTTTGAATGAAGGGGAGAGGGGAGGGGTGTGGATTATTTTGTTCTCCAAACTTACCCCATATGAAGACAATGTGACCACTGTACTTAAATTTGGCCTCATGAAAATGTTAAGTGCATTGAAGGTTTAATATTGATTACAGCTGAACTCTATGGTCACACTTAAATAAAAATAAAGATAACAGCAAGACTAACCCAACATGGTTGACGATCATCATGTTTGACACCAGCGTAAATGGATATGTGACCACTCCGGCAACATACTTCAATTAAAAATTATCATTAGAAATTTAGGAAAACATGCATGTTTAATACAAAAAAGGAAAAATATATTAATACATTATTGGTTTTCACTGAATTGTTTTAGTGTTCATTCTGAAAAATATTATAGGTGAGGAAAAATTAACTTTATTCACTGGAAAATAATGGTCTGCAGCTAATCTTGGCTTGTATTAATAATAATAATAATGATAATAATAATAATATAATAAGACATTATTTTATATAGTGTCATTATCACTATTATTTTTGCTCATTGTACTTTACAATAAAAGTATAATCAAAATTCAAAGGTTAAAATTTAGAGGAAATCAATTACAAGTGAAATGCCAATTTTTAAAAAGGTAGGTTTTAAAATGATTCTTAAAAATGTCAACAAAGTTGCTCCATCTTAAATTTTAATGGGAGATTGCTCTACAGTTTTGGGACAGCTACAGCAAATATTAACATTTTAATGTATTATTTCATTTTTGTCCCGGCCGAACAGACAGGAATTTTTAGGTCTTTGTAGAGGCTGCCCTGAGTTGACCTACCACCTCATGACAATTGCCTTGAGTTCTCTGATGAATGCACTTTTCGTTAGTTAATTCACTGTAATATTATTGACTAAAGAAAAAAAATACACCAAAACTTACCTGAAAAAGGCCATTGGTGTAAACCTGTACTTCTTTTCTTCTACTAACCTTTAGTATAAAATCAGAAATAATATTACTGTGTAAATGAAGACAATACAGTGGAACCCCGCCTTACCAGCACCCCGTTTATAAGACCACCTTGTTATTATGGCCATATTCTTTCAAACCACACGTAAAACCATTGAGTCATTTTATTATTTTGAAGACCCCGTTAATGAGACCACCTCGTTATTACGACCAGGATTTGATGGCCCAACGGTGGTCGCATTAACGGGGTTCCACTGTACACTGAATAACAGTAATTTTTCTAAAATCAGTTGATGATAATAACTACAAGGAGAGTATCATGACGAGTAAATAGATGAGTGGCAATACCATGAATTTATTAATGAGGCCTTCTTAGCGGCGGGAGGGGGGGGGGTATGTACGGTCCTTGTCTGAATTTTATGTACAGACATTTCACATATTGAATAGGAGGTCATGCTGCTGTCATTATTTTACTATTGTATTAATTTTGTGATTTTCCCTGATGCTGTCCCAGTCAACCCATCTTCACGTTGTTTGTCGCCATTCCATCTGTCTTATGTTGCTGTTTCAAGGCCATGTTGCTTGTCAGAATTTAACCTTAAAAGGGCCTTATTAGAAAAAAGTGAAGAACAGCTTCCCAAAAAACTGTCGGCCAGCTGTCTGCCAACTGTCGTTTACAGTCTTATGTGAAATTTTTCTGCCAACTGTCAGTAATGGGTTAGACTGAGTTAGACTAGTAGATCAAGAGGGTGTTTTTGACAAGACCAGTTAGTCACCAAAATTCCCTGACTGGAACAAAGCACTTGCAAAGAGATGGGTGGTAGTTGGTGATGGGGGTTCTGGAGAGGGGTGGGGGTCGGAGATAGGTCAGGTGAGAGTCCAATGATGGCACATCCCACACATAACTTTTGCCTGTGAAATTGGGATTCTTTCTGCTCTATTGAATGTCATAAAAAAATCCATGAAGAGGTTCTCAAACTGACAGTTAAGGGTAGTCATAGGCAGGCTTACATTTCCAACATTCAGATCAGTTGTTTTTTATTATAAGTCCATACCTCACTGTCAATAGCATACTTGCTAACCAAGAAGCATGCTCCACGAAATAACAACAAGGAAAGGATCTCTCCAATGAGACGAGGAATGACACCACTTTAAAGAGGAAGAGTAGATGAAGAAAAGGTTGTTGTCACTAAACAAGCATAAACTACCACTTTTTTAAAAAATAAGCTAGATACTGAAGGTGCTGTGATTCATGAGTAAAAACATTGTTTTAGGCACTTGATTAAAAAACAAAAAAGATTTAAACAAAGATTGACAAAGACTTAAGGCCTTTTCTCCCTCTTTGAACTTTCTTCTTGTGTAAAACTAACTTTGTGAACCCTTTCCACTACACAGAGAAACTATTTTAGATGTAAGTTGACCAGTGAATGGGATGATTTAGGGAACCATGTGACACAATGCTGTTGATCAGTGTAATGAGTTGGAAGGCAATAACAAAAATTGAAAAAATAATATTATATACCTATGTGCAATTCTTAAGTACCCTTTTACACCCAGATGAAGTAATGGCTTGATTACTTGTTACTCTAACACTTAAATCTGTGGACAGAATTCTATGGGTTTACCGCGCATTCCTAAAAACTTTTGCGTAGTGCTAGGGTACATATTTCTGAGGATTTTACGAAAAGAAATTAGATTTTTTCAGAAAGAGATGAATAATATATTGAGACATAGTTCTTACCTAAAGAATCCAGCAATGCCTTCATTGTTGTAAATTTCTCTAATAGAGGTACGCAGACCACTGAAAATAAGAATGTAATGGACAATAGTTATTTCGGGGAGTGCTCTAACATTTAGTACTCTATCAATAATTTCAGTTTTTAGAATTTCATAAAACATTTATCATTTGCCATCAAACTAAGAAAACTAAAAATGCCAAAATTATTTCTGGAATGTTATGTCAACAGGATAGAGCCAATCATCATTCCACACAGGCTGTTGAAATGTCAGTCACTGTCAACAACAGTCCTATTCAGGCCTATCTTCACCTGGATAATTATGCTTAACCTGCTTATAAACTTTAAGCAGCAAAGGTAATCAGGTCGTTGTTTGTAGTTTGCCTTCATGTCCCGATCACTTAATTGATTGGTCATGACACAACAATATAAATAGAGGATATTACCCGGTGGCACGAAGATATGAATTTTATTTTCGAGTGGCAAAACAATATTTTACTAACGAGTGCAGTGAGTGAGCAAAATATTGTTTTTGCCACGAGAAAATAAAATTCATATCTTCAAGCCGCCGTGTAATATTCTTTTTATTAGATAGACAAAATGACATCGATAAAATAATAGAGAGAAATTACCAAAAATACGTCATCGATAAACTCACGTGTGAGATTATGGAAAATAAACCACTCAGGTCCTGGATGTAGTTTTTATGAATTTTATGAGTGGTATATTTTCTAGTAAAACACTTGTGTCTATATAATAATAACATATAATTCATTGCACAATACTGTAACTATGAAATATCGGTCAGTGTCCTAAGAGTACATAATGGCTGGATGTTGAATTGACCATGAAATGGAGGTTTGGTTTTTTCTGAGCAAAATATAAAATGTAAAAACTGATTCAAAACAGCTGACCTATAAATTGTCTCCTTTCCAACAAACTGGACCATCATCCGAACGGAGATAACTGAAAGTACAAAACACAGATAATATTGAAAGGTAACTTGTAAAGTTTTGGATTAAAAGAGAGCCATGAGTGTTCTGAGGTTAAAACAAAGAGACTTACCATAAAATGGATGACTGATTATGAGAGCACTGCTTTTTGCTACTACCTGCATGCAAGTCTGAAAAATGCATATGCAAAAAAAAAGTTGCTACTGACAACAAAAAAAAACATTTAGGTCTTTCCCTTAATTGTGGTGCCTTTTTCTGGTAAAATCATTTTACCAGAAAAAAGCAGCACCAAACTAAAGTAAATAATTGACACCAAGATAGATGTTACAGGTAAAAATTAAATTTAAGATTTTTAAACCTCAGTTGATTATATCAATTTCCTTTGTCCCTTAGTCCTAACTCAATAATAGTTAGGGCTAGAGGACAAAGGAAATTGAGAATCAAACTAGGGTTTAAAATTTTAAATGTGGCTAAATGTAATTTAGGCAAAGTTAAATTGCAAGCCAATGCAGTCAGCGGTCTCCTTCTCCAGCGTACATGATCTGAGGGGTGACTGCAGGGGCCTTTTGCTTATCTTGTGACTTACGTTGCATCTCACACTGGCATTTTCGAGCTGATCTTTGTGGATCTGTTGCTTAGTGAATCGTTGTGGATTCTGTTTAAAAATTTTAACCTGAATCTAATTTTGACATGTAACATAGCCATGAGAAAAAGTCCAAGAGTTGAATAATTTACTGGTACAAGGCACGGCGCTGGCAAGACTATCACTACGATTTCAAGTTGCCAGGTATTGCAGTTGAGCTCTTCAAATTCCATGACTTTTTTCATGACCTTTTTGAGTTTTCCATGACCTTAAGTTTAGCTGTCAGTTTCAAAAATTTTAAAAACTTTCCTTGTTTTAGGGTATTTTTTGACCTTAACAGTTTAACAGACATAAACTCTGGTGTCAACCAAAATGCATGTCGTGTGTACTGTTTAATTACTCCTCTCTATCTTCCATTGTCCTTGCCTTGTCATCTGCGGTAACTAACTTTATCAAACAAAACTTTAATTTTCCATGACTTTCAAGGACCAACATTTAAATTCCATGACTTTCCAGGCCTGGAAAATGAAATTCTCACATTCCATGACTTTCCAGTTTTTCCATGACCTGTACGAACCCTGTGCAATTTATTCATTAGGTGTGGAACTAAACAGTTAGGAATTTCATTTGATTCTGTTTACATTTTGTTTCCCACAAAAGTAACTAGCTAAGGGAAATCCCCAAATTGTGATCCCCAGTCTTACATGACAGCCCTGCCTGAGACATGAAATTTTAACGCAACTGTATGCATCACTTTCCACTAAGCATACTCTCAAACCCATTATTCGCCTTTCTGATACCCAGGGGCAACTAAACAGGGGACTCAACAACAATTTTAAATCTGTTGGGAAGGGATTTGAGATCTAATGAAAATATCAGTACCTAAAAAAGGACTTGATTTTACCCTAAAAAATACATTTAGGGGTTCATTTTATCAAGGTTCCTGAACAGATGAAAAAATTTTACTCAATAAGGTAATCACATTATTTGAAAATTCTCATTTTCACTAAAGGGATGAAATCAGTACCAAGGACTTTTTATAAAAAAACATTTTCACTGGAAACTTTTATCAAAAAATTGCCAGAATAAGGGGATGAAGAGTTTTGATGCAGATGACTCACCTCTTGAGCAAACTCTTTTAACTCTTCCTGTTTGGTCTAAAAATTGAAGAAACAAAGAAACAAAAAGTATGTCACAAGAAAAACACTCAAGTATTATTGTGATGAAGAGGTGGGATGGTTTAAGAGAGGCCTCAATAAAATTTATTTGTCAAAAACTCTTAGTCTCCTTCGTAGCTGTTTTTAGCCTAAAAAATCCCTGATAATGATGAATTTTTTGCCAAAACAAAATCCCTAGAGTTGGTTCATAAAGTACAGTACCAGTTTATACAGGGTTCTCAATAGAAGCCGGCACCCGGTGATTGATTGTCGCCTACTGTGGAACTTGTAGCCACTTACTTTGCATTCTATTTGCTGCTTTTCTCTCCCTAGTTTTTGGATTCCGTCTTAATCTATAACATGAGTTGACTTGAGTGGCAGAGTACCAAGACACAATCCCACAAAATTAATGATCTTTAAAAATCAAATTGACAAATCTTACCTTAAAATAAATACTGTACTATAAAAGGAACTATCAAGGTGTTGACCATTAAAAGGAAACAAACCTTGTTTTCTCGATTTACAATAGGAACGAGTGTGTTGCCTTTCGCAGATATGGCCTGATGAGCACAAACAATAGCAGTAATAATAAAAAAGATAAATTACACTTTGCAAAAAAGGGTTGTTACTTGTAAAAAAATAAACAGCTGTGAACAAGGTTTGCAAACTACTATTGTCAACATTAATATTTTTACAGCAGGTTGAACCATGACACAATATTTTCTCATGTCTGTGTATGTATACCTGCCAATTCTCATGCATTATGGGTGAGTCTCATGCTTGTGGACTAAAGACATCGATCTTAGACATCAAGGACAATTCCTCCCACCTGACTCACAAATCCGGACAAACATTGTTCTCACATGTTCAATAACAAAAATTCATTTCAATTTCCACGGAAATATTTCAAAAAGGCGAGGAGTGATGACTTTGTGTTCTAATGAAATCAAAACACATGAATATTGTTGTTTTTAAAGAGCTTTGGAAGTGCTAAGAGGTTGTAGGAACATCTTCAAACATTTTCAGCAACGTTTGGAAGTCCTCAGAAAATCACTGGAAGTTGCTGGAACGTTTTCTGAAATCCCGGTCATGACAAGGAGAAAATCTCACACATTTGACTCAGAAAAAGTTGGCAGGTATATATATGTGACAAGGCCAAAGTAGTCAAGACACCTTGCTGTATATAGATCTTTAGGCATAAAGCAGTCTGTTTTGGGTCTAGAAGATTCTGAACCCAGAAATGAAATTCAGTGGAAAGTAAAACATGAAACATTATTTTTTAGGGTTTTAGACCAGTTTAAGGGTGAAACTACTAGTCACTCTAACTTTTAAATCCATGTAAGTAAGTAAGTAAGTATGGTGTTACAAATCAAATGAAACCACTTTGGCAGAACAATCTGCAGACTGCTATTCATTTCTTAATATTTAACACAACGAAATCTGATTCTTTTGATTTCTTAGCTTTGATTTTCTCAGGCCACTGTAACTAGTTTAACCCCTCTATACAATGAGCATTTCAGTGATGCACACCTTGAGTTGGTGCCTGTTATGTTTCAGTCATTTTTTTTTAACTCTCCACGTGAAGGTAGATACATGTAACTCTATGATGCAAATGATGTTGTCACAGGGGGAGTTGACCATATTCCTGGGTCCTTTCTTACCTGTAAAACAGTATGGTTTACAAGAGTTCCAATCATAGATGAGTAAACTCTTGGCAGTAATCCTCGGTACAATCCACTCCAGCCATCCAACTTCTTGATGTGATTTGCTATTATAATATAAATCAAAACAACTAATAAAAATAAAATATAAACCAGTTGTTAGTCTGCATGAATGCAATACAGTGGAAGCTCTTCTAGGGGACACTCTTGTAAGTGGACAGCTCTACTTACAAAACCCCATTTCAACTCCCACGAAAACTATGTATTGTTACATATTTCCCGTAAGAGGCCACAGACACTCTCGGGGTATACGAGTCTGATTTTGGCTTTTAATCTCCCATAAGCGACACCAAAAATGAAATCTCAGTCTCCTTAGAATCTAGTATTTTAATATTCAAATTCAAATCGCTGTTCTTCACAATGAATTCATATCAGTTTCAATGTACTAACATTTCACATATACACATGTAGTTTCACTTCAAAGAAACACTTGAATATTATGCCTGTGTCTAAATTTCATCTTTGTCAGAACAAAAGTAACCTGAGTACCAGGCTAGGCAGGGGCAGAAATAGGGGGAGGGTGCAGGGGATACACACATCCCCCCCCCCAGGAGATGATCTGCGGCTTTCCAATACAACTGGTATTCTGCAAAATATGCAGATATGCATGGTGTGCATTCTCAGCAAGTTAACAAATAAAAAAAATAATGTTATTGCCTCGTCAAAAGCCTTTTTCGTATTCACTTTTAAAAGTTGTTTATGTCACCAGTCAGTTCCACCATCCCTTAGTGGTGTACCCCATCCTAAGAAAAATGCTGGATCCACTCCAGACAAGAAAGCCTGATACTCAGGTTAGAAAAAAAGTATGGCCAAACACTAACAAAAAAGTTTTTGCAATCCCAATTTTTATTTGTAGCTGACCAAGTTCCTCTAAGTGGCCATCTAACCCTTACACCTCAAGCGGCTACAAAGGACCAGAAAACCAAACTTGTAATGCATCAGTCAACAGTCAATTCCACCTGCGCCTAGCCCTCCCCCCAGGCTGACCCCCGGGCATTAGCATTTTTTTTGCCTTGGATGGCAAATTCCCGGGGGTGGGGACTCTTGAGCTGTCAAATCCCCCGGGGTGGGGACGAAAAAATAGGGCAAATGCCCTGTCCTGCGTCAACACTGCAACATTTTTTATTGATCGCACAGTCAAATAGTGCCGTTTTAAGCATTTTAATGTGCGATTTTTTGGTTTAATTAATGTCTTTTTTTGTAATAGCGCGAGGATTCTAATTAAGACTTCGCGCCGCGACGACATGCACCAGTTTATGGTTTTAGTATTGGTATAAAATTATTGACATTAATATTAATAGAGCACTGTAAAGTTATATGTTATGAATAGTTTTATAAATATGAAAGGATGTTCTTCAAATAATATCAACAGAAATTTGATTCAATAACCAAAAAACATTGATTCACATCGATAGCTCCAATTTCGCTACGTAATTCTGGCTTGATAAGCAATGAAAAAATGCATACATACATGTAAAATCGAGAACATGTCGTTACAACCCTCTACAATTGGTTCCTGTCCTTGACAAATGAGCCAATCCGCTTTTCTTCCAGTAAAACCTTCTTTGTAGTTATATTCTGATAGGAAACCGCGTGCGTGTCAAAAGCTCGGGAATGGCCCGGGGGTTGGCAAATACCCGGGCCACGGGCAGTGCAACATTTGCAAATGCCCCACCCCCGGGACTGACAAGGCGGGCAAATGCCCCGCAGTTACCCAGGAGGGGGGGGGGGGCTGGGCGCAGGTGGAATTGACTGATGCATAAGTGGCCAGCTGCATTTACGGACAACTTTTTCACGTTCTGAGGGTGTCTGCTTACCAGAGCTTTCACTGTATTCAATAGAATTTCAGTCAAAGGGAGAAGGGCAATACACATCGTCTTACCAATTTTTGTGTGCCCTTCACCCCCCTCCCCCCCTCTACCCCAAGTCTATTGGTTTGGTAACCATGCCCCAGTAGGTATTTGATACCTGACCCATAACTCATTAGCAGGATGTCTCAAAAGACTCTTCGCAGTCTTGCACAACTTACCATACTGAAAGAAACTTGGTAATCTTAGCACTTTTGTTCCTAAAAATGTTCTTGATGGAGCTGGAGGAATTGGCTCATGACCAACCTTGAATTGAAACACAAAGAAAGGAAATGGGAAGCTTCCTTAAAACTGTGATCCTCCCATCCAACCCTCTAACATTGACATACAGCTAATCACAAACTCAGCACATTGTTTTAGCCTATTTCATGAGGCAAAAGAAGATTTAAGGAATAGAGGGTGTATGTTATGGGGCTACTTTAGGAATTTTGGGATGGGGATCTAGAACCAAACGCAGCTGGAATTGACTGATGCATTATGTTTTCACTTTGTGCACCCAAAATCTGCTGAGTAATAAGCCCATCACAATTGCTCAACCAAAAATAAACGTTATCAGAATTTCAAAAGTCACATACGAGGACCTCATGTCTCTTTGACTTTAACTCAGCATTTCCAAATTGCAAGCCGGCACATTGAAGTGAATGAAGATAAATCGAAAGCACTATCGAACTTTCCTCATAGAACATAGAAAACTACCTGCATCAACAGTCTAACGCATGTAAGCGGTTGCGTTGCTGTTGTCATCAACGCAGTAAGCACCAGAGCTCCAGCCGGTGTGCCCTCGTTTTCTAGGAGGTCTTCCAAGCCTTGATTGTCGTTTGTGGCCGCCATGTTGGACCAGATCGTATACGCGAAAGTGAGGCTACACTTCACTCTTGGTCAATATTTCCACTGTCCAGGGTGGCATAGAAAAATTTGTAACTGTAGTTTGATTGTGGGATGAGTATTCTTAACTAAACTTTTGGTCTTTTCTGGATTCGTCGAAATGATAATTAAATAAATTTCATCGACTTTGGGATTTCAAATGCGTTTTTTAGAGTTTTGACGCCAATTGTGCCAAACGTTTTATTTACCCCACCCTACAGAGTACTAACGTTGTCAAAGCAAGATGGCGGCTCAAGTGAAGCAAATGCTGAATTCTCTGTCCAATGCCGGCGGTTCACACAAGGATATAACGGGGAAATATCGGGAGATTCTAGAGAAGATTTTTAAATTCAATGATTCGTCTCTCACAGAAGGCCTCAAAACTTTCATTGAAGCCGGTAAGTGTATATTTTTTTTATGCAAAGTCTCATTGCCTCAGTTTTGGAGTCCTTTAGCCTTTATTTTAAATTATCCGTCACGTTTGTGCTGCGAAGCTGCCAAGCCACCTTAGCTTGTTCTGTAATCTAGTAATACTGCACAATTTATGTTTCACTAAATTCGGTGCTTCGAAATTCTTATTATCAATCTTCTTTTTAGCCTATTAGATTCAGCATTTGAAGGCTATAATGCCTAAAAAAAAACCCTTAGAGAATTATGCTACAAGAATTTCACAAGTTTACTACTTTTAATACACTGTTATAGAAGTCCAAACATATAAAATATGGGTGTATTCTGTAAATGCCCCAAAATATGTGGTTTGGAAAAAAAAATAAGCTGTTTTTTTTTTTAAATAAACTAGTATGAAAAATTTCAAACCAGAGCTAGAAATTAAACTTAAACACGCTTATATTTTTCTACTTACAGTGGAACCTCGATAGAACGAGGTGCCAACGGACTGGCAAAATTTGTTCACTATAATGAGGTTTCGCTATATCAAGGTCCTTTTCCATATTATTTTACCATTACTGGGGGTAAAGAAATTGTTTACCGAGGACTTCGCACGGGTTTCAATAAGCACTGACGACTGACAAAACGCATTGGGTACTTTGCTCAGAGAAGTCAGTTCCTTATTGGAAGCTGGAAATAGAGTAATAAAATAAAGAAAGATTCTGTCAAAACTTTTGTTAAAATTCAATTTGCTGGACCTAGACAGACTTTTTGCTTCATATTTAAAACTTACTGTGCATTTACTTGTCCAAATAGATAAAAAATACACCCTCTTTTGTACTCAATTTAGTGCCTTGAACACTGGAGATCGCATTTTAGGGCATCAAAATTTCGAAATTTTCAAGGAGTACAGACCCCCAGATCCCTCTAGAAGAAGGGGAGTAAAAGCCTCTTTTGGATGCAGTAGGTTACTTTTTTCAAACCTTCTGGCTACTTCAATTTTCATTGAAACCCCTGACTTCATTATATGGAGGTTCATTATATCGAGTTTCCACTGTGATATGGCTCATCATAAACAACCTCTATATTCCAGTTGTTCATGAGAGCGTCAGCCTTGTTGTATCAAGACAAGTCTTAACAGAGATTTGCAATCATATTCCAAACATGGACTCATCTATCGCCAAGCAAATATCACACTTCATACTTGACAAATTACAACCCAGAGCCATCTCCTTTGAGGAACAGGTGAGTTATTGACGGCTTTTGACCCAGAGGAATAACTCTCCATTGTAGCACAAAACAACATTGTTTTCGTTGTGTGTTTTCCATCAAATCATTAATTTTTCAACATAACAAATTGTTGCATATGAAGAACAGGGGTGTAGCCAGCCCATAGACCTGTACGCCCGGGTCGACAAAATTTTTGGTTTGATCACTTTGCCACTTGTAATAATTTATGTATTGTTGGGGTGAGCCAAAAAGCTTAAGAGGTGAAAGTGTTGGTGAGGTCAGTGCGTACTAGTCATGCATGCAGTTTTCAGGATATGCGGAAATGAAAGTCAGCGAGGCATACAACTAGTCGAAAAGCTGGCTACGCCCCTGAAGAATAAATTGTTTTGCGTGGTAATGCTACTAGCAAGCTTGAGCAACCATGACAATGCTAAAGCAATTCTTTTAATAAGCAAACAAAACCTCTGAACATGCATCACATTTTTTGGTAAATTTCTTGGCATCATTGCGTGACTAACATTGTCAAACTTGATCAGAATGGCAATGTGATCATTGCTTTAATCTACTAGATCTTCTTTTCATCAATAGCAGTTGTTGTGACTTTGATTTCAATGAAAATACCAATACAAGAGTCTCAGTGGAACTATTACATAGACCACTTATCCTCTCATTAATGTCATTAATCCCACAACAGCACTACTACCCTGTGCACCACTTGGGTTAGCTCATTTGTCTGTTTTTTTTTTTTTATGATGTTTGTAATAGGTTGCAACAATCAGAAAACATCTTGCTAAAATATATGAAGAATGTCAAGAATGGAGAGAAGCAGCAAGAGTATTGACTGGTATTCCTCTGGAGACTGGGCAAAGGTGCTGTGAATCAAAATAAAATTTCATCTTCTGATATTAAAATAGTGAAAAAATAACATTAAAATGTAAAAACATTAAAGTAATTAATAATAATGATAACAATAATAATATTATTATTATAAGCATAATTGATAATTTTATAATTTCATGTTTATGGTAAAGAAGTTTCATTTGAATTGTCTTTTTTTTATTTTTGAAACCTTATTTGATAAAGAGACCATCTTAGGGTAAAATTTTGACAAGCAACGTGGCTTTGAAACAGTGACATAAAATGGCTGAAATGGTGATAAGCAACATAAAGATGTTTTGAAACTGCAACAGTGACAGACACAAGCAAAAATGCAAGAGTAAATTACCAGCAAGAACATGGCTTACTCCTCACTACTTGCAATTATGGGTTTTAAAATTCAGATGAGGGACATACTTACCCCCACTTCAAAGGCGTCATTTTAACCTTTGCTAAGGTTCCTAAAAGGTGTAAATGAATGTAGGGACTCTCATACAGGGAATACAAAGCTTATAAGTTACGTGTTTTGAGTGTGTTTCAAGCTCAGTTGATGCTTACTTTTAAAGGCAAGGGTTTTTCTTACCTACCACTTGTTAACTAGAAAGAAGGAGGACTTTAATCAAAGTGGATGAATACTTTAATGGCTATTTTAAGCAGAATATTATTCTTAACAATAATAACACAGAATGTTTTCTCAAACATCAAATCTTAGGCAATATTCAGTGGATTATAAGATGGAAACTTACTTAAAAATTGCACAGCTGTACTTAGAAGATGAAGATCCTGTACAAGCTGAAGCTTACATAAACAGAGCATCTCTGCTTCAAACAGACACGAAGACAGAAAAACTGCAGATTCTTTACAAGGTACATGCTGACAGTAGTAACTTTAAACAGTGCATCAGAGTGGCTAGATAACAAATAGATAACATTTTTCTATTGTCTTGCATTGTCTTGCAGTTATACTTGTAAATTACATCAAGATGAGCTCGAATGTTGGCTGCATATTCTTGCTAATTTGTAGTCTGATTAATGTTTATACTCTTATAGACTAGCCATTTCTATAATGGTTTCCAAGAGACTGTTTACAATGCAGCATTGTTCTTTTTGTTTTTTGTTTTTTTACAATAACATCAAAAGATTTTAGCATCAATTCATTTCTGCAAAGTTTTTTAGAAAATCACATGCTAGAGACAGATAAAAAATTGAGACTCAGGGACAGTTCATTTGTGACACAAGTCCTGCTTACCAGTAAGATTAGAAATGTCAAGATTGCATGGTGATAACTAAAGAAAGAAAGTGAATTCAGTCCTGTTGGACCTAGACTTCTTTTATTATGTCCCAAACAAGTAAGTGACAAAGAGAAACGGGAAACTGTGTCCTTTAAACAAGCATAAAATTACCATTTCTATATCACCCTATAAATGTAATATGCAAACAATAATTATTTCTATTTCACAGGTATGCTATGCTCGTGTCTTGGACTACAGACGTAAATTCATTGAAGCAGCACAGCGTTATATTGATCTGTCATACAGAACTGCAATACATGATGAGGAGAGAATGACAGCACTGAAGCATGCTCTGATCTGTACTATGCTTGCTTCAGCAGGTATGCCAACTGCTCTTGTGAAATGATACCCGGGCTAGTAATGCCCAGTTCAAACATTGAACTTTTCATGTACAGCTGAAAGTAATCCTTTCAATTAACTGAATGAAAAGATCAACACTTGAATCAATTAAGTCCAACATATCTAATTTGGGTCAACCCGTGAATTAAGTTTTAGTGGCCCACATGAGAATTTTGACTGCAGAGCAGCTTCCTTTGAAATGTCAAACTTTTCATGTGCCAAACCTGATACCTAAATCACTGGGAAGCATTGTAGACCATTGTACATTGTGAAAATGTATTGAGTCTGACTAATTAAGTTTGATGTCTGAATCAAGAACTTGTGTCATTTCGATTGACCTTAATAGGTATTAAGTTCGGTACATGCAAAGTTCTATGTTTGAACTATGCCTAAGTTTACTTATGACCAATAAGCTTTCTATATATGGATAAGCTGTTGTCTCTGCTAATATCTACTTTCTAAGCTCCACTGTATTATTTGCGTTTTAAAATAGCCTCAAGTTCCTTATCCTAACTTTTCTTTCTCAGAATTAAAATTAAAATGTTACTTTAGGACAAGTATGGCCCAGTTGTCAGTCCCTTGGACTCAATAAGAAGTTCCAGGTTTTGTGTTGTGCTTTACCAACCCAAAGCTGGCTTTGTTTCTTGGAAGTCCCAAGTTCAACTCTCTTGCCAAATGTGTGAATGGCCAACAGTCTTCTCCAGCAAATTGGGATTTCTAAGGAAACTTGGTCCAGTTTGCCATGTTCTCCATTATGTGGCAGGGTGTCTAAGTTTGAGTACATGTACTGTAGGTGGGGAAGGTTGGAAAGTTGGCTGTTCTATATTTCATTTGTAGGCAGGTACTGTGCACAGAGTACCTTGGTGTCAGTACCTGGTCCTGGCTACTAATGAAACTCTTCAGTTCTTAAATCATGTAGAATCATGTTGGCCTATAGTCTCCAGCCAGGGGTGGGGAGCATGGCATGACTTTATCCTGAGCAGCTGTGAACGAGGCTAGTTGACCTACTGGTTAACACGTTGAACTTTGGATCTGCGGGCGCAGATTCTAGCTTTGGCTGTGCAATAACATTGTTTTCTTATGAAAGAAAGTTTGCTCCTTTATCTCTCTTACATCCCATCCAGTAGTAGCAACCAGAATTTTATTTCTCCATCCCTATACTTTGAGACAGCTACAGGGTGTAGGTTGTTTCACAACAATATAAAAAGTTTAATGTGTATGCTTAAATGATTCTATATTATTAGGCCAACAGAGATCAAGGATGTTAGCCAACTTGTTTAAAGATGAACGCTGTCAACAGCTTCCTGCTTATGGGATTTTAGAAAAAATGTGAGTTGTGCCTGTTTTACTTTTATACTCATCTGATAGCGCAGGCTTTCCCAATATTGCCTGTACACTTACATGTAGGTGCTTTCGTGGCTCTGACACTAGAAAAAACTTCTTCCATATGGGTCTCATTGGGTCACAGTGTACCTTTTCTTCAACAATTATTGTTCTAAACAACAGACCATACATATGCAGTGGCGGGTCCTGACCCTCAGATGTGGGGGCGGGGGAGGGAGGCAGTCACCCAGACCCTGGGATAAGGGGGGGCAGTCACTGCATATGTGCTGGTTGTGCACTAAATATTTGTTACTAGATCTTAGATCGCAAGGAAGGTGACTTAATAAGAGGTTCTTTTAGCCTTCTGCCTTCCCCAACTCCATTTATACTACTATAAATGCTTTCAAGAGTGTTGCAGGAGATGACCTCTTTTCTACACTGAACTGATAATTTTTTAATAAACATGTGACTTGAAAATCGTTTTCTTTAGGTATTTGGACAGAATAATTCGGGGACCAGAGCTTCATGAATTTGCCAACATGTTGATGCCACACCAGAAAGCAACAACGGCAGATGGTAAGATTTTTAACTTTGTATAACAGTGTTTCATCTGGTTACTTAATCATTAGCTAAGGTAAGCAAGCAATGGCTCCAGGAAAGCAAAATGTAAGAGATTCTTGTCAAAAGGTAAAGGTGGAATTCGAGCCCTGTTTACTAGTTGTTTCTTGTTAAACTATGATGTGATTTTTTTGTACCGGTAATTCTCCTCAAAGGTGTGTTGTTGTATTTGTTTTAAGGTTCAACAATCCTTGACAGAGCAGTGATTGAGCATAACCTGCTGTCTGCTAGTAAACTTTATAACAATATCACTTTTGAAGAACTTGGAGCTTTATTAGAAATCCCACCGCCCAAGGTAAGTTTTACTTGGTTTCTATCCATGACAGTGAATCAAATGTTATCACATTAGTTACTAGTCACCACATTAGTAGCCTGTGAGCAAGCTCTCCGGGGTGCTCTGGCGACAGGGCAGGAAAAGGAAGGAGAGCTTGCAACTACGTCTCTTCCCCTGTGGCTCCCCGTTGACTGAGCTGTCAGATTTCCACCAATCAGTACAAAGCAGAAATGAGCGCGAATGTGAAAAAACATTGAAAAACACTTGCGCCAATCAGCATTTTGCAATGACGTTTTCAATGCAGATATTCAAATTCCAGAGATCTAGTTGCAAGCTCTCTGTCCTTTTTCCACCCCACTGCCAGAGCACCCCAGAGAGCTTGCTTCCATGCTACTATGTTAGTTATTAGTCTTCCATGGGAGAAGACCCCCAGGGAGACCACAGAAGTTCAAGACATTATATAAAGTCACTGCGAAGCTATTTGACAGCGTTCAAAGAAAGTTGTATCCGATAGCCCAGGGCTAGTGGATTTTACTATCGGGCTAGTGAATTCTGTTCTTAACTTGCCCGCCTGGCAAGTGAAATTTTTTAAGGAATTCTAATCACAAAAGAACTGTTATCAACCCTGCTCATCATCGGGCTAGTTAAAATGACTTTTGGGCTGGTACATTCTAACTACAGCTTGCCCGAATGACAAGTTGTAAAACTGACTTTCTTTGCCTTTCTTTGCACCCTGTTTGATGAAAAAAAATCGCTCAAAATCCTGAGCCTTATTTCATCAATGGTTAAACATGCGTGGTGGAATTAGCATGCGATCAGGCAATTGTGTGTTTTTTTCCTTTCAACTTCAACTTCAACTTCAACTTTATTTATTAAAAATAGTATTACAAAAAACTCACCCACAAAATAGTGATTGGTAATCTAGGCGGACCAGTGAAAAGAAAAATTAAATGAAAGGCAAGGAAGGATAATATTTTAAGTTACAGTAATTCATATTTCTATCTTATTTTTATTTTAATTACCAGTACATCTAACGAAAGACAAAAAAGGAATTGATGGATAGCAGAAAGCATATAATTTTATACAGAAATTACTTTGAGAGACATAGAAGTATAGGGTGGGCATGATAAGTGATTGCATCTTAAAATTTGGTCTTCTTTTCCAACTTTTTTTTAACCACTTTTAGATAACTGTTCAATAAGAACAGAAAAAAACTAATTGATAATTAATTCTAGTCGATTTAGTGAGGTGACAATAAGTCAAATTATGGAAAACTGTCCCATATTCTTACGTCAGAGAGTATGTGTTTAAATGAAAAATGTTGGTGAAACCAAACATTTTAATTTGTGATAAAATAGCTTGAAACGTTTTTGAAGTCGTTTGCAAAGTCCCGATAATTGCAGAATCTGTAGTCAAAACTCAAAGAATTTTTCATTGCAGAAAAAAATCGAAGTCAAAGTTTCTGCAAGATCGCGGTACTTTTAATGTTTTTGCCTATGTTTGCTTTTAACTAACTTTAAGCTAAAAGTTGGCAAAGAAAAAGTCTCTCTTGTTGACAAAACCTTGGCCTCATAACATCTGGACAAATATGGTAAATCACGCCTGCAAACGTATAGTGACGCCAAAACTTGAAAAAAGTCGAGTCACTGTTTTTCAAGTTTACCTGAAAACAATCCATGTTGATATTCTTCTGTTTGGTCCATATGTGCCTCTTGATAGTTTCTTTTTTCTGTATTTCTCTTTTGTTCTCCGCCAGTTTAAAGCTGATATTTTAATATTTAGCCCTTTAAACCCCAAAAATGATCAACATCTATTTTCTCCTACAATGCCATTACATAAACAAGAGAAAGGGTTATGAGAATATATCAAAGGGATCTTTACAGGAAAAACTGGCTTTGATCTTTAATCAAATTCTATCAACTTCTTCATGTATGGAGATCCTTTTGGAGAATTTTCCTGTGGTCATTAGGAAGGACAAAAAATGGAACGTTCCTAGGTGTCTGTCCTAAGGTTGATTTCTACTGTCGTGTCATTTTTACGTGCGCACGAACGTTAATTTTACGCGCGTAAATAAAAAAGAGCCAGTGTTGGGAACCAATATATGAAAGGCCGTTCGTAAACATTAAGTTAAACGAGCTTCAACTCTTACGCTTTAGGTGGACTTGCACTTTCGCCTAATTTTTAAGTGCGTACGCGCTTAAAATTTACGTGCGGAAATAAAATAGAGGCGATGTATGAAAGGCCGCGCGTAAAACGTTAAGTTAAACGAACTTCAACTTTTACGCGTCGTTTTCAAAGTCCCCATAATTGCAGAATCTATGGACAAAACTCCAAGAATTTTTAATTGCAGAATAAATTCGAATTCGAATTCGAGGTTTCTGAAAGATCGCGTTTTTTTTTTAATGATTTTGCTTATGTTTGCTTATTAGTAGCTTTAAGTTAGAAATTGGCAAAGAAAAAGTCTCGCTTGTTGACAAAACCTTGGCCTCATAACATCTGAATAAATATGGTAAATCACGCCTGCAAACTAATTGTGACTCCAAAACTTGAAAAAAGTCGAGTCACTGTTTTTCAAGTTTACCTGAATACAATCCATGTTGATATTCTTCTGTTTGGTCCATATGTGCCTCTTGATAGTTTTTTCTATATTTCTTTTTTGTTCTCCGCCGGTTTAAAGCTGATATTTAAAAGAAAATTAATCCTTTAAACGCCGTAAATGACCAACATCTATTTTCTCCTACAATGTCAATACACAAACAAGAGAAAAGGTTATGAGAATATATCAAAGGGATCTTGACAGGAAAAACTGGCGTTGATCTTTAATCAAATTCTATCAACTTCTTCATGTATAGAGATCAGTGTGGAGAATTTTCCTGTGGTCATTGGGAAGGACAAAAAATAGAATAGAGCCAATGTTGAGCCAATGTATGAATTCCGCGCGTAAACGTTAATTTAAACGAGCTTCAACTTTCATGTTGTAGGTGGACTTCCACTTTCGCCTAATTTTTAAGTGCGTACGCGCTTAAAATTTACGTGCGGAAATGAAATAGAGGAGATGGATGAAGGGCCGCTCGTACTCGTAAAAGTTGAACCAGGTTCAACTTTTACATGTACGCGTGATTCTATACATTGCCTTCATCTTATTTACGTGCTTACGCGCGTAAAAATTACGCGACAGTGGAAATCCACCCTTAGAGAGAGTTGACTGTCAGGGTCCTTGAAAAATCCAAATGATGCCTCTATAAGATTGACACTTCCCAAAATCGGAGACCGAGAGCTCTCCTCTGCCTTTCTTGAATCCTTTTTCCTAGGCGGACACTTGCCCATCCTAGTTTGCCCTGAGTTGATTGTGTTTGAAGAATCCAAAGGACACCTTTTCGTCGATAACAAAGCAGCTGAGTAGAAACTGCGTTCTAGCGCATAGAAACAATGCAGAATTATTTCTGGTCGTTAATCTGTATGACAGAACAAAAATACTGAGAACTGTATTATCACGTGAAAGCCCTGCTAAAGAAGTCTTATTTTAATGGTAACACCATAGGTTATTGTCAATGGAATTAAAAGTTAGATGTGTGTCACAAGTCTCCAATACCTTGAATGAAACTGGTAGTTGTGCCTCGCAATATATTTTGACACTCACTAAATTTTATCTGATTAGAGATCTAAGAAGAAATTCACGTTTGGAAAAGATACTGAAATATTGTTTTAGTGTTTTTGTTTTACCACAAAACAGAATATTTCCCAATGTCATTGCCAATGGATAACTAGTATCCATGCATTAGTGTTACAATGTACAAATGTTGGACTGTTTGGCCTCCTATGTCAGCGTAAACCTCTTTACTAGTGTATCGTAATAAGGGATTTTTGGGTAAACTCACTGTGCAAAAAAAGCAAAATGTAGTCGAGGAGAAGATTATTAATGAATAAATTAGCTAAAATGGTTTTATCACAACACTAGGCTACTGTTTTTGTGTAAAAGAGGAAGAAGAGAAGAAGAGAAATAGAAGTGGTTACGGTGCAAACTCAGGTGCTATTATATCAATGTCAAGGTGATATTTCGTTTTCTTTCAAACATTTCGGTACAGCGCAAAGATATCGGTGCGTTTATCCGGTTTCCTAACTGTTAACGATGAAAAATAGCAAGAGCTAGATAAGAAACACAACTAAGTATGTTCACGTTTGAAGCCAGATCCTGGCAAAACAACAGTTTAAAATCCTGAAGTAAATAAAATCTTCGAAGCATGAGTTGTGAGCTGTTTGTGATAAACCTAAGCGTTTGCCAATCATGAAACCTTTCAAAAATTTGTTCGTCAAATATCATTGAGGAAGTTCAAATGCCGCGGCGTCTTTGAACCTACCGCGAAATTAGACAAATGTTTTGTGTCCAACAGCTGTATTGGATCTTATGGGCTGTATATCCAACGCCAGCTGTATTTGAAGGTTTACGTTCTTCACGTTATTTTCCTGCTAAGGATTCAAACTATTTTCTACGAATATTTACGAATAAATAAAAACGCACGCACAAGAATGATCTGGTGGGCTCTGTGTCTTTTGAAAAAATGTATTCTTTTCATATTTTAACTCGGAAAGTGAGTGATGGAGTTTTGTAAGTTAATTCTAACTTTTGAGTCCGTGGATAAATTTCTGTTGTGTGACCATTCAAATGAAATCTTTTCAACAGTACTTTCACGTAGTGCTGTTTGTTTTGCGCATTTTCGAAACGAATTTTTGACTTTGGGCCACTCTGGTAGTGAAAGGGTAAAATCTTTCTCCCCGCTCCTTTTTTTTCGTTGTTTCTCGTGTTCTGTTTCTTTCCTGGACGGCTCTAGCCTCTCACGCACAGACTTTCTTTTGGTTCGTCACGCAGTCCTCCACAGGAACGCGGCTCCAGGAGAAAACATCTAATGTTCCATTTGTTGTGTAGCATCTACCTGACTGCTACCACTTGCAAAGCTGAAAGATCGCTACATGTATACGTTCAGGATTTTTGCCCGTCTATATCACTTAGAGATTATTATAACCGTTTCACCCTCAGAGTAATGGTAGAATTGGAAATATAACTTCCTGAAACCTCCAGTGAAATCTCTAAGGATTCAGCATGGCCGAGTGATCTCGCTATCCGGCGGCCCTGGGTTCTAGCCCCCCCCCCCCCACCTTCGCCCTAGTTTCTCGGTCGTCATGAATTCAAATCCTCTGTCATACGAGTGAAAAGCCAACCGGCTTGCCTCCTGCCAGTTTGGCTTTTTAATGCTGTGTAGCAGTGCACTTTCACCATAAACAAACATGAAGGTTATATCTTTATTTACTTTTTTTCTTCTTGTGCATATGAATTTTATAACGTTTTTCGTTTTCACATTAAGGTCCCGGTTTTATTCGCTAAGCCTTATGTAACTTGGCGATACGAGTGATACAAAGCGCACACAGCTCCACACAGCACGATGCAAATAACGGATGGTCTGACTGCATGGTTCAGCAGCCTATAAAATAGCCAAGCTCATCTATTATCACGACTGCAATCTAGTGCGATATTTTCTCTTTCAGGCCGAGAGAATCGCTTCACAGATGATTTCCGAGGGACGTATGTCAGGCTCCATTGATCAGATTGACGGAGTTGTACATTTTGAAAGTAAGTCAAAGCGTTCTTCTCAGAGAATTTCACCTGTCTTAACATTGCGTAGTCTCCTTTACGGCTGTTTCATGGGTCTCACGCAACGCTCCTCCCCGCAAATAAGGGAGGAGCGTTGCGTGACGACCCTACAAACAGTTACGAAGGAGACTATACATTGGTCTGCGGATCATAAAATTCTTCTTGAAAACATTTTAAATTGTTCTTAAACCATAAATAAGGACGTCAAAGGTTAGAATATCACCCTATTAAAATCACTCAGGACTAGGAGAAGAAAAGCCTGTTTTCCACAAGATCTAGCGTTCCAGGCCAGGCCGCGTGTATCCCCTACCGGGTTGCGGAAACATTGTTATTCATCGGATATGTCAGAACCGGGCGCACAATTCTTTTTTCACATAAGCATTCCCGCGATTTGCGAAAAGATTTAATTCTGGAAAGGATTTTGTTGTCATGATGTTCACAAAACTGGCTTTTTCCGATCAGATAGCCTGAGAAAATAGCCGACATTTCGCGACGTCATCCGGCACTGGTTTCCCCGCGAAATGACGTCTGAGAAACGAGTGTAGAAATTCCATACTGATGACTTGGCTCCACCCAAATCTGTATCGGTCGACTGTATTCTCAGGCTACATATCAGACTTCACCCTAAGTCCCATTTTGAAAATGAGGGTAGACGGGAAAAACGGAATTGGTCCATTTCAACTCGATCCAGAATGGTAGACGAAGAACCACAGGTGTGCATCAGGCCTCGCTTTCACAAAGAGCCGTTCGAAAAAGGGCTTTTCGTTTGAGTATTCCCCATTCACGAAAGTATAAGGGGAATGGGTACAAGCTTTCGGCGAAACGATTTCTGGGATTGTTTGGGTAGACAAGCGTTACTTATGATTGGTTAATGGTTGCCTTGAATACCATCGATCAATTATAACTAATTGAGTTTTCTAGGAACACCGACAAGGGTTAACCCTTTCACTTTCTGCGTGAATGAAGTTTTGTAAGGTGTGGTTCTAACTTTTGAGTCTGTGAACGAAACCCTGTGGTGTGACGATTCAGATGAAACCGGTCTGGCAGTACTTTGACGTCGTGTTATTTGTTTTTCATCATTGCACAAAATTAAATGTCGAATTTTTGTCGTATTTCGAGTTGGACCATTTCTGTGAGTGAAAGGGTGAACTCAGTGCAATTCCTCCGTAAAATCCATACCCAGCGCTTTATTTCTGGGGTTTCCGCAGCTCAAGAAGTGTTGCCTTCATGGGACAGACAAGTCCAAAACTTGTGCTTCCAAGTCAACAATGTCATTGAGAAGATTAACGCTCACGCACCGGACTGGGCTGAAAAGTACCTAGAATCACAAATGTCTACTTAAGTACAACTGATTGGACTTATTCGCGGTATACGTGAGAGCAACGAGGAGGTTATTGAAGGCTTTGACGCGATGAGACACCATCTTCTCCTAAGAGAATTCCGACTAAGAGACCTTAGTCCGTATCGTGTCATTAAAATTAGAGACCTTTTGATTCGAGGACGAGAATGACTCACGAGTACGAGATTTGCATGACTTTAAGTTTTTGCGTATTCTAAAAATAGTCTCCCCAGAAAGCTTCATTTTACTCTTTTTTTCTGTAAAGGTTATCACTGTTATCTTAAGTGAAGGAGGTTACGCCCTCTCCCAATCTAACATTTGATAACTCGTTTCCGCCACTGCAACAAAAACTAGTAGTAGAATGACGACGACTATCATGTTTTCCCGCCAATATGGCGCTGGTTCACGCACGTGAACTACTTAGTGCACTACTTTCTCTGAGAAAATCTCGTACTCGTTGTCTTCCTCGTCTTAGATTAAAATCTAAAGGTCGTTAATAACAGCTGTGACGAAGACCATAAAGATTGTCATAGAAAGGATATTCAGGACTTGTTTTGTTAATAAACGGTAATTTTGCTACGAGAGGCGGCTGAAGTGATAGTCTGTTATCAATCTCATTCAGAATTGTTTTCATGGACACACATTGACTTCAGGTGTAAACAGTCACTAATTAAAAATCCAATCACTTGGCCATTGCTCTTGAGTTCACAAAAGTTATATTTTAAATCTGCAAGAGTTTATAAAATGTTTTGGTTTAACATTGTAATCTTCATCTTCGAACGGAGGCTTTTCGCTCGTTCAAAGCCACTCAGGCTTATCTAACTAAGATAAAGATTGATATGATTTTTATCAATCTTTTTATAGAAATGTTTCTTAATTTGGCGTTTGAACTTGAAGAAAACAGCAACTAATGCAAACCAAAAGTTTCTCATGGGTTCACGGAGTATGGGACAAAAACTACGGGGTTCTATGGTAAATTTTTAATGTTCACCCTGATCCTTACTGATAATGATACCTTTTTGCTTTTGACTTCCTTTTTATGGCCATGTATTTGTTTTAAAAAATTACACCTATTTGACATTTGTTTTTTTGGCGATTCGTTGGGTTTTGTTGTTATTGTTCGGTTGTTTTTGTTTTTTTCTTTTTGTTGCTGTTGTCTTAAAACGTGATCAAGCGGTCGGAAGCATCGCCGATGTGATGTCACTGTCTGATCGACTGAAGCGTTTGCAATCTTCTACGTAGAACTGAAGTCAACTTTCAACTTTTGACATGGACAAGGTAGAGAAAATCCGCCGTCGACTCCGCTGGAAAGAGCGCCTATGATTTAGTAAAAATCCAAGTTTAAAAGTTACTTGTTGAAAAATAACGAAGATATATATAGCCCCTCAAAGTTGCGAAATTTTACAGATATTTGTATAGTGGGGACACACACCATACAAATGTCTGTGAATATTCGCAACTTTGCGGAATCTTCGCTCGCTTAAGACTATCACTGTCAACCTTGGTAAGTTTACCAATTTTAAGGCGCTCTTTCCAGTGATGCCTACGGATTTTCCCTAGCTTCTTCATGTCAAAAGCTGAGAAAGCTGTGGAATGGTCTATCACGGAAGACGATAGTGAAAATTTACTACGGCAAAGACAACGCAACGACGCAACGTCAAATGGAAACGCGAAAGCGCGCGGAACGGCGGTTGAAGGCGACTTCCGTGCTCAATTATCTGCTCTGTCTGGCCAATTTGGTGTTTTAAGAGCCGGTCACTGTAAATTCTCCTATTGTTGATCTCTGTTTACTTCATCAAAAGCAAAAGAAAGCGCTTCGTTGCTTAGCGGTTTTTACACTGACTGAAAAAAAAATAGAGAGAAGCCACAGAAACGAAAAAACATAAACAAATCCGTTTAAAACAACTTGTCTTTTACAGATCCATCGCAATCCTGTCTCGGTGAAAAGAATTCTGTAATTAATTCGAGTTGTTTAATTTCGAGGGGAGGAATTTTAGCAGACCTGCCAAGTCTCACGTTTTTTTTACCTTTTCTCACGGCCTCGCGACAAGGCTCCCAGTCTCACATTTTTTTTTCATTCTGAACTGAAATGTCACCTTGTTGAATAAAATCGGAAATTTCGTGGGGAATGCTAGTGTCTGTTTAACTGCCTTGATGGCACCGGCTTGCTGTAAGTTTCGTCCCTAATGATCTCTTCCCTGGCCTATCTTAGTCATCAAAGAAAAAGTGGCGTCTTGTTACTACGAAAGGACCACAAATGAATCAAAGTAATGTTTAAATAAACAGTTAATTCCCCCAATGGAAAAAAAGTTTGTTCAATCTTGTTCTGGGGAAAAAAATAGAATCTCACTACTTTTTGTAGAATCTCCAGATTTTTTTGTTTTTGTTTGTTTTTGTTTTTTTTTCACGAATCTGCAGATTTTCCTCTATCGGGGGTTGGCAGGTCTGATTTTAGGTAAACTAATACAAATACTACCTTCGAATTCACTTCAGATGTCATTTTATTAGTCGTAAAAAGAAAGACATGATTTTGAAATGCCTTTAGATCGCCTTGGACAAATGTCTTGAGGGCTGCAGTAAAACAAGAGAATTTGCGGAAACGTTGGCATTTTCGTCGTTCAAAAATGCGACGTTTGAGCGTTTAATACTTGCGGGTCGAGGGTCGCGGGTGAATTGGCGCGGGTTGCGGATGGAATAATTATTTAAATTCAAACTTGATACTTTGTCCGTCAATATCTTTTACTTGAAGAGTTGTAAGTACTTCAGCGGAGACGCCGCCACAGTTTTTGAGGGCGCGTCTAGGGCTTTCGGAAATTGGCAAATATGAGGACTGCCAAGTAAAAAACAAAACCCAGACGTTTCCGTGTAGCGCTTCACCAGGGATGGCTCGTAAGTTCTCTATCCTTGTCCAGCAGGTCGGCTTGCTTTATAGCCCTGGGCTTATTTTTCAAATTAAGCTAAAGTTGACAAACAAAAAATGCAAGTCATCTTAGTTTTGCAGATAGCTGGGCTACAAGGATAGCGAATGAATTGCCAAGGGGCAGGTTTGCGTTTTAAAACAAAATACTCATATCCAGCACGCACAAACAATATACATGTATAACCGAACCCTATATTGGTTAATTCCTTCTTTTCTGACTGTCTCTGACTTTTAATGTGGTTTTACATTTCTAGGCTTTTAGCCATCGAACAATTTAATTTGCAGTTTTTATTAACTGATATTTTCCCTAGCGTTGTGCAAAGAGTTAAGTACTGCGTCGAATTTCCTCTTTTAAATTGTTTACATTCGATCCGAAACGATTGAAATTACTCCGACTAAAAAACTGGGGTGGCTTAAAAGTTGAGCGGAGACTGGTATTTATGTTCTTAAACCATCTGCCCCATCCCCTACTGGTTTGTTTTTGTCAAATGATCGCGTGAGAGCTTTGGTATACCGCTGTGCGTGGGAAGGCGCCTTTCTCCAATACTTAGTCTGGTTACGGGTGACAAAAGGGAAGAAAAGTTCGTCACTAAAATTAGCAACAAATTAGCTCCTTTTTATGCAAAACCCCCGAAGTGTTTTGAACTTGGTTTACTGCAAGGAACGTACCAGAGGTCTTAGTGAACAATGAGTGGGATCCTCTGAGTAATTTCAGTCTCTTCGATCGACAAGACCTTGAACTTGACATGTATATTTCAATTAAAATATTGGTGGTCTGCTTGTGTCTCCTGAGGGCTTGAGCGCTACAGTTCTCCAAATTGTTTTGCTTTGTTTTTACTAGCGTTCTCCATAGTCCCTCCTCAGTTTCACTCCAAGCAATTTGAGAACTATAAAACTCCTCAAATATTCATCACCCATTTTATTGTTTCCTCTTTGATTGGCCGTCACACATGAACTGTGTTCTTTATTTAACTTTGCTATTCAGCTTTTTCAGCACGCGGTCACTTTCGTTTTCCTCAAACTTTCTCTAGATCCTTCTACCTTGTAACCAAGCCCACTGCCTCAGTCTTTTTCGACTGTGTTTATTTTGTTTCAGAAACGATAAGCTCTTTTCATCATACGTCAGTGTTGATTTACAACTACAAACGGTGTCATATGTTATCCTATGTCTACGTAAGATGAGAGTTGACTGACTCATTCACTCAAGAGAAGCTTCGATAATTTCATTTTGATCAAAATGACTTCCGCCAAGTCGCAGCTCGATCGGGGTCATTTCATCTCATTTAAAACAGACATAGAAATGTTTTGTCACATGCCAAAATTGTTCAACTAAATGTTTAAACAAGACACAAGAAAAGCTGAAGTTTCATTAAACCTTTTTTTGCCCCCTGGCACGAACAGGTCGCGTGTTTGACAGAAATGCGGGTGGTTGATCGATTCTAAGAATAACTCAAGGTCACGCTATTTAAGTCAGGCGATTCTTAGGTTTCACGTTAATTTATCCTCTCTCCAGTCTGTCATACGAGTACTTTCGCAAATTCACCGTCTTCGGTTGAAATATTATCGCCGAATCGCGTGAGGATTGATGTGGAGAAGTGTGTCTTCGTGCCGTAAGCGAAAAATGCAGGAAAAACGACTCGACATTCACGGTCATCGGAAAGCAAAACTTCCAGGCTGGTAAGAATGCACTTTTTAGAATATATCAAGGATATGATCAGGCTTAAACCGTATCGCTCGGGCAAAAATTACATCGACTTCTGACGTAGTGTAGTAAAAGAAGCTCCACTTTTTATTATATACTTTTAGGTGGGCTTTTATAATAGACGATAGAGTCGTCGTATAGTGACAATATTTTCCCTCAAATCTTCCTTTATCAGGCAGCTTCGTCCATGATTGTGCTTACAGACAAGGCCTGTTAACTAGAGATTATGTTGGTCATATGAAATGGGAAATTAATTGAAACAAAGACTACAAAAACGCGGCGAGCTAATTTTTACTTTTAAAATATTCTGCTTTCCTGATGTTGTTAAATCGTAGGAAGAGATTAACTGCAAACTCATATTTGTTGTGGATTTTCTGTAAGCGTTTTATACAGTAAAATAGTGTTGTTTATCGCGGAAAATTTCGCAAGTGAATTTAAGACAACCAAGAATTTCATGGTTGACGATCAGAACATAATTGCTAACTTCGTATGTTTTCAAAAGCCATTGAGCTGAAAAAAAGGAAGAAAAATAAACGCCGTGATTGGCGGAATTGTACTTCAAAGAGAAAGCAAAAATAAGCCGACATGAATTTTCTTTGTTTTCATATGGAATGAGAGTGGCCCTGGAAACTAGTTATTTCAGCTGCGAGAAAATCTGAACCAACCTACGCAAAAGACACGAGAAAGCTGTTCAAAGTTACCAATGGCCCGATCAAGTTTTAGGATTT